GGTTGTGAAATGAAGTAGATCTCCAAGCTGTAATGGCTGCTGTTGTGCGGAAACCACTGCAGCTATTCTTCTGAAAATTTGGAGATTTGTGCCCTCAGAAGGAGATACCTTACCTGAAATTTTCATCCAATTCTGCCCCCAAAATCAAAAGGTTTTAGACATGTCCTTCTTTTAAAATAATAAACTTTTAAATGGACTCGACACAAAAACCTCTGCACCTATGTGCCTGCAGTTTGACAGGATTTATCCACCCCACATAGCCTAATATGCATTCAAATTTAATCCAATTCTTCCCCAGGAGGCCATTGTCAATTCTCCTTATAAGTTAATGGTGTGAAAACTATGTCCATGCCCTTCTCTCTGCCTATTTCCCCCTTCCTCAATGCCATGAATATAAGAAGGGATGTTGCTTGGCACTCGTTGGATGTGCTCAGGGCATTGCACAATGGCCTCTCCTGCCACCTTCCCCCAATCAAAAAGGACGTGGACCTTGGCAGTGATGGAGAAACTCACAGATGGAATTTATTTGATGAAGACATTGGTTAAACAGAACTCTTTTTATTCTGCTAGGAATCTTCTTTTATTGCTTTTGGGAATCGGAATCGACAAGATAAGCACTCACTTCCTCAACATCAATCACTCTGGAAAGGTAAGACTTGCTGAACTGTGGAATAATTTCTTTCTTGCACACGATAGACCTCTTTTAGATATAAGTTTCAAGATGGCATTGATCACTTTGTTACGGTTTGTTAAAAATGTGTTTGTATTGTGTTCTTCGGTCAATCTATATTTCAATGATAGCTCAAGGTCTCTAAACTGGACGAAGACAACTTAATAACAATTGAGGAACAGAATTGGGATCCAATAGGTCACTGCTGGTGCGTGAAGCACAGTATATTTGACTCTCATGAGATTTTATGTTTTCAGAAATACACTTTAAACGTTGGGAAAGTAATGCTTCCTAGGCAAAACTGTAGAAGTACAGTCAGATTGTTCATAGTTTTAACCATAGTATCTGAAATAATGAGATGTGACCTGGGCTTGAATTAGGTATTAATTAATTTAATTTTGTTGATTGAAACTGTAAATTATAATAATGAATTTATCAGTTCCCTAAAGATGGTTTGCAACCATTACTCGGGGACATAAACAATAGTCTCCAAAAATGAGTGAATGGCTTTTTAACAAGCACAGAGATTGCTAAAATTGTCAAATTGACACCAAACATAGTCATTTGCCAATACCTAATAAATACCACAGGGGAAAAATCTGGTTTTAGTGAACTGTGGACATAGAAACTTTGAAAGGAACGTAATAATGTAAACTGCATTTGCAGCTTCTGTATAGAACTCAAGTTATATTGTTATACACACCCACACACCCACACACCGTATTTTTCTGTCTATAAGATGCCCCCATGCATAAGAAGACGCCCCCTATTTTTGGGGACTCAGATTTAAGAAAATGGGGGGAGATATATCTGTGTATAAGATGCCCCCCAATTTTTGACATTATTTTTTTGGGGGGGGGACCTAGTCTTATACATGGAAAAACATGGTATATTTGTTAAAATAAATACACGAAATTTCACAAAAATGCAATCCCCAGCATCTCAAGGTAGGGATGGGGGAACCCATTTCAGAAGTCCTTGTGAGCTGCTGCGAGTCATAGTAGATCAGCACTCCCCAACCTGGTGCCCCCCCCCAGGTGTTTTAGGTAGGTACAAAAGTCTCTCGCTTCATTTAGGACAGCTTATGCACTCCCTGTAAATAGAAATTATCTGGTCCACAGCTCAGGCGTTATGCTATGCTGCCATACCCACGAGCTCCAGCTTGGTAGTGGAAGAATGTCTACAGGTCTCACAAGACGGCTGTTTTCTCACGCTTCATAGTTCCTTCCCCCAAATCTTCCTCATGGGCACCATTGGCAGAGCTATCAATAAGAGTTAACACAGAGCCTGCCATTAGCATGTGCATAATTCTGTGCCTCACCCCAGGCTTAGCGGAAGAAACGGAATAAATCACACCAACTCAGTCCAAATTTGCTAGGGCTGAACAATCGGTTAGATCCACAGATTAAAATAAGTTCGAGGGACTTAAAAAGAGCTTCTTTCAGCTACCGTATTTTTCGCTCCATAAGATGCATTTTTTTCCCTCCTAAAAAGTAAGTGGAAATGTGTGTGCGTCTTATGGAGCGAATGCAGGCGGGAGGCTCTGCTCAGCGCTCCCTTTAAAGGGCTGCGTGGAGCGTGTGTGCGGCTCTTGTTGGCTTTTCCCCGACGAGAGAGAAGGGACTGACACGGCCCGTCAGTCCCTCCTCCCTCCTCAGGGAAAGGCCCGCAAGCACATGCTCCACGCAGCTCGTGAAAGGGAGCGCTGAGCAGAGCCTGGGATGCATACAGGCACTGCTCAGCGCTTCCTTTAAAGAATATTTTTTTTCTTGCATCCACCCTCTAAAAACTAGGTGCGCCTTATGGTCAGGTGCATCTTATGGAGCGAAAAATACGGTAATAGGCCAGAAGATTTAAATTCTGCTTGAGACTGTGCCAAAAAATATGACTAATTGCAGGCACCATCTTAAAACAGGCATTCTTCTTTTCTCTCAAAGAGAAAGGAAGATCCTTTCTGAGATGATGCCTCTTGTGGCGCATGCATGCATCAGCTGAAACATGGCACGGCACCTGTTGTCCTCTGCTTGTTGCTGGGCCGTGACTGCCATGGGCTGCAGGCTGCATGGTCACTCCTAAAAATCTGTATTTCTCTGAACTTTGCAGTGCGGTTTTCTAGCCAAGTAATGGATACATAAAAGCATATAATAGGGTATAAAGTGTGCATAATAATGCTTGTATTAGTGGGTGTGTGGGTGTGTCATTAACACGCATCATAGTAGGGAAAACCGCTTGCAAAAACGTGTATATTAGCCAAAAGCGACATACAAAAATAGGTTCGTTGGGGAAACATTTGTTCGAAGATGCTGATCAATTTTAATGAAGATCTTTTTATTAATGCATATGTGGAGAACTGAATTTAAGGGTGGGGAAATAGAAAACCCGGAGATGCAAAACTGACACCTTTGCCCACCAATAAGGTAAAGGTAAAGGGACCCCTGACCATTAGGTCCAGTCATGAATGACTCTGGGGTTGCGGCGCTCATCCTGCTTTACTGGCTGAGGGAGCCGGCGTACAGCTTCCGGGTCATGTGGCCAGCATGGCTAAGCCACTTCTGGCGAACCAGAGCAGCGCATGGAAATGCCGGTTAACTTCTCGCCAGAGCAGTATCTATTAATCTACTTGCACTTTGACGTGCTTTCGAACTGCTAGGTTGGCAGGAGCAGGGACCGAGCAACGGGAGCTCACCCCGTCGCGGGGATTCGAACCGCTGATCTTAGTTATTATTAATTATTAATAGTTAATATAAACAAATAAACAAACAAATTTTTACATCACCCTTCATCTTGTAGATCTCAAGGCAGTTCACAACATTAAAAAATAGCTTATAGTCTGAATACAGTCACAGGACTGGTTTACCTAGGAGTCTGTGGTCTGAAGGAAAAAACCCCCATTATATTAATAATAATAATATCTAGCACACTAGCAGCAGTGCTGGAAATTGCAGCAGCATCACCACTGATAGTGGGAGCTCCTTGCAGTCCATTTCCAGCACTACTGCCCACTTTATTGCCCAGCCCCTGGTGGAACCTTGTATCGCCTTGCTGCTGCATCTGCAGTGAGGAACGAGGCATTTGCCGTGTGGCCAAAGATGCTCTAGCCCAGGGGTCAGCAACCTTTTCCAGCCATGGGCCAGTCCACCATCCCTCAGACCATGTGGGGGGCCAGACTATATTTTGGAAAAAAATAATGAATGAATTCCTATGCCCCACAAATAACCCAGAGATGCATTTTAAATAAAAGCACACATTCTACTCATGTAAAAACACACTGATTCCCGGACTGTCCGCGGGCCGGATTGAGAAAGCGATTGGGCTGCATCCGGCCCCCGGTCCTTAGGTTGCCTAGGTAAAGGGAGCCCTGACCATTAGATCCAGTTGTGACCGACTCTGGGGTTGCGGTGCTCATCTCGCTTTTCTGGCCAAAGGAGCCGGCGTACAGTTTCCAGGTCATGTGGCCAGCATGACTAAGCCGCTTCTGGCGAACCAGAGCAGCGCACGGAAACGCCGTTTACCTTCCCGCCAGAGCGGTACCTATTTATCTATTTGCATTTTTGGTGTGCTTTCGAACTGCTAGGTTGCATGAGCAGGGACCGAACAACGGGAGCTCATCCCGTCGTGGGGATTCGAACCGCCGACCTTCCGATCGGCAAGCCCTAGGCTCTGTGGTTTAACCCACAGCGCCACCCGCGTCCCTGCTCTAATCATTTGCCCATTTGTTTCTGGTCCTATACAAAACAGCCACCAGGTGGAGATGGAAGGCAAATGACCAAGCAGACAAACAGCTGGCAGCGCTGAGGCTGGATTGGGTGTGTGTGAGAGAAGGGTTATTTACACTTGCCATTAGGTGCGGAAGAATGGTTAGAAACACTTCCCTCTGCACAACACCCGTTCCCCAATCAAATTATCCTCCCATCAAATTAGGAAATGGCTGCCGACGCTTTGAAATAAAGGGGGGAGGGCATCAAAGGAGGATTACAAGAACCAGCCATGCCTCTCTCCCACCTCATGGGTAGCTGGGCTCTCTCCACCTTGCAAAGGCCCAAGAAAGGGCTTGTCCACACCTTGGTTGACCCATCCAAGGAAACACGATTTTACCGCTGATTTGGGCCAGACAGCAATCATGTTTCCCACCGATCGCTGTTTGTTCCAATTCACCGACAAACAGCGCGTTTCACTGGGGAAAGCAAAAATCGCTTGGACCCACGCCTAGGAAAGCCCAGGAAAAGGAGCAAACCTCTTGGACCCGTGTTTTCTAGGTGTGGGACAAGCAAAGTGTGTGTGATCCCCAAGTTGAGCCCAGCACAGAAACGCTGACATGAATTGACCCCAATTATTTCACATAGCCATTCATTTTAATGGGTCGTCTCTGAGTAATGACTCCTTCAGAGGTCGGAAGCAGCCTAAGGGTGTGCCAGGGTGTTAGGTTGTGTGAGAGGGTGGCACACCAGGGGTTAATAGCTGTTGCAGTTGAAAATAACTGGAGAGCGGACGCTCTCAATAACTGTTTAGTAACCAGTCTTCTGAGAAAAAGGAAATGGGGACTCAGCAAAAGAGAGAAAGCTGTGCAGCTGAGGGAGACCACAAAGAATGGAGGACGCAGATTGAGGTCACTGAAGGAGAACATGGGAAGAGAAACTTGCCCTCTTTCCATACTCTGTGAAAGGACTGACCTAACACATGGAGTCCATTTCCTGTGGAGCTTTGCTTCAGCTGTTAAAGTGCTCTCCAGCCCTTTGGGGATTTCCAATTGGTTAGGGGAAAGTGTCCAAGCTCACTGTACTGTAATGAGAAACAGAAAAGATGCTGCAATCTCGCATCTGGAGGCTGTGGGAGCCCGTCGTGAACAGTGATTTCCACTTTGGTGTCGCCACACCACCACGTTCTGAATTGGAGAAGACTTGCCCTCAAGCTAGGGGGCAGGCCACTGACACTGAGTGTGCAGGAAAGCAGGGCGGGAGAGGACTTCTGGAAGCTGAACATGTCAACATGCCAAGGCGCAGCTTATTTGAGGCAGGCCCGTCCTCTGTGCCACTCACGCCCGCTAAGCAGAGGTGTTTAGGAATGGCCGGGGTGGAAGCAGAGACCTCGGCCTGTGAAGTGAAACAAGTGCCATGAAACTGTCAGATCCTCTTTACTCAGCCATATCCTGTTTTGAGAGACCAAACAGCAGCAAAAGGAACAAAAACTGCATGGGAAGAGGATTTGATGTGCAACATTCATTGTGTGTGGGAGGTGCTGAAAAACAAAACAAAAAAATCTTTCACATAATTAATTGTGTGTTATGTGTGAGGGAGGAATGCAGAAATTCCCAAACATGGGAACACAAAAATCTTTCCAATGGTAGTGGAGGAAAAGGAAGGAAATGTGTCCACTCTTAATCACTGCCTGAGCTGTGTGGGTAGTGAGTTTCCTGACCTCTCTTCCTGCCTGGGCTCTCCAAGAATTGCAGGAAATTAGGCTTCTGCTGTGGAAAGGGAGAGACAGAGAGAAAAACCCCAACCTCCTTCATAACACGGAGTGTAGAAGTTGTCAACATCTCCACCCAGGAGAAGCAACACTTAGCTTTGCTGAGAAAATGACAAGTGAGATTATTTCGATCCTGGCAGATTTCTACGCCCCCTGCTGAAAATTCAATTATCTCCAGTTGTTTTAAGAACAGGAATAAAAGAAAAATGCATACCCACTTCATGATAAGGCAAAGTGAACGTAATAGTGGTGGACGGTAAGGAGAAGAAGAGATAAGAATGGTCGCATCCTAGGAGTTCTTGAACTAAACTGTCGTTTTCTTTCCAATTAGACAACCTGTTAAATGGGGCGGGGGAGAATGCTTGGGTTTTGCACAGACTGCTAAAAGGTGTGGTTTTGTTCTCCTCATCACCTGGTGACCTCAACCACCCCTATTGCAATCTCAGCCTCCCTTTTCCAGGCTCATCCCAACTTTTAAAAGTGCAGTGGAAAACCCAGCAAAAATACTTCCACACCATGCCTTAAAGGACATGACTTACCCCAAAGAATTGTGGGAACTGTAGATTGCTTTCTCCATATGTGGTATATTGCACTTGACCTTTTTTGAGGTTTAAATCGGTGTTAGCCAAACTAATAGAATGAGTGAGCTTTTGCCTCTAATCAGCTGACCTGGGGCCACCAACTTTTCCGAACCAACGACCTGTTTTCTCCCTGTGGCTGCTGCCTATTTTTAGGGTGTGCATTGGCAGCTTACAAGGGAGCGAGGTCATTTCTCACAGAAACCCCCCCCCCCGGCTGCTGTGTTTTAAATCGCCTTTTAAAATGTTTCTGTACGCACCAGAGAGGGAATGGGAATATCTTCACCCAGTGGGCTTGTTTCCTCACATTAAATTCCTGTTCAGTGTCACCTGCAGTGCCGTTTTTCAAGAAAAATGGTGCCCAAACCCGCCACGAATGCTTCCCTTGTTTTAAGCGAGATGGGCGCCGCACCCCATAGTCGCCTTTGACTGGACTTAACTGTCCAAGGGTCCTTTACTTCTTCTTTTTAACCTTACCTTATGATGGCAATGGCAGCCACCTGAGAGGTGCTGGAACTAAGTTCCAATTGGGAAAAAGCCCTGGTCACCTGTGCATGTGATATCAGATGTCAAGGAAATAAACTACTATCTGACTTTTAGAAGACATCTGAAGGCAGACATGTTCAGGGAAGTTTTTAATGTCTGTTTTATTGAATTTTTAATATTCTGTTGGGAGCTGCCCAGAGTGGCTGGGGAGGCCCGGCCAGATGGGTGGGGTATAAGTAATAAATGATAATGATGATATCTGAAACGTATACACCTCTGCTTAATTGTAGCTTAAGTTTTCAGATCAGATGAAAGCTAGTTTGAGGTGGAAAGCATCAAATAGAAGTATTGCTAAAAGAAACCCCGACAGGATAGATATGCAATGTGGCTTACACCTGCTTCAAACATCAGCGGTGGGACCTAGCTAGTAAAGGTAAAGGGACCCCTGACCATTAGGTCCAGTCGCGGACGACTCTGGGGTTGCGGCGCTCATCTCACTTTATTGGCCGAGGGAGCCGGCGTACAGCTTCCGGGTCATGTGCCCAGCATGACAAAGCCGCTTCTGGCGAACCAGAGCAGCGCATGGAAACGCCGTTTACCTTCCCACCAGAGTGGTACCTATTTATCTACTTGCACTATGATGTGCTTTTGAACTGCTAGGTTGGCAGGAGCCAGGGACCGAGCAACAGGAGCTCACCCCGTCGTGGGGATTTGAACCGCCAACCTTCTGATCAGCAAGTCCTAGGCTCTGTGGTCTAACCCACAGCACCACCCGCGTCCTGGGACCTAGCCAGAGGCTGTGTAAATACAGCTTATGTTATGGGACATGTACATAAATAGCAGTTAGGACCACGGTCATCCTGGCATCTAGCAGTCACTGAACCAGGGACCTTCTGCACCCAAAGCAAGTGCTCTACCACTGAGCTAAAGCTTTTACCCTAAGGATAAAGAGGCTAGGTGTGGTCTCTTGCTTGGTAGCTGCTATCATGCCACCATTTTGCTTCCTGAGGCAGAGCAGCAAATAGATTCATAATATCAAAGCCTGGTCATGCTATTGTGTTTCTTGAGGCAGAATATCTCATAAACCTTCCCTCTCCTTTGCAGTGAAAAAATGCAGCAATAAATAAATATGTAAGTAAGATAATCTGCTGCACTGAAAATTTGCTTTCTGATGCATTGTAGAGACCACCACAAAAAGGGCTGGCTCTACTATTAGGAAAGGAGGAGGAAGTCAGTGCTTTTAATCTTCCAGAAGCTTCCACTTGTGGTCTGAACAGACACATCCCTGAATATAGGGCAGCAACTGCCCACCTTTAGAAACAGTGCAACTTTTTCTTGTTGTTGTTGTTTAGTCGTGTCCGACTCTTCATGACCCCATGGACCAGAGCACGCCAGGCACTCCTGTCTTCCACTGCCTCCCGCAGTTTGGTCAAACTCATGCTGGTAGCTTCGAGAACACTGTCCAACCATCTCTTCCTCTGTCGTCCCCTTCTCCTTGTGCCCTCCATCTTTCCCAACATCAGGGTCTTTTCCAGGGAGTCTTCTCTTCTCATGAGGTGGCCAAAGTATTGGAGCCTCAGCTTCAGGATCTGTCCTTCCAGTGAGCACTCAGGGCTGATTTCCTTCAGAATGGATAGGTTTGATCTTCTTGCAGTCCATGGGACTCTCAAGAGTCTCCTCCAGCACCATAATTCAAAATAATCAATTCTTCGGCGATCAGCCTTCTTAATGGTCCAGCTCTCACTTCCATACATCACTACTGGGGAAACCATGGCTTTAACTATACGGACCTTTTTCTTGTACTAAGGAATAAAAGGGTGGCAAGGATCCGGCCCTCTAATAAAACCCTTAAGGAGTTTTATTTAAAAATGAGTAAGGAGGGCTGCCTCTGAAGCAAATGTGAGGAGGGTCACTGTTCGGGCAAAACATCTGACAATTTTTGAGGTAAGACGAAAGGGTTTGGATAAGGTGACTGAAAAATTGTTAGGGCAGGTATTGTACATTCCTAGATTGGCATGGTATTTTAATTAAGAGTGAAATCTGAAGCAAAGTGGGGTGTTCTTCCTCAAACAAGCCACCCAAAAATTCTTGGGGAAGCAAAGTGGGACTACTGAGCTGCCCAAGGACGGCTGAATTAGGGACGGCCAAATTCATATACTCCTGGGTCCATGTCACATGTTCCTTCACGAGTTCGTTTCCAACTCATTTCTGTATTAATCTGAGTTGGGTGGCTTTTAATGAAAACTCCACACGAAACCCTGCGTGTAAATACTATGTGTGGACAGGCCCTCACACTATAGAGAATTTCTGGATTGGCCACCATGCATGTAGAAAGTTTCCATTCAGTTGGGCTTCACACTAGCAGAAAGGTCATAGCAGGGGGCCTGGCTTCCATTGGTCAGCTCTTTGCATCCCAAGCATCTCCCGTTCCCCATACAGTGGTACCTCAGGTTAAGTACTTAATTTGTTCCGGAGGCCCGTTCTTAACCTGAAACGGTTCTTAACCTGAAGCACCACTTTAGCTAACGGGGCCTCCTGCTGCCGCCACGCCGCCGGAGCACAATTTCTGTTCTTATCCTGCAGCAAAGTTCTTAACCTGAAGCACTATTTCTGGGTTAGCGGAGTCTGTAACCTGAAGTGTATGTAACCTGAAGCGTATGTAACCCGAGGTACCACTGTACTCCCATGAGAGCTGCAGTTGAGATTTGGGGGATCACCTGTACTAATAGGCATTTGGGGCTCAGCGAGCTGCCATTAAATGGTAACGAAATGGTGAGATTCAAACGCTTAATCCTGTGTATAAGAGTTTCTGCTAGTTCAAACCTACCGCCAAGATGCTACCCAGAAAACTGTACAGCAGCATCACTCTAGTGTGACGCGGCCCCCACATCCTATATTTCCATTTCCATCTGTTTTCTTTATGTCCCCAAAGGAGATTCCCAGCACACCTTGAGCCATTTTCAGGCCAAACACATTCTACTTTTTATTACACATATTACATTCTTAAATAAAAATGCGTCACATAACTTTTTTTTTTTTTTTGCATAGATATCTTACAATATACCAATTTAAAAAAGAATTATGAAACAGACCAGTAACAAAAATAAATCTTCTTCATTAATAATCTTGGAACATTAACATACCACCATCATATAATACAAATAATATTTTTTTTTTTAAATCTTAAGACTTTTGTACAGCCAAAAAAATTGACAAAGTAATATATTCATATATATATATTTATATATAAAAAAGCTTAAAAAAAATAAAATGTCAACCGAAAAAAGGCAGAACCGAGGGCTACAGGATTGGGTACTTCCGCGATATACTAGAAATACCAGAGAAGGCCTGAGAGAACGAGACGGAAGGTTTCCTCCAAATGCACTTGGCAAACGCATCTGGCGCAAGGGAAGCTGTACTGTAGTGCAAAATGAAAGTCCTTCAAGTGTTGTTGGTTGTTATATGGGCATTGCTTCTCTTCTTCTTTTCAAATGAATGACCAAGTTGGAACACACACGCAAAAAGGAAATTATATATAGATATAAGTATATACAAACGCACAGACGCACACCCCTTTATAACAAAACAGGGACTCCGGTGGGTTTATATGATTGCTAGAGGTGATGTGCAAAAGCCTTTGCTTAGGAGAGGAATGCTGGGGAAACACACACACACACACCTTCTGGTTTCTGGCTTGGTGCCTTCTAACATTATTCTTAAAATAAAAATATCCCAGGCCAGGAAATTGTTCCGGGAGATCAACTGATCCTATCAGGCTGCTGAATTCTCAAAAGCCATGTTGCTCTAGCTTAGGAGGCAACAGATCGTAAAGAACAGGCAAGTCAAATCCAATATTGTGACTCACTTCTGTTGCATGGAAGGAAAGCTGTTGGGGGCACCTGTGTGTAGCAAAGGTAGTTAAATGCACCATTTTGGCCCCAATTCGAAATCAAAGCTATGCAGCAGCAGGATGGACACCCATTGCTACATTCATGAAGCTCCCTCTGCGCTAAATCAATGCATGGGACACCCCCCACCCACAATTGCCTGTCATCTCTATGGCAGGACAGCTGGCTTGTGGGGAAGCTTTGGGGAATTTCAGAGATCGGGGCCTGCAAATGCAAAATGGATAGTATGCTGATCCTTAATTCACTTGGGGTTTCACCAGCTTGGGCGATCTGGCGGTCAATGTATTTTAATGAAAAAACAAAATGAGTAGGCCAATCTTACATTTCTGAATCCAAAAATGTCACGTATAAGCATTTCAAAGAAAGAAAACACAACACTACCGCCCGCATTTGCAATCAGAACAGGTAATAAATACATTCTTGATATGTTCCTCCTTCCACCCTATTTTTTTTTGGGGGGGGAGGGGAGGGATGAAATTGCTCTTCTCCCCGAAAAAAGAAAATAAAGAGAGAGAATGCCAGATTCTAAATGGCAAAAGGTGTTTCAGGCCAAATCTTGCCACTTCAAATGAAGGCATTATATATACTGTATAAAAAAAACATAAATACAACAAGAGGAGATAATAAGCTTAGGGCCACTTTATCACCATTCAGAAAAAATACCATACAAGGAACCTCACTGTGCCCACTATAGGTTGGGAGGGAAAATAGAGAGTTGTCTTTCAAGTCAAATTTTAACATGGGATCCACCAGAGACCAGCGGTCTTGCATACTGGCGCACTGAGAATTGAGAGGCAGAAGCAACGAGAACATTTGCCCCTTCTCCTGCCTTGCTGCTCCTTAACTGTGTGCCCCTCTCTACCAGTGTGATTCAGGCAGTGCTCTCAAATATTGATGGCCAACTGGAATGCCACGAGTCCTCGCCCCACCCGGGCCCTTCCTGCGTTTTTGCCTCCCATGCCTACTTGTGCTGGATTAGGAGACCAGGTGATGCCCAGCTCCCTCTCGTACTGAGAGCACTGCACAAAGAGCAGCCCCAGGACCAAAGACGTCCACCATTGCCAATGAAGCAAGAAAGCCCTCTTCCTTAAAGAAAAAAATAAATCCCAACCTCTACAGGACAGCAAAGCGGAGGTGAAATGGGGCAAGTGCCGAAATCAAGTTCTCGAACTATTTACAAACGCTCCATTTCAATTTCTTCAGGATTTGTAATATGGAAAAAGGAAACCCCTCAAAAGCATGGCGAACTGTTGTGATGGCACATCCATCAGGCATGGTTCACAGGTGAAAAAGCCAGAGGTTGCAGCACCTAAGTGATGACCAAGGGGAGGGAGCAACCAGGTAGCCTCCGTGGTGGTGGCGGTGGCGGCGGCGGCCGTAAAGTGATGGTGACAGCACGGGGCTCAGATTCTGACTGGCCAGCAGTAGTGTTTGAGCCACTGATGCCATGGGTCCATGTTGGGTGCAGTCTGCCACTTAACAGTTGCATGGCTGGAAACTAGTATTCCTCTCCCCTATCTTGCAATCCCCGCCATTAAAGTCTCTTTCTTCCTTGCTCAACACTTGGGCTGGCTTTACATATTTACTCAGAAGCACATCTTATTTATTTCAAGGAGGTCATACTTTCCAATGTGTGTGCTTTTTCAGACCACTAACTTCGTGAAGCCATTAGAGAGGGGACCAGTTTAGGCTTCTGATCTGCTGCAAAAGGGCGGGCACTGAAGATTTCACATTCTGAAGCAGAGATGTTAAGCGAGACCACAAATGACACTGGGGAAGTAAATCAACATTGTTCTTTTCCATACCCATATTCCCCCCCTCCCACCCACATTGAATTATTTAAAATACAGGCTTATATTAAATTTGTCACCAAGTCTTATAGATGATCTCTAAGAATTCTAGAGGCAATAGGATTTAACAACATTTCAGATGACGACATTCATGGATATTGGTACCCAATGATTACTGTGATGACAGATATGTGTGCAGATTATGTAGGATGCTACAAGAATAATTTCTTGGACAGTATAGATTTTTCAGCTAACACACTGTCTGGATGTTCCGACATCCACCTCAGCTGATAGTCTAAAACTGCCATACAATATTCAAATAACGAGCTACAAAGCTCTCAAATGCCCACTCAACCCCTGGGTGGAATAGAAAATATGTGAACACAGATACAGAGAACTACAAGATTGTCAGCAAGCAGTGCTCCAATATTTTCTAAATCATAGCTAACCATAAATCTTTGGAATAAAACTTAGATCTCTCCTCCCTCATCCTTAAATGCTCTCGTTCTTTGCCCTCACACAGATGGTTAGATTTTGGTCCTTTTCACATCCCACTGTTAAAGGGCTGGGCCTTGTATCTGCACTGACAGCCACAGCGTCTGAAAGAACTCGGATGCAAAGAGAGTATTATTTGAAAACTCAGTTAAGTTTGACGAAATCAAAGATGGAAAGAAAGCCAAGAAGGCCAAGTGCTAAGAATCCCTGTGTCTGTACTTACATTATACAATTTTAGATATTCTGTATATAAAAAAAGAACTTTTAAAGTTTTTGCATCCTAAACACAAATTAGGAAATTACTGAACAGTCGGCAAGTCAAAAAAACAGTCAAAAGGGTGGGCAGTGAGCTAGTTTAGAGAGTGGAAGAGCAGCAACCAAGGAAGAATCAACATGCCCATTTCATTTCTCGGCACATCTTGCACGGGTAGTCCTGCATTATTAACTATACACAACCATTCCCAATGACTAACTCTCCACCTGCATGAGAGATAGTTTGAAAAGGCAGTCTTTGGAATCAGTGCCAGCTCCAACTAACTAGAAGTAGACATCATGTATATATAGAATAGGGTGTGTATGTGTGTGTGTAAAGTACAGGGAAATTAAATCCACTTTGAGTCACAACCATCAAATTATCTACAAGATTCAAAAGGTGAGCCTGATACCTCCATTGATCACTAAATGGTTCAACCATTGGTCAGTGTGGACCCATGTGTTTTCTATTTGTTATTTTTGCTTAAACTTGTCACTTGGTAGGAAGTCAGTGCTCACCAAAAAGCCAATCCCTTTCATTTAACCTTATCATGGCAGAAGAGTGGGGAAGTCACATCACCTTGATAAATGGGAAAGGAGAACATTAAGTAGGTTTCATCTTCAGAGCAAAAATGCTGCGTGGGGTTATTTTAACCAGAAGAGGTTCTCACTTTTCCATTCATGATGATCATCGTATTTCTACAAATCTGCTCAACCCAAAATATATCTTTTTGCAGGTGCCAGACACACAAATCAGTAACCAGGCTTTTGACCGGGTCAAAGGGTCAAAAGCGGCCTGAGCTGCTAACCAATCGTCGTGGGTTGCAGCAAGCGTGCTCCCCACGGTGCAGAAGGAAAATCTGAAGTCATGCCTGAGTGACAGAATCCAAGACAGATATCCAGGTGAGTAAATGAGTTCTGATGAACATGGAGAAAAAGGTTCAAAGCTTCCAGAGAAGCTGTTGTTCAAGTTTTCATTAGGCAATTAAATAGAAAGTCCGAACTATGGCAATGTGGTGAAGGCTCCAAAGATATACTGTGGTGCTGCTCAGGGACATTGCTGGCCAACCACTGTGAAGTAACATCAGTAGTTTTCACAGTCCCCTAGTGCACATGATGTGCAATAACAAAATATCAAAATTTAAGGAACGAAAAGCAAAGCCAAAACCAAAGAAAATATCCTTGATGAAGTCTATACCATCTCAAGCGGAAAAAGTAGGCGTGTCCCAGGTGTCACTGCACAGTCTACTGCCAATTAAGGCCATTGGTATTGACTTGAAGGGATCTTGACAGCTCAGTTCTATAAAGAAGAACCATAATCAGAGCAGGTCAAAGTGTCTGTGAGGAGCCTTGATGCATCGTTGTACATAAGGGAGTCTCGAAAACAAAAACAGAAAGGAACCAAGACATTAACGTTTTGGCTACCAAACTGGGATTTGGTTTTTCTAGGTCATTAGTTTCCCCTCCAAAATCCATTTAAAAAGAAAAGTTAGTGCTACAAATATGCAACTCCAAAAGTCATGTTCCCCATCCCCTATCATCCAAGTTGCATCGAGAAGCAAGTTACATTTCCTTCTCTTACTGCGGCAGGGAATCCTCTCCCGTTTGCTTTCATTTCCATTGGCAATAAACGGGGAACAAAAATCCTACGGTCCTGAAGTGCTGTAAGCACCATCCGTGTCTTGCTGACATCTTCTCGCACCCCTTTCCTCCTCCTCCTCAGGTGTCATCTGCCTTCCAGTTGGGCAAGGTGTAGAGAAGACACATATGTAATTAAGTATAGCTGGGTGCATGACGGCATTTAGTGCATGGTTTGCGTACAGGTGATCAAGTTCTCTTCCTCCGAAAGGCAGCAAGAGACAGGCAGCTCCCCTCCCCCCAGGATGCTCAGGTCTGTCTGCATCTGGACCATGCTGAGAGATCTATTATTTAGATGTGCCTCTTCATATGGAGGGCAAGGTGATCAGATCTTGAAAAACACCTGCAGAAATAAATAAAATATATATATATATATATATATCAGGGTTGGACAATAGAAAACTTTTCTGATTTTGTATACCAGATCATCGTCAAACGGGATGGAAAACTCTCTGCTTACAGCTGAACCTTAAAAAGGCAGAATTTGCAAAGCACCTGGTACGTGTTGAACACTCTAGAAATAATGTATGACTGTGAATCTTCCATGCATGCTTGAGCTCAGGCTTAGCAAATAAAACACCAATTGTGGGTTTTGATGTGGGTGTCTTTCTGCAACTCACAAATATACACAGTTATGAGAAAAGGAATATAAGGGTTATTTCATTATATGGGATGTAACAAGCTGTATTTGTCCTAAATACGCCAACTCCTTTGGCCTCAAAGTGGAGATGACTGCTGCACCCCATAGTTGAATTAACCATCCAGGGGTCCTTCACCTTTTCACCTTTATATATGTTTTTAATGTTTTGTATATTAATAATAATTAAAACACAGAGCACCAGAGGTGCAACCTTTTTATTGGGCCAGTAAACAGGAGTCCAGTATGCTTTCATTTTCCAAGAACAGGAAGTGCATCACCTTCGTTGGCGGGAAGCAACAAGGCTGCGTTATAACTCAAGTGCTAGAGTAACTCGCTGTAGCTAGAATTTTCTATTAGCAGCAGCATATCAAATAAGGCTAGGAGAAGCAATGCACCACCACCCAGTCTGTAAAATCCCGACAAAGCAGCACAGTCTAGCTATTAGCCATGCCACAACAAACAGCAGTTTTGAATGGGTTCCTAATAGTGGGTACAAACCACTCATTTTAGAGCTAAACTTTACTCCTAACATATTTGATTTTTCAATAGAGGCTGGTCATATTTATATTGGGTGGGGGAGACCTTTGGCGCACCCGACAGTTCTGAACTACAACTCCCATCAGCCCTAGCCAAAGGCAGGAGATTATGGGAGTTGTAGTTCAGCAAAATCTGGAGGGCCCAGAGCTTCCCTATACCTGATTCATATGAAGAAGAGGAGTTTGGACTTGATATCCCACCTTTCACTCCCCTTAAGGAGCCTCAAAGCGGCTAACAATCCCCTTTTTCCCTTCCTCCCCCACAACAAACACTTTGTGAGGTGAGTGGGGCTGAGAGACTTCAGAGAAGTGTGACTGGTCCAAGGTCACCCAGCAGCTGCATGTGGAGGAGCGGGGATGCGAACCCAGTTCACCGGATTACGAGTCCACCGCTCTTAACCACTACACCACGCTGGCTCTCTTTTAAGGGGAAAATCCTGCTGCGTTTATGAATTGTATACTCATTCAGCCGTTTTCATAGACCCATTTTCATAAGGCTGTATTTCAGCAAACCTAAAGAAGGTAGATCCACACCATTATTTCCAACAAGGCGCCATTTCCCAGTAAAAACTTCCCTGTAGGAAGTAGGTCTTTGGAACAGTCCAAATCCATTACAGTCCCGTGCAAACCAGTGTGATTTCAACAAGAATGCCAGGCTTGCTAAACCCCTGCAGCCCTGCATCTGCTCCTTGATCAGTAAGGAACAACTGAAAATGAGACTGCAGTCCACACAGCATCTACCTCAAAGGTTGGCTTGCAGTTCAACTGCTTGACCCTGAAAAAACTGGCTGAGCACAAGCCCAGTGCCACAATCCATGCAGCTTCTGCGTTCCTTCCAGTACAGAGGGTGACCTACTGAGCACTTCAACAGAAATACCTAGCGAAAGCTAGTAGCCAGCTTATTGAAAGGACACCCAAGGGATTCTCTTTCAGTCCCCTCTGGGGTCCACCTCTGCTCCCTTTCCTCTCAACCTTGCTGCCAAAACACACACAGAAACACACACACACACACACACACACACACACACACACACACACCCACACACCATTTGCAGTACATATGCTGATGTTGCTAATCTGCACGACACTTTGCCAGCTCACATCCATATGCCTCACCTGAGATGCAAGACGCAGCTGGAACAACTAATTGCGGGGTGGGGAGCTGTGTGGGATTCTTTTTCTTCCATTAGGAATAGGCAGTGCCGTGAAGAATCACAGCGCACAAATTGTGTGCTTGTGTGTATTACATACTCAAAGGTTAAAATTCTGGGGAAATAACATGCGCTGGGCAAGAAAACTCCAGAAGCAGAGCGTTCAGGCGATGTGATGGACACAGTGTCTTGCCTCTGTAATGGGTTGTTGTTGTTTTAACACATTTTATTGATTTTCCAAAGATAATAAAAAACACAAAGAAACAAAAACATACGTTCACAAAAATATTTCTTAAAAAAATAGAACAAAATAAACACAAAATACACTTTTGGGATTCCTAGAATCCCTTGACTTCCATCTAAACCCTTACCTGGTTCTACTGTTTATCAACTTACTACATGTCCGTTGTTATATTTATATCATATTTAAATCACCCACTATTCATTCATGATAAAATTACAAGTGATCTTAAAACCCTACTAATGTATTAAGCCGTGTACAGTCATACCTCGGGATGAATACGCTTCAGCTTAAATATTTTCGGGTTGCGCTCTGCGGCGACCCAGAAGTAACGGAGCGCGTTACTTCTGGGTTTTGCTGCTCGCGCATGCGCAGACACTCAAAATGACGTCACTCGCATGTGCGGAAGCGGCGAAACGTGACCCACGCAGACACGCAGTCACGTCTTCCGTTCGCTTCAGGATGCGAATGGGGCTCCGGAACGGCTCCCGTTCGCATCCAGAGGTACCACTGTACATTACTTCTGTATATATCCAATAAACATCTTCCATTCTTACTTGAATTCATTGTCATCTCTTCCTCTCAGTTTCATCGTCAATTTTGCCATTTCAGCATATTCCATCAATTTAACTGTAATGGATTGGATGAGAGCCAACAAACTGAATCTCAATCCAGGTTAAGACTGAGGCACTTGTTAGTGGACAGTTCCCTAGACCAGATGGCTGGGAGGTTGCCTGCTCTTGTTGGGTTGAAGGACCAGGTATGTAGCTTGGGGGCCACTCCTGAATCCTTTGCTGTTGGCTTGAGGATCAGGTAGCCTTAGGGGTGCAAAGAACCTTCCTTCAGCTTTGACTGATGACCCAGCTGCACCCCTATCTGGACCGGAATAGCCTAACTTCTGTCGTCTATGCTCTGGCAATCTCTAGGTTAGATTACTGCAATGTGTTATTACAGTCATACCTCGGGTTACAGATGCTTCCGGTTGTGTTTTTTCGGGTTGTGGACCGCCGAAACCCGGAAGTACTGGAACGGGTTACTGCCAGGTTTTGGCGGTTGCGCATGCGCAGAAGCACTAAATCGCGCTTTGCGCATGCGCAGAAGCGCCGAATCGCAACCCGTGCATGCACAGACGCGCCACTGTGGGTTGCGGACGCTGTGGGTTGTGAACGTGCATCCCGCACGGATCATGTTCACAACCCGAGCGTCCACTGTACATGGGGCTGCCCCTAAAGACAGTTCAGAAACTTCAGCTGGTGCAGAATTCGACAGCCAGCCTGTTTGTGGGGGCAATATGTGTTGAACATATAATGCCATCCTGCCTCGACTGCACTGGCTTCCAAGTAGTTTCTGTGCCCAATTCAAATTGCTGGTTTTGACCTATAAAGCCTTAAATGGCTCAGGATTGCAATACCTCAAGGACCGCCTCTTTCCGTATGAACTGACCCGGACCCTGCAATCATCTTCTGAGGCTCTTCTTTGTGTGCCTCCTCTGTGAGAGTTCTGGAGGGTGGCAGCACAAGGACAGGCCTTTTCTGTGGTGGCTCCCCGTTTGTGGAACGCTTTCCCCAGGGAGGTTTACCAGACGCCTTTATTGCATTTCTTTAGGCACCAGTTTTCTCTTCAACCTGGCCTTTGGCTGATTAACATTCTATAGACTCTGAAACGTGGTTGTGGGTGAGGGGTTATTGGTTTGCCTTTGTTTTATTATATGTTTTGTGCCCTCAGTTTATATTTTTATGTTGTGAAATGCCTGCGATCTTCAGATTAAGGGCAGTACACTTTTTTTAAAGGAGTGCCACAGTCAAAAAGCCCTCTGACAACATGAGGGCACCTATCTGGTACACACATGCAATGCACAAAATTCTGAGTTTTCAACATGTCCAGAATCTGATCTCTTTAACAAACCACATAGCAAGGAAACTCAGTGCCTGGTGTGATTGGTATAGGGCGGCAACCACATTCTGGAGAGAATGATGATACACATTCATCTTCACATGGTCATATGTCATTGTTAGCGGAAATTCATTATTTTCATTTTATATTTGTATACCTTGCCACTTCTTCCAAGGAACTCAAGCCAGTGAGGTTTTTTGTAGCCTACAGAAACCCTGCATGGTGGGCTATGCTGCCCATCTGCCTTTCTCAAGATCACCAAAACCTATTCGGGTATTTGAACAGGCAAACAAACAAAGAAAATGACCCTTTTTGGTCTTCACAGTTAACAATTCTTTTGTTTGAAAACATCCTCACCTCTCTGGGTGCAGCAGGATGAGCAGGTTCTATCCCCAAAGGCAAGGTAGTTTAAACAAAAAGTCTGAAAGCCCACATAGAGCCCCTGATTGCTATTTAAGTTTCCAGTGTCACATGTCAATTAAACTTCTGCTGACCAAAACAGGGTGGAGAGGAAGAGGTTAAAACAAAAATCACAAATCACCTTGCGGATATAAAGAAAAACAGGACTTTTATCAGCTAGGTTGTCAGTTCATGAAAGCATCCTTATTCAGCTAATCAGAGACTTATTTTCTCTCACAAATGAGAGCTTAAAAGAGATTATTGCTGCATACTCCTGGGAATAGGGAAGGAAGAAGAGTAATGAAAGCAAATGTTACAATCACAAGCTGGGACAATTAAATAAAAAGAACTACTATTTTGCCAGTTTGAATGAAGTAAGTTTCTGGATAAGCAGTGAGACTCTTATTTCCTCAGATAATCGAACATTTTGGGGGGGGGGGAGTGACAAAATATGTACAGTAATACCTCGTGTTGCGTTCCACTCTTGTTGCGGACTTTCAGCTTACGAACGTGGCCAACTCAGAAGTGTTTACTTCCGGGTTTGCCGCCCGCGCATGCGCAGAAGCGATCTGCACGCTTCACGCACGCACAGAAACGCACATGCGCAGAAGAGGCGCTCTAGTTGTGAACTTATCAGGGTGCGAATGGCACCCCAAAATGGATTAAGTCCACAACTAGAGGTACCACTGTATGATTATCCATATGGCAAGGTTTCTCTACATTACACCCTCTCACCCCCTGTGCATTTGGAGATCAAGTGTTTACTTAAAGAGTGCTGATAACACGCAGCTCTATTTCTCCACCACATCTGAATCAGGAGAGACTGTTATGTACTGAAGTTCTCACCCTGGGCCAGCAGGGGGATACTGTAGATAGTTTTCACTCAGGTCCACATATGCAAATAAGGGATTGAAAGTGACGTTCAGTGATTGGATAGTTACAGAAAATGGTTACTGTTGCGTTCTAGTGGAGCTCTATATAAGCAGGCTTGCTGAAGCCTTCAGTTCAGTTCTGTTCTGGCCTGTGAATAAACAAGAGCTGTTTGAAGAATTGCTGTGTCGTCTGATATGTTCACCCACAACTTAACAGAGACGATGCAGTCTTAGGCCATTACTTGGATGCGGTGGGGAGATGGATGTCAGAAAACAAGCTGAGCTTGAATATGAGTATTTCCCATATCCAATAAATTGGTCAACTGGCCCCCCCGGATGGCGTTGCACTCCCCCTGAAGGAGCAGGTTCGCAGTTTGGGGTGCTTCTGGACCCAGTGGCTAGAAGCGCCTTTTGCCAACTGCAATTGGTTCGACAGCTATGGCTGTTCCTGGACTGGGGAAGCCTGGAGATAGAAGCTCAGGCCTCGGTTGCTTCAAGACTGGATTACTGCAATGTGCTCTATGTGGGGCTTCCTTGCGCTTGATCCAGAACACTGCAGCACGATTGCTGAGAGGAGTAAGACCTTGTCAGCATGTAACACCTGTGCTCAGAGATCTGTACTGGCTGCCGATTTGCTACTGGGCCATGTTCAGGGTGTTGCTATTAGTATACAAAGCACATAACAACTGGGGACCAGTTTACCTATGAGATCACCTGAGCCCATATACACCCACTCAATCACTTTGATCTGTGAACTGGCATTGTTACAAGTGCCATGTAATACCCGTTCCACATAAGAAATCAGTATTTTAGTGTGGCCACCTCCACATTGGAACTCCCTGGCTATTGATATCAGGCAGGCAACTTGCTATATACCAGGCATAGGCAAACTCGGCCTTCCAGATGTTTTGGGACTACAACTCCCATCATCCCTGACCACTGGTCCTGTTAGCTAGGGATGATGGGAGTTGTAGTCCCAAAACATCTGGAGGGCCGAGTTTGCCTATGCCTGCTGTATACTCTTTTCAGTGCCTGCTGAAAACATTCTGCTTAGACAAGCCTGCCCAGATACCGCTATTTAAAATGTTGATGCATGTTTAATCTGTCTTTAGTTTATTGTTTATTTGCATTTTCTTAAATGTTTTAAATTACCGTATTTTTTGCTCTATAAGACTCACTTTTTCCCTCCTAAAAAGTAAGGGGAAATGTGTGTGTGTCTTATGGAGTGAATGCAGGCTGTGCAGCTATCCCAGAAGCCAGAACAGCAAGAGGGATCACTGCTTTCGCTGCACGGCGATCCCTCTTGTTGTTGTTCTGGCTTCTGAGATTCAGAATATTTTTTTTCTTGTTTTCCTCCTCCAAAAACTAGGTGCGTCTTATGGTCTGGTGCGTCTTATGGTCTGGTGCGTCTTATAGAGCGAAAAATACAGTACTATTGCTATTTTTTTGATAAATGTATTGTTTTCTGGTTTTGTTTTGTTTTTGTAAATGGTTTTGAGGTGGTTTTATATATACACAATCAAGCCATGTATAAATTTTATGAAATTAATAAATATTTTGTCTGCCTGTTCAATTAAGATGCACGCCTTTATTCCAATGAGGAGGAAAACTCCCAAGGACATGGACTCTCCGGTACAAGCGTAGAACACTAACCTGCTGGATGTTCATTTGCTGCATAATGGTTCCTACCACAACCCCCCCCCCCCAAATCTACTACATTTTTATCTCCAGTCTTTTGAGGGTGGTGTACGTCAGGAATGTAGAACCTGTGGTTCTGCAGATGGTGTTGGACTCCAGTTCCCATCAGCTATCATGGCCAAAGATCTGGAATTATGGGAGATGCAGTCCCAAAACTTGGTTTTTTTTGGGGGGGGGGCACAGGATCTCTATTCCTGGAATCCCTCCCATTTTGTCCTCACAACAACCTTTTGACTTTGGTTAGACCAAGAGAGTGGCTGGCCCAGCTTCAAAGGGCGACTTTGTGGCCAAGTGGAGATTTCACAGAGCTCCCTGTAGCCATTACAGTCATATCTCGGGTTGAATGTGCTTCAGGTTGAGCGCTTTTGGGTTGTGCTCCGTGGCAACCTGGAAGTAACGGAGTGTGTTACTTCCGGGTTTCACCATTCGCGCATGTGCAGACACTCAAAATGACATCAGGTGCATGCGCGGAAGTGGCAAAACGTGGCCCACGCACGCGCAGACGCGCCGTCGCATCTTACGTTCCATTCAGGATGTGGATGGGGCTCCGGAACGGATCCTGTTCACATCCCGAGGTACCACTGTACTGCACAACTAACGCAGCAGGACCCTGAGGCAGGACACAAGGCGGACTTACTCAAAAAGCAGCTGTAAAATCTTATAGCACGGAGCTGAAGCAAACCTCCTCCACTCTACTCTCTGAAGCTAGACTGAAACTGTAGTGTGTGTGTGTGTGTGTGTGTGTGTGTGTGTGTGTGGTGTATGGGTGTGGGTAAGAAAGAGAAAGAAAAAGGGAGAGAGAGACAGAAGCAACTTCCCCCCATCCCTCACATACATCAAGCTGAGTACTTCTGACACCCAAATCCAAAAAGACCACTACCCAAAAAGCGACTTTAGGCAAGCCCAAGGCAACTGTGGAAAGCTCACACACCCTTTCTGTATCATGTCCCCTCAGTTTCAAATGCAACTTGCCACAAGCCATGGAAGGACTTCTGCTCAGGAAAGACAACCCTGTATCTGCCTTGGGCATGAAGGACTAGTTGTGTTTGTCTTTAGAAACAAGCCAGGAGAAAACAGAGACACCAGCCTGTTCAATGGGCTGAATAATATTACAACAAGAGCCAAGCTGAAATTTATCAGAACACTTTTCTTCTGAAAAGATGAGGCATTTCCCCTCACCCTCTTAGGAGGAGGCCACTTTGAAGAATTTTTCCCAACATTTTTGGGGGTTTTTTTGGTAGTGTGGCTACCATTTCCCCTTCACAATGTTATGGAACAATGCTAGTTAAGGTAAAGGTAAAGGGACCCCTGCCCATTAGGTCCAGTCGTGACCGACTCTGGGGTTGTGGCGCTCATCTCGCTTTATTGGCCAAGGGAGCCGGCGTACAGCTTCCGGGTCATGTGGCCAGCATGACTAAGCCACTTCTGGCGAACCAGAGCAGCGCACGGAAACGCTGTTTACCTTCCCGCCAGAGCGGTACCTATTTATCTACTTGCACTTTGAGGTGCTTTCGAACTGCTAGGTTGGCAGGAGCAGGGACCGAGCAACAGGCGCTCACCCCGTCGCGGGGATTCAAACCGCCAACCTTCTGATCAGCAAGTCCTAGGCTCTGTGGTTTAACCCACAGCGCCACCCAATGCTAGTTAGATGATGCTAAATGATGGACAGGCTGCTGCTGCAAGCTGTACACACTTACACACACTCTTAGGAGGAAAGGAACGTGTTGGTTCTGCTACTTCCGCTGCTAATGATAAGCCTCACCCCTGAGAAACCATTGGAAAATTCTTCCTGCCCCTGGGGAGATCTTGTGAAACGGTTCCTCCCAACTTCTCTGCCCACAAACAGGGCAGGTGGTTTTTAAGGGCCGTTTGTGCACAGCTCTAACCAAGATAAATAACTAAGGTTGGGGGAAAGGGAGTTAAACTGCTGTAGAGCACGAAACGCAATGCTGAAATGAAACGAACGGCTTCAGCCCAAGGTCAGAAACCTGTCAGCTTCTCCTTAAAGATTACAAGAAAGCAGCGGTCTCACTCCAAGAAGACAATTCCCTCAACTGCGAAGAACTAAGCTAGTTCCAGTGACAACAATAGAACAACAATTGTTTAAGGAGTCTCTCACTGCCAACAAAGAAAAGAGAACACATCTTCCTTCAGTTGACAAAAGGCATGCAAAGAAAAGCAAGGCTCCAGAGATCTCCCTCTAAGTTATGTTATCCCGCATTCTGAACAAACTAAAGCACAGCCAAATGTCCAGAAATAAAAAGGAAGGCAGCGCTGTGAGAGGAAAAACCAGGGGGTTTGGGCTGGGTGTTCATCAGTATGCGGATGATACCCAGCTCTACCTCTCCTTTAAATCAGAACCAGTGAAGGCGGTGAAGGTCCTGTGTGAGTGCCTGGAGGCGGTTGGAGGATGGATGGCAGCTAACAGATTGAGGTTGAATCCTGACAAGACAGAAGTACTGTTTTTGGAGGACAGGGGGCGGGCGGGTGTGGGGGATTCCCTGGTCCTGAATGGGGTAACTGTGCCCCGAAGGACCAGGTGTGCAGCCTGGGAGTCATTTTGGACTCACAGCTGTCCATGGAGGCACAGGTTAATTCTGTGTCCAGGGCAGCTGTCTACCAGCTCCACCTGGTACGCAGGCTGAGACCCTACCTCCCAACAGACTGTCTCGCCAGAGTGGTGCATGCTATAGTTATCTCCTGCTTGGACTACTGCAACATGCTCCACGCGGGGCTACCTTTGAAGGTGACCTGGAAACTGCAATTAATCCAGAATGCGGCAGCTAGACTGGTGACTGGGAACGGCTGCCGAGACCACATAACACTGGTTCTGAGAGATCTGCATTGGCTCCCAGTACGTTTTCGAGCACAATTCAAAGTGTTGGTGCTGACCTTTAAAGCCCTAAACGGCCTCGGTCCTGTATAACTGAAGGAGCGTCTCCACCCCCATCATTCAGCCCGGACACTGAGATCCAGCGCCGAGGGCCTTCTGGCGGTTCCCTCATTGCGAGAAGTGAGGTTACAGGGAACCAGGCAGAGGGCCTTCTCGGTAGTGGCGCCCACCCTGTGGAACACCCTCCCTTCAGATGTGAAGGAAATAAGTAGCTATCCTATCTTTAAAAGACATCTGAAGGCAGCCCTGTTCAGGGAAGTTTTTAATATTTAACGCTGTATTGTTTTTAATACTTGATTGGGAGCCGCCCAGAGTGGCTGGGGAAACTCAGCCAGATGGGCGGGGTATAAATAATAAATTATTATTATTATTATTATTATTATTATTATTATTATTATATAACTTGGTGGGATGAATGGGAGCAGCAGACAGACAGAATGTGAAAAATGATAATATTTCTTCCCCTGTTAGAGAACAGGTATCTGTTTACGTCCTCTTCTCTATACGTGAACCCCAGCAATCTAAATGTGTTCAGGAACTAAAGAGAGATTTGATTGTATTAAAAGCATTTTCTAATTGCAACAGAAGTCTTGAGGGCTGCTTTAAAAGGACAGGTAATTTCCCAAAACCTGCTCTCAAAGTTACATATATAAATAGGATTTCAGAAGATGGCATGGCCAGATGTAAGATATTATTTGATTATTGCCTCGGCAAGATCTCAGCTTTAGATTGCGCATGGCCAGTCTCTCAAATTAGGTGGTTTACTGCTTGGCAATGACAGTGCTATTTGATTTTATTACTGGGAAGTCTGATTTTATTTTGCCAATGCTATGCTAACAGTCAGATAGTCTAAAGTACACTGAGCCAAGTATTCCAGTCTGTAAGATCTGTTAAATCTTACAGCAAGTTTTCAAAAGTAACCAAGAGCTCCATAACTTCTAAGGAAACTGAGCGTAAAAGGCAACCACAAATAACAGCTGCCTATAAAGGTAAAAAGTGACTGTGCAGTTATTTGCCTTTATATAAATACACTGTAAGAAGGCTAAATAGCTTGAAAGTGCACTTTTAGCTGCGCTTCCTTTAAGGCTGTGGTGGCTACAGAAATCTTCATAAGCACAATATGCCTGCAGTCCTCTCTGTTTCGTTTTATTTTTTACGTTTTATTTATTAGATGTGGATGCTTTGTGACTTAACTATTCAATTTAGACATGCTTTACATTCTTCAAGCCATTATTTTGTATTAATGGCTTAGATTTGTTTCCATTCATGCTTTTATTTTTGTGATTGCGAATGGCGATATAAATAATTTTATGCCAAATAGTTTGAAATGTGGTTTGCTCTTTTCTTCTTCAATGTATTTTTATTGTTCTTTTAAAACAAAAACGGGGGGGGGGAGGGACACCCTCGCAGGCAATTGCAAGTATAAGAACAAGGACACTGGCATGAATTAGAAGGTTACATTGTAAAATCGTCCGTGTGCAAGCCTGTGTCTCCACACGTGACTATGCGCGGCCAGTGGTTGCCACATCTGTCCTAGTGAACTGGATAAAAGGACTGCTGGGCCCTTGAGGAGCATGAAAACCAAAACCTATAGCCCTCTTAAAAGGTAAAGGGTAAAGGGACCCCTGACCTTTAGGTCCAGTCGTGACCGACTCTGGGGTTGCGGCGCTCATCTCGCTTTATTGTCCTAGGGAGCCGGCGTACAGCTTCCGGGTCATGTGGCCAGCATGACTAAGCTGCTTCTGGCGAACCAGAGCAGCGCACGGAAACGCCGTTTACCTTCCCGCTGGAGCGCTACCTATTTATCTACTTGCACTTTGATGTGCTTTCGAACTGCTAGGTTGGCAGAAGCTGGCACCGAGCAACGGGAGCTCACCCCGTGGCGGGGATTTGAACTGCCGACCTTCTGATCGGCAAGTCCTAGGCTCTGTGGTTTAACCCACAGCACCACCCACGTCCTTAGATGTCTAATTAAATTGACTTATCTTAACACCGTTTAGAGGCTTGGCTTCTTTCTTTCTTTCTTTCTTTCTCTCTCTCTCTCTCTCTCTCTCCCCCTCCCTCCCTCCCTCCCTCCTTTTTCTTTTTTTTCTTTGCTGACTCTCCAAAGACCCTCTCATGTCACCTTCTCAGGGTCATACTATATACCGTATTTTTCGTTCCATAGGACGCTCCGTCCCATAGGACGCACCTACTTTTTTGGGGGGGAAATAAAGGAAAAAATTTTTTCCTTTATTTCCCCCCCAAAACCAGGTCGGGGAACAGTGGAATGGCGGCGCTGCGTCTCCCCGTTGTCCCCCGAGCTTGTGGGGCTGGCCGATGTCTGCCCGGCGTGAGGGGCGCTCTGCTTCAGGGCGCCCCATGAGCCGGGCGGCAGGCTGCAGACACCTGCGTGAAGCACGGGGCGTCCTCCGGAGGGCGCCCCATGCTCCGTGCTGCATGCTGCCGCCGGCAAGCCTTGCGCTCCCGGGGGGAGATCCCGCGGGCACGCAAGGCTTGCGGACACCTGCGCGAAGCATGGGGCGTCCTCCGGAGGGCGCCCCGTGCTCCGCGCTGCAGGCTGCCGCCCGCAAGCCTTGCGTGCGCGGGGGAACTCCCCCCGGGTGCGCAAGGCTTGCAGATAGCTTCCTGGAGCCTGGAGAGGAGAGGTGTCGGTGCGCACCGACGCCTCTCGCTCTCCAGGCTTCAGCGAAAGCCTGCATTCGCCCCATAGGACGCGCACACATTTCCCCTTCATTTTTGGAGGGGAAAAAGTGCGTCCTATAGAGCGAAAAATACGGTATATATGACAGGGGAGCCATGTTTTTTCTGTCCGGTGGCCCTCAATTATGGACCTCCCTCTCCTCAGAGTTGCTCCTGGCACAGTCGTCGTATTCCCCCCCTCCCCCGCCAGGTATCCAAGATACACTTCTTTGCGCAGGCTTTGGGGAGCAGCCGAGTTATTTAAGACTGGACTGGTCCTTCCCCGCTTCTGCGCATTAATAAACTTTGTAATTTAATTTTGGTTTTAAGGTTATTTAATGTGTTTCATTGAATGTAGGTTCCCTGAAATGGTTTTTTGTCCAACGGCACCCAGTCTTTATTGGGTCTCAAGGCCCGCCCACCTGGCTGGGTTGTCTAGGATTCAAATAAACAGATGGTGGGAAAGCCCAGTGGCTGGCCTAGGAATTCCCCAACAGACGGTCGCCTAGCTGTGGTGTTGCTTCCCAGCGGTAGGATTTTGGTGCGACGAGCCGCAAAGCGTGTTCTCCTTCATGGAGAGCACGTGTTGCGGTGGGGGCCGCCAGGACACTCCAAAGTTGGGGGCGGGCTCATTGATCGTTGGCCACTGATGCGATTGGGGCTTCCCTTGTTATTGGGAGGAAGTTAATGTTGCCATTTGTTGATTGACAGCCAGAAATGCTAAAACTACTTGCACGAGGCTAGGGCTTCCTCTTTTCGCCCGTGCATCAGATTGCCCGTCCCCCCCTCCCTAGAATTAGGGTTGTTCGCTTTGACCTTGCTATGCCTGTCATGGGGTTGTCTGCTCTTGGGGCAGGGGCCCGGTAGGAATTTTGTCCATCTGGCTGATTGGCTGGGGCCATTTGGTTTTTGCCTACTGCGTAGCAAATCGTCACAACTTGTAAGGTTGCAGTTAGGCATTGGTTTATGGTTTGGTTGGTTGAGGGGCATGGATTGGCTGTGCCTGCGCCTCTAATACTGCTGCTGCAAGGGATTCCGTTAAAGGAATCAGGGGCTAACTATTGCTTGTCCACTCTGTCAAGGGGGCTCTGGCCATAGCAATGAACCCCTGGTTGCATTTGGGGAGGGCTGAGGGCAGGTTCCCTGCTCCGTCGCTACCCCCAAGTGTGTTCCCCTTTTCTGACTTTCGCATTGTGCGGAATGTCAGTCTGTCCCCCACTGGGGGGCAGATAGTCGCAACCAATGCCTAAGCAACCACTCACATTTTTGTATTTTAATAAAGTTGTGGCCAAAATTATGCCAAAAACCTTAAACAAAAATTCTGTGTGATGTTTGCGTTATTGGGGTGGCCCTGGGGACCTCGGCACGCAATTGTCGCCCGCCCCGTGACCGCACAAGTGGCCAATTTGGAACCTTGCGGTGGAGGGCAGGTAACAAGTTCAAACAACCAAGCAAGCCTGCCCTACTCACAGAGTGTTTTTAAACAAAAGATGTGCTCAGATTGGGGCTGAAGGCCAACTCCCCCCCCCCCCCAATATCTCCCGTTTCCTCCCACTGCTCCCGTTTGTTTGTTTTTGCTTCCAGTCTGTCTCTCATAATGGAAGCGATCTGAGCTGGGAAGAAAAGGATGTCAAGTGATAGCAAGCAGAGAGGAAGATGGGGAAAAGTTTCATTTCCCTTACAGCATATGCGTTCTTTTGCAAATATTACCCCAGGCTCCAGCTTTAGACATGAACGAGGAAGGGGAAAGGGGAAAAACCACACACGGCCACCCTCACCAAACTTCCTTGTTTGTTTATGAAAGAGGGCCGGCTGGCACCATAGCATTTCATCTGTACCTGTGCATTTTGCTGATGGTCTGTTGCAAATACCAAGAGATTTCCTAGCATGCAATTCCTGTAAATGAAAGCGTGCTCCACTTCCCTGGACTCCGGACAAATGCTCACCCTGCCCAGTGGGGTAAGCCAGTCTTGCTTAATAGGGAAAGAAATAAAATATTCACATCTGCGCGAGTAAAATATTTATATCTGCAACAGAATTATGGGCTTTTGAAATGAGCACTCTGTTCATGTATCGGCAACGAACAAGCCAAGCCCCACCACTGTCTAAGCCAGTATTGTCTGCGAGGATTGGAAACAACTTTTGAATGTCTCCGGAAGAGAGATTTTTCCAGCTGTTAATATCTGAGACTGTTTTAACTGGAGATTCCAGGCACTGAACTGGAAACCTTGTTTGGTTACTGGGCGGGGCCTGTTTCCCTTTCCGTCCAAGGAAGTGGAATCAACCTTGAAATGTTTGGAGATGCACGGCTGAAAGGTAACCCTATAGCTCAATCACGGGGGCTCTTGTGTGACCAATTCCCCTTCCTCCAAAATAAGCAGCCATTGTTGCATTAAGCGTTTCTTTAAATAAAAAAAAAAAATTTTCCTCCAAGTTGCCTTGAGGGCAGCTCTTGAACCAATAGGTGGGATGCAAGTTACCTGTCGCAGTGGTTGCACTTGAAGGGTTTTGCCCCCGTGTGTTTCCGGTAGTGTCGCGTGAGCTCGTCGCTCCGTGCAAAACGCCACTCGCACCCTTCCCACGAACACTTGTAAGGCTTCTCACCTGCAAAGAAGACGGAATAAGTTTTGTCAGTGTCAACCAAAAGCTGGAGTGTCTGGTGTTATAAACAAAAATTGCCCTTTTCCCTTATGGGGTATCCAAGAGCCCATATAGAGTCCTTACATAGGTTCCCTATTGGTAGGAGAGAATAACAGAGGCCAACCAGAGAATATTGAGAAGCAAAGCAGCTAGTAAGCTTGATCTTTATTGATCTGTTGCAACAGGGTGCTCCCCTCACCCGCAGGAGAGAGGAGGGACCCCGAAAAATGGCGTGCAAGGCCTTATAAAGACTTTTGAAATTGCCACCCTGTAGATCAAGACCACCCCCAGAAACATCATACATACATCACAGAAGGGGTGTAACCTAAGACCACCCCTCAGATACATCATACCTACATCACAAGAAAGGCGGTCTAAAACAGAAATTGTGAATGTTGTTTTTCTCCTGTCGTTGTTTATCTCCTGTCTGGCAGGTTACTTGATTGGATTGCCTGGGTAGCCTGGCCAGTCTTTTGTAATGATAAATACTTAGTTCCTGGGCCAGGTCACAGGCTCACACCCTATTCATATCTTAAATGTGCCCTTAAGACAGGATTTGTGAGGAATGAGACAATGGGGAGGTTTCCCACTTTGACCTTGCAGACAAAACATTTGCTCAGTTTAGGAATCAAAATGGTTGCAGGTTGGTCTTCCTGTGCTGATCTATGTACGTGCTTGGTTGGTACACTTATGAACATTACCATATATCTAAGACCATAAAATTCCTATCACAGTGGTCACCAATATCTTACATGCCAAAGAGGAGGGTTGTATTGTTGCCAGATCATCATGGCCTTTCCAAGTTGTCTATGTACCCTGAACAAAGCAGGAGATTTACAACATATACTATTCTGCTGTTCACTACATTCAGTTTCTCGGAGCAGATTTTTGTCCCCTTTATTATTGGAAATCTCAGGTGATTCCTTGGAAACACAGCTAATACATTTATTGCAAGATTCTGATCCGAGTAGGTCCCTTTCTGTTGCCAGATTTCTGATAACAGTACTAGCCTATAAAAGGAAAAATGGATTACTCTATGATTATTGATTTTGCCTAAATAATATTGATTTATACTGATAATCTGATATTTAAGCGCTATATTGTTTTTATTTTAATGGAATTTAGAAACTTACGGATTGAGATGTACTTGACTTAAACGTAATTTAATTTATTAATTTTATCTTGTTATACCTGTTCTGCTGTATGATGTATTGAATGTGGGCCTATGGCCGTAATAAACTAAACTTGAAGCAGGAGATTTCAATTTCCAAGCCCTCCTGATATCACCTCTCCTTCTGAAATCAAGGGATTAGGGGGGTGGGGTGCGATTGTGGTGGAGTTTGGCGGATTTTTTGGGTGTGTGTGTTTTTAAGGGTTTTCCAAGGGCTTCCATAAGTTTAGAGGGTATTTGCAGGCTTTTTCAATGGCGTTCCCAATATACGCAATTTCACTTAAATGCACAGTGCCTCAGAACACAACCCATGTATAAATAGGCCTGTAATAAGAAACTAGTGCAGGAACCAAGATATTCTGAGGCAGACCCTTAAAGCTGCCTTTGAAATCTGAGACTGTGAAACTCTTATGACACTTATGAAAGTGGCTCTTTTACTACAGGAAGCACTGGTTCTATTTTCAATGATTAGCACTGTAATTGATTTCTTATTTTTTTACCAAAAAAAATATCAAAAAATAAAATCTGACCAACAGCCCATCTATTCTGGATGGGCCCATTCACACATGAAAGTTGCATTCATCTAGTAGTTTAGGTCTAGGTTTGAAATATGTATGTGTGAACTGGTGCTAGGTGATGGTGCAGTTATGTTTTAACCCTAGCTACCGTATTTTTCGCTCTATAGGACGCACTTTTTCCCCTCCAAAAATTAAGGGGAAATGTGTGTGCGTCCTATGGAGCGAATGCAGGCTCCTTGGCTTCAGCGATAGCAATGCGAAGCCTCCGAAGCGCAGAGGGAGCGCTGCCTCCGCGCTACAGAGGCTTCGCATTGCTTTCGCTGAAGCCTGGAGAGCGAGAGGGGTTGGTGCGCACCGACCCCTCTCGCTCTCCAGGCTTCAGGGATAGCTGCCTGAAGTCTTCGGAGTGCAGCGCAAGTTCCCACTGTGCTCCGCAGCCTTCGGGTTCCTTTTGCTGAAGCCACGAGAGCAAGACTCTCCTGGCTTCAGCAGAGAGGGAGAGCTGCGCATCACCCCTTCAGCCAAGCGGGAGGAGAAATGGAAGGGGCTCCGTTTCTCCTGCCACTTCGCTGAAGGGGCGCTGCGCAGAGAGGGGGTGAATTTTTTTCCCCTTGTTCTCCCTCTCTAAAACAAGGTGCGTCCTATGGTCCGGTGCGTCCTATAGAGCAAAAAATACGGTAAATGAGACCTGATTTGCAACAGAAGCAAATGATTTTAACAGCAGGCAATGATGCTTCTTCTGTGGGATGAAACCAGGTGCACCATAGAGATACTTAAGAGAGATACTGTCATTTCATTTTTGCTCCCCTTCTCTTGCAAAAGTCTGCCAATGTGCTTGTCACCATCACAACTGACGAAGCATTCTGCTCTTCGAAAGATGGTATTAATCCAAACCAGAGGGAGGACGACCAGCGAATGGTACCGCATCCTTTCAGCTTCGGTCTCCTCTCTCCAATCTAGTTGTCATTCAGACAGCACCTAGTTGCAGACAGTGGACAGCTCCAATATCTGCGTATTTTAACATGAGAAAGAATCCTGATATTGAAACCAAACACACACAGTATTCAATACGCAGCTACACATTCAGTATGCAGCTCAGCAAGAACAAAAGGTGGGCCCAATAGCAGAAGCGAATACACAGTAAAAGAAGAACAACCGTCTTCGTTGTTGCTTCCTTAATAAGGAACTGTTAGCACCAGGGAAGAGGAAAATATTTTTAAAATACTGGAAATCACCTTAAAGATGCCCTTTAAAGCTCATTCACAGCCACTGCCTTCAAGTGACAAGCTTCTTGAATCCTAAACACTGATGTGTCTTCTGTGTTATTTATTATTAGCAAGAGCAAGGAGCGAAATGGGAGATCTGATTGCTTTATAGCCCAAGTCTAAGAGAAACCACATGTTCAAGGAGTGGGCAAATGGAGACAGGAGAAAAGCTGAAACAGGCCCAAATTAATCTCCAGTTTAAGCCCCGAAATTATAATGAAACTAACACAAGCATCTCTCATCAGGGCCCAAGGAAGGCAAAAAGAGAGAGGCTTCTCTGTGGTTAGTCATTTACGAAACATTACTGATTGCAAGCTAGGCTCTGCTACTCCAAAGATAAAGTGGAAATCTGGCACAGGCAGATGAGGAGAATGGGCAGAGATATCTCCTACAGTTCAGCAACCAGAGCCTTTTATCCTCAGCTCAGATGGGTTTCCAAATGAAAGGGGGAGAGAGTGATCTAAAACTGAAAGGCAGAGCAATGCAGAAAGGAAACTCTATACAAAATTGAAGCAGGTGTAGCAAAGCCAAACACCCATTGATCCACCAGCCCATCAGTCAAGTGATCTCGTCTCTCAAGGCAATAAATGAGAAAGCAGGGTAGCCGGATCATGCAAAGAGGTCCTGTGCCTTTAAAGTTATGGGGGACGAGGGGATTTCAGCAGGTGTAGCTCGTGACTCCAGCTACACCTGCTGAAATCCTCACCCTTCCACACAACAGGTGAAGATGCAGGAACCCTGTTCCATTTTGCATCCCAGTAGTGATGTATGGAAGTGAGAGCTGGACCATAAAGAAGGCTGATCGCCAAAGAATTGATGCTTTTGAATTATGGTGCTGGAGGAGACTCTTGAGAGTCCCAGGGACTGCAAGAAGATCAAACGTATCCATTCTAAACAGAATCAGCCCTGAGTGCTCACTGGAAGGACAGATCGTGAAGCTGAGGCTCCAATACTTTGGCCACCAGAGAAGACTCCCTGGAAAAAACCCTGATGTTGGGAAAGATTGAGGGCACAAGGAGAAGGGGGACGCCAGAGGACGAGATGGTTGGATAGTGTTCTTGAAGCTACCAGCATGAGTCTGACCAAACTGCGGGAGGCAGTGGAAGACAGGAGTGCCTGGCGTGCTCTGGTCCATGGGGTCACGAAGAGTCGGACACGACTAAACGACTAAACAACAACAACCTTAGGGGAAAGTGAGGGGGGTAGAGTTCTAGGTTGTTGTTTTTTTTAAGTGCATTGTTTCATTTCACATAACGTATTGGAACTCTCTTGAATTCAAGAGTTCTCAATGGCTCAAAACCGCTAAGACATGTCAATACATATAATGTTGGAAATGTAAAGAAAAAGAAGGAACATTTTAACATATGTGGTGGGAATGTAAAAAAGTAAAGAACTTCTGGGAAATAATATATAATGAGATGAAAAAGATGCTGAAATATACATTAAAAAAAAAAATCAGAAGCATTTTTACTTGGTATTATAGGTCAGGACATTAATAGGCAAGATGTTAAATTGTTTTTATATGCAACAACTGCGGCAAGAGTATTGTTAGCCCAGAAATAGAAACAAGAAGAAATTCTGACGAAAGAAGAATGGCAGACAAAATTAATGGACTATGCAGAATTGGACAAAATGACAGGAAGGATTCGAAACCTGCGGGACCAGAGATTTACAGAAGATTGGAAGAAGTATATGAATTATTTGAAGAGCAACTGTAATCAACAAATTATGCTAGTAGGACTACAAGAAGTTTTGTATGGAGAAATATACAAAGTGTTACAAAGTAGACAAAGATAGAGATATTGGTTATGCGTTTGAAATGTAATAGGGAAGATAAGAAATGCATACTAAGAGATTAGATTGGAAAATTTTCAGGCAGGATTGATGGAAGTAAAAAAATACTGAATAAGATATAAAAGTATATTTAATTACTGTTGAAAATGATATGTAAAAAAAACTAATAAAATTTTATATATATATATATTTTAAAAAATACATGTCAATACATATGTGCTCATGAGTGCCTTTGAGCATGAGAAGAATGCCCTCCCCTCTGTATGCTTCTTAATGCAATTGCCCATGATCCCAACAATAAGGGCTGATGAAAAATCCATAAAAATGTCCGGCGGAAACCCGGACGTATGTCAACCCATATCAGAAGTGTTGGGTTTTCTTTGGTGAATTTCTTTCAAACAGCTCAAAAACATCGATTTTTTGGGGGGTGGGGAGGGGAGATTTTGCAAAGAAAAAAGCTCAACAATTTTGTGTCCCCCCCCCAAGTTATACACCTTGCACAGCAAACACAACTGCTCCAGCAACAAGTTATTTACTCCAGTGCCTTGTGCAACAAATGACCTGGCCAGGTGGCTCTCTGACACTGGTTTATAAAAGATGCACCTATTATGTAAACAATATCTTATGCAGAAAATAACTGCTTAACACCATGTATCCAGGAACAGCATCAGCTACATGAAGCATGGACTTGCCTTTCAACTGCCAACCTACTGAAGCAGGGAGATGCATGGTTTTATACCCTACTGTTCCCTGACCTGTTGGGATTGAGGACAGGTCATCAGTCAAAATAACAGAATGCACACCTATTCTCATGAAGACAAGACTAAAAGCATCAACTTTCATAAAGGGAAGGCGCTGGAGACAGTATTGTGTAGTTCCTGACTAGGCTAGCTTATCAGACCCCATCTTGTCCAGAAACTGAAGCAACCCGGCTCCTAGCCATCTTCCTTCTAGGATAAAGGACCCATCGTTTTCTACAGCAGCTTGAGATTTTCCAACACTGATTTGCCATGGAAGTGAATAATTCCCTTGGTACCCAATTCAACGATCCAAGATCTAACGTAACAAACAAAATATCTTGCAGCCACTAATTGGGGTGGCCTTCAGCGATACCAGCTGAAAAATACGACCCAAGATGGATAATCTTGACAGCAGTGCTGCATGAAACCCATTGCACAGAGGCTGTTAAAGCCTTCTGGAGTGTATTCTGACTTATTTGAGCGTCAGATATCCCTCTAACATCTATGATAGCTGAGCTCCGGGGGCATTCCAGAGTAGCTTTGCCAAGCACTGAGACTAGCCTTCTTTTCAGATTCTTTTCTTTTGTAACACGAGCTGCCTTGCTGCCAAATGTCAGACAGTGTCTCTTGTGTTCCCAGGGACTGCACGCTTGCATACTGTATGCAGTGCAGAGGACAAAACAGAAAGACAAAGGAAAATGTGACCTTTAAAAGCCGCTGTCTAAAGGAATCCTTGACCCTCAGACCTCAGCCAAGATGTGGCTGCTCCTTGCCCCCCTTGACAGCTAGGCAAAACTTCAAAGCCAAATGCAGGGAAAAGGAACAGTGACCATCTCATTACATAATATCTCATTAATGCTTTCCTTTCCCTGAAAACAATTAAAGAAAGCATCACTTGGTTATCTCACCCTCTGATAAGTGCAATGGCCTCCAGGAAAATAATAATCTAAATTTAAATTTCTTATGGCAAGGATTGCTTTTTTAAAGGCATGTTACAGTTGCATTCCACAGATTGCAATCTGGGTTTCATAAGTGCTAAACCTTTGGGACCTTCTTGCATCTTCTCACATTGTGTACTGTTGTGCTGTGTTTTACGGACAAGGAGCAGAAGAAATAAGCATTTAAGGAACGAGTGCAGAAAATGGATTCTGAGAGTTTGCTTTATTGTATACTGTAGTCACAATATAGCCATTCTGTAAAGGTAAAGGGTCCTTTACCTTTCATGGGCAACTCTGGGGTTGCAGGGCTCATCTCACTTTATTGGCCGAGGGAGCCGGCGTACAGCTTCCAGGTCATGTGGCCAGCATGACTAAGCAGCTTCTGGCAAACCAGAGCAGCGCACGGAAACGCCCTTTACCTTCCCGCCGGAGCGGTACCTATTTATCTACTTGCACTTTGAGGTGCTTTCGAACTGCTAGGTTGGCAGGAGCAGGGACCGAGCAACGGGAGCTCACCCCGTCGCGGGGATTTGAACCGCCAACCTTCTGATTGGCAAGTCCTAGGCTCTGTGGTTTAACCCACAGTGCCACCCGTGTCCCATTCTGTAGCATCTTGCAAAAGAAGCAGTTGCTTTCATGAAGGGCCTAGGTTGAATTCAAACTAGGAGCTGAACATTCAACGTCTATTCTTGCTTTTTTACGTACTGTACTACTTTTCTGAGCTGTTGCAGGATAAAATCAGGAAGCTAAAAGAGGGCAACTTACTTTCATATAATATCCACCTACAGCCACCTGTTTAGAACTGAAGCGGCTCTGATCTATTTATAATTTCTGTGCTTTCAATTGAAAAAGAGCTTTGAAGATTGTGTTTACCATCCCAACAACTCTGTAGAAGCAAGCTCATCATTACTGCTATTCTACAGATATATTTTTTTCTAACCAACTCTGCCTGCCCAGCTTTCCACCTCTGCATGAGCACAGCAGGACAAGCAAGGACACAAGTTTCCAAAATGCAAGGCTCTTCGGGTATTTATTTAACAAAATTAAACAAATTATTTAAAAAGGGGGAACCCTCTACGCAGTTGTTTTCTATCCATATCCATACACAATCTGTAGCTTTCTGGTAAAAGAAGAACATTAAGTTCAGAGCATATGCCTAGATTTAATCTCAGGTATCTCCAGATACCTGAGACGTGGACACGGGACGCAGGTGGCGCTGTGGGTTAAACCACAGAGCCTAGGACTTGCTGATCAGAAGGTTGGCGGTTCGAATCCCCGTGACGGGGTGAGCTCCCGTTGCTCAGTCCCTGCTCCTGCCAACCTAGCAGTTCGAAAGCACGTCAAAGTGCAAGTAGATAAATAGGTACCACTCCGGCGGGAAGGTGAACGGCATTTCCATGCACTGCTCTGGTTCGCCAGAAGCAGCTTAGTCATGCTGGCCACATGACCCGGAAGCTGTACGCCGGCTCCCTCGGCCAATAAAGCGAGATGAGCGCCGCAACCCCAGAGTTGGCCACGACTGGACCTAATGGTCAGGGGTCCCTTTACCCTTTATCTTTTTATCTCCAGTTAGTCTGTAGGCAGCAGGACTGCGAGGAGAGACCCTCAACTAGATTTCTTGTACAGCTACTGCCAGAGTGAAAAATACTGAATTTGATGGTCTGATTCTGTATAAGGCAGCTCCAGTTGTTGAAAATTCAAGATTAATGCTGCTTTTTTCTAGCAGACAGTAAAGTGCCATGGAGACTCTGTGTTAAACAGCTCTTCCTCCTCCTCCACTCACCAGACCAGACTCTTTTTGGTGCCAAAACAAGAGCACTTTTCAGATCAAAGTGATCTCGTAGCCTGACCTGGACTGAGTATCACACACACCTAAAAACCCCCACTATTAGGTCATTTACTTGCTACTGCTTTTGTTCAAGATAGTGAACAAAATAAACCAACAAAGGTCACAAAAATAGCTAATACGTATACAAACAATCAATTAAAAGGAGACATTAAAGAAGAGATAAAGTAGCACCGGAGATACATAACACCCCTCGTGATTCACTGTGATCTCAGCCGGGCATCACATGCTGTAGTGTAACAGCTAAGATACTCAGCCAGCTAAGGCAATCTCAGTTTGAATCTCTGCTTCACTCAAGAGCCCAGCACAGACCTTCTACCTGCAACGCAGAAATAATACTCACCTGCCTTATCGGTAAGAGTCGTGTTCATATGCAGCAATAAACCAAAGTTTGTAATAAACCATAGTTTAATCATGAATGTGACTGCCTGCACAGTCCTTAGAATTCTTCGTTTATTTCTGGCTTTCTAGGTTTTGAAGTAAACCACAGTCCACTTTTGGATGACACAACAAGCCGAACTATGGCTTGTTTGACGCATTTACGTGCCAACGTAGGGGTGGAGGGAAGACTGTCTTTCCAATGTAACAAAATGGAAGCCCTATAAATTAAAATTGCTCCAAATTATCTTGAAGTATTAAGGTTATTCTAGTTTGATGTGCCCCAGAATATATTTAACATTCATACTCATGACAGATTTATATCTTGGCCCAAACCCTGTGAAGTGAGCTTTTGCCATAAATGGATTTATAAACAAATTCAACAAACAGCTGAGTTTTAAAAATCTGAATGTATGCAGTTTTATGTTATAACCTTGGTGTTTTCCATTTCCAAAAGCTAGAAATGGAAATAATTTCACCTTTTCACAGTACTAGTAAGTTAATGATTGACGATGCAATCATTCCCTCTAATATCCTGGATGTGAAATCCCCCGGGACTTGCATTTAATCTTAAAACACATTATGTAAAAGTAGGGTTCATAGATGGAACAAATTGTTGTTTTTTAGACAAAGAGAGAACAAACAAACAAACAAACAAACAAACAAACAGATACAGCTGTTTAAAAGAGAGAGATATTTGGGAGAGAGAAAATATCACCCAAGCATAAAGTATGTGTGTCATTCTTGAACCAGTCACAGTGAAACTACTAGAAAAATCTGTTTTGGTTTCTTTTAAGATTCTTTCATTGTTGAATGTGCCTCTAGTTGATTTCATCAGGTAAGAAAAAGTGCAATTCATTACTAAGGTGGCTGGGGTACTGTACCATTCCTATTTAGAGAGAGAAATGGTGTACGGTACCATTTTGACAAACACCATCAACAGCAATTTACGCATGCACATTAATCTGAAAAATGAAGAAGAGAAACATGGCAGACGTGTGAGATGAAAAGCAGCACACCACCATTGCGACCATCCTTTCCGTCAACGTATTTGCTCCCACACAGTTTTGTAGAATCAAAACGCCTACCTGAGATGGAATATCACACAGCCTCTAGTTGAAAGACTTGACAGGCAGATCAATGGCACCGAAAGCCACAAAAATGCCCATTGAAGGCAGATTTAGCACCAACATCCCATGCTTAACACTGGCCTGAAAGGCTGTTCTGAATTCAAAGTTCCCAATGAATGGCATGAATGACTACAAAACAGGAATGTTAAGAACTCTGCATCATCCTGCTGGTAACCCATATTATGAACCGAGCCCTCTGAATTCTACTCCAGAAAATGCCTTTTCTCCTTTCAAGCATGCTACTTTGTGGGATCACTTTGTGACATCACCTTGCCAACAAAAGTCCATATAGTTCAAGCTATGGTTTTCCCAGTAGTGATGTATGGAAGTGAGAGCTGGACCATCAAGAAGGCTGATCGCCAAAGAATGGATGCTTTTGAATTATGGTGCTGGAGGAGACTCTTGAGAGTCCCATGGACTGCAAGAAGATCAAACCTATCCATTCTAAATAGAATCAGCCCTGAGTGCTCACTGGAAGGACAGATCCAGTACTTTGGCCACCTCATGAGAAGAGAAGACTCCCTGGAAAAGACCCTGATGTTGGAAAAGATTGAGGGCACAAGGAGAAGGGGACGGCAGAGGACGAGATGGTTGGACAGTGTTCTTGAAGCTACCAGCATGAGTTTGACCAAACTGCGGGAGGCAGTGGAAGGCAGGAGTGCCTGGCGTGCTCTGGTCCATGGGGTCACGAAGAGTCGGACACAACTAAACGACTAAACAACAACACTTTGTGGGACCTTGCAATTTATAAAAGTGGCAGGAACATCGTAACCATAGAAAGCCAGGACTCCTTCTGGGGATGGGGGCAGGATCCCAATACATCACCTTCTCTGAGCCCTTCAGCACGGGTACAAAGCCTTGCTGCAGCCAATCTCCCTTTGACGTTTGGGGTTAATTCACACATTATTTGATCACTCAACATTTCAGTGAATCGACTCCACTGAAAAACTCTACGTAAGGGGACAGAATGCTATCCTTTCTGTGGGAATTGGATTTGTGAGAGCTCGCAGCACACCAGTCACTGCTTCATGCTGCAGCCATGGAATGGTCAATGCGCACGTCTGAGTGGAGACAGGCAGCCCCTTGTGTGGCAGCTACCGGTCGTTCCCATTTAAGGAATGAAAAGGCGCTGTTTCAATCAATTTACCCACATCAACGGCGAACCACATCCTAAGTGGCTCTGTCACTTAAGTGTCCGTGACAACCTTCACGTGTCATTCTGCATATAATGTGAAGCATGAAAAGGAGAACGAAATAAGGAAAAATAGACTCTTCCCTCAACACGGGTAAAGAATGCTTCTTAGCAAGAGTAAAATGTCTCAGAGGGCTTAAGCTACCCGCACTCAATTATCACACACCCCCACAAGCCCATATGCAGGAAAGCAACGATTCATTGCGTCTAGCCCACTGACACAACGCACACTGAGAAAAGGTACGTTATCCTTCCCCTGCTAGTCACTTCATGAAAGGGACAAAGCTTCCTCAATTCCAATTCCTTTTAAAAGCCTGTTCTTGTAAGCTTAGCAGAAAAAGAAGCTGCTAAGGCACCTGATGTGCATTAAGAACAGAAGGATTTTGTTGGGGGTGGAGGGAGAATTAGGAGACACAGGTGCCAGGCCTTCTGTAGAATGTGCCCTTCTGCTCCATTAATTGCTGACATATCCTTCCCCCCCCCCCTCCAACTCAGCCCCTCGGGAGAACAGCAGAGCAGCAGGCCCAGACTGGTACCCAGCAGCAACACCAGCAGCAAAAGTAGACAATTAGGTGCCAGAAGAAAAGGGGGGGGGAGAGAAGATGCAGTTGCCTAGCAACCAGACAGCAGAAGCAGCTGTGTAGCAGGCCCAGGCTGGTACCCAGGCACTGACAAGCTAGCCAATTAGCACACTGTATTTAATGCTGATGTGGTTTCCTAGCAACAGGATGCAAAAGTCTGTCTGCGACACACTCTTCCCTCACATTTCTCCCCCCCCCCCAACCCCTCATTCAAACCATTACTTTCTTTTCTTTTGCCCTAATTGACAACTCTCTGCTGCTTTAAATTGCCATTATTATTATTTTGTCCCTGGAGAGGTTAGGAGAACTTAAAAAAAAAAAAAAAGTAATAAGAGCTTTTAGTTTCAACTTCACTTTAGCACTAAGAGCTCTGGATATATGACAAGCCAACAGCTGCAAAACCAGCAAATAAGGAGCGGGGAGACGTCGATATTTCAGCCCACCGTATAAGCTTTTCTTAGAATATCATTTGCAATATGGTAACCGCTAGCTTGGACCACCACTCTTACATTGTTTTGCCACACGGCAAAAACCTTCCTGTTTAGGCAAGCGTCTGTTTTATTGGATAGATATGCTTTTTATCTGATGTCCATCTTATTCACTGCAGTTGTCTCTGATTTTATTATAATGCATTTGAGGAGGAATTTTATGGTATGTTGTGATAGGTTTCAATTGTTAACTGCCCTGAGTAGCACGTAGGCACAAAAAAAGCCAGAATATAGATTTTTATATGATTTTGCATTTTTCTTTTCATTTTATCCAACAGAAGTCTATTTATGACCTTGTCTGTTAGCAAGCAGTGCACAGCATTAAAAGCAGATACCAGTATTTTGTGGATCTGTGTCTGAAAAAATGCAATCATCAGACCGAACACAAAGGACTAAATATTACCAATATGGCGAGGTTGCTACGCAGGGTTAACAGTATCCACTGCCCCATATTGAACACGCTAGATTGATGCACAGAATAATACACATAGCAGGAAACTTGTTCAAATGTGGCTCCCTAAATCATGAAGCAACTGTGCGCTGCTCACCAGAGGCATCTGACGCACTGCAGTTCAGAATCTTTGCCCCATTACGGCACATTCTTGGCAGCCACTGGTACTCCCAAAGAGCTGGTCTCGGCCCCATGAATATATTCTCCCCAATCCAAAACTCTTGATCAGTTTTATTTGCCTAACATGGTCAGAGTAGGGTGCAATCTACACACAAATAAAAACCGTTCTGAAAATGTTTCTTCTTTTTAAGCGTTGTTTTTTTTAACAAACCACACTGAATTTTTCCATAAGACTCACCATTGCTATCTAGCGTCACATTGTATATTGCATTCAAAACACAATTTAAATGTTTTATTTGAAGCTGTGTAGCTGAGTCCTAGTTGTCTTTCTAGTCGAGTCTTGTTTACTCAGCTCTCTAGGGTCTTGGGCAGAGAGAACGCTCTCCCACCATCTGCTCTGTGTGCCTTTAAAAAACTGGGGATGCCAAGAATTTAATGTGAGGCCTTATGCACATGGAAGGTAAGCCCTACCAACAACGGCCCCTTCACCCCCCCCCCATTTTTAATGGACATTTTGTTGGTGTGACCATCAACACATGCCTCTCTGAGCACTTAAGGAGGGAAGTGCCCTAGTGCAAAGATACAGGTTTGCAGGGCATAAAATCCGCACAACAATTCTGAGTCATTTTTCTGCATCCCATCAAGGATGCCTTTTCCTCACAGCCATTTCAAAAGTGCACTGCGTTTGCACCAAAGTTTATTGGAATTAGTTATGCTGCTTGAGCCGCCGTGTGAGTTAAAATGAAGCAAAAAAAAAACCCCCAAGTCCCTTTCATCTTCAAGGAATCATAGATGTTGGCAACTGAGCCCAAGGCCTGGTTCCTTTGCATAATTTATGCCATTTTAACAAACGCCATTAATGTTTGTTACCTCCCCTTTACTCCCCATTCTCTCTCTCTTTTTTACATCTTCAGGCGCCCATCCCCTGCTAGGACTCCCTAGGTGGTCACTCTGGATTCCAGATCCCAACAGGATAAGGCTCCTCATCAACCATCTTGACAGGCCTGCCTCACCTGGGGCTCAGCTGACTGCCCTCCCCTGCCTGCCCCTCCTTGCTGCCATTAACTCTTTCTTGACCCAGGGTTGCTTCCCTGTTGCATCAGTCACCCCACTCTGCCATCACCTCGTGCTGCTTCTGAATAGACGAAGCTTGGGCCCCAAGCAGCTTCCCCATTCCATTTGTTTCTGCAACAAAAGCACTGCAAGTCTCTACAAGGTGCTGCTCTAAGCATCATTTCGGATTCAAATTGAGGCTCGAGCCAAACTAACCCTTCCATAGAAGGGTCTTCATTTAATTTTTAAGGCACATTTCCCCATCAAAATATCTTGCTTCCCTTCTTAGACAATGACACATTTATACTCTGTGAATTACATTTTTTTTTGCTTTTGTTCAACCTAAATTAGCTCTCCTTCTGTCACTTGATTCAGTGGCATTTGCTGAGAGGGGGCTGGAAAATTCTCTTCCACCCCCCACCCCCCAAGAAGCCAAACTGTCACTGCTTGCAGAAGTATCTGCCATGCAATTAAAACAGGGGGCAAATGTGTTAAAGCTAGATTTATGCCCCCAGTCAATTAAGTACCAGTTCTATTTCAGTTCCTCACACCCACGAAATAGGTGCTCTTTCTCTCAACTGCAGACCTCACTTTCCCCTGCCACCCAGAGTGCTCTTTCGCACATCTTTTCCCATATGACAAGCGACTTCTCCATTTTACTCCGGGCCAAAATCTGGTCCCACCTTTTTGCACGTTCGTCCTTAGCAACGTCTCCTTGGCGCAACATAAATTAGCACCACCACTTTTTTAAAAAAAACCCCTTCAGTTAACTGAGACCAACAAAATAATTAAAAAGAAGGATCTGCTTCTGGTTCTGCTCAGCTGAATTCAACTCCTTTCCCTACACAGTGGCTCCACCAAACAGTTGCATTCCAAACTCTTCATATGCCAGAAATCACAATATTCAGAGGGAACTGTGTCTCGTGCCAAAGTCAGACCTTGGATCCATCTGGCCCATAGTGATTGGTAGTGGCACACCAGTTTCAGATGTGAGTCACTCGGGAGCCCTGCCTTGGACCTTGGACCCTTGGTTTGCACAACATGATCTACCGTTGAGCTATGTGTGTCTGCGTTTTAACAGAGCGGAAGATTACGAGTCATAGGGGTGTGGAGAGGGTGTGTATGAACTTAACAGCGCTTAAGCTTATTTTCTGATTGCTATTTTCTGAATGTTAACATTGCTTTATAGATTACTGTATTTTTTGCCTATAGGACACACTTTTTCCCCTCCAAAAATGAAGGGGAAATGTGTGTGCGTCCTATGGGGCAAATGCAGGCTTTCGCTGAAGCCTGGAGAGCGAGAGGGGTCGGTGCGCCGGGCTCCCAAGGCTTGCGGACAGCAGCCTGCAGCCCAAAACCTGGGGAGCGCAGCGGAGCACACCCCGGGCTTCGGGCAGCTCTCCGCAAGCCTTGGGAGCCCGGCGGGGCTTCCTACCGGGCTCCCAAGGCTTGCGGACAGCAGCCTGTTTGGGGGCTTGGGTCGGGGGAAGCTCGGGCCTTTCCCCCCCCTTTATTCCCCCCCCCCAACTAGGTGCGCCCTATGGGTCGGTGTGCCCTATAGGGCGAAAAATACGGTATAAATGCTGTGTTGATTTGTTAATCATATAATATGACTTTTGCTTTAATTGTGATGTTCAGCTTATTTTTTTAAATTGTTGACAGTGTTTTATAGATTGTCATTGTTTCCTTCTATATGGTTTAAGCTGTATTTGTGATGTTTTACTGTGTTCCGTTGGGTTATCGTTCTTTGCTGTCAGTAAGCCGCTTTGAGGTTCATTTGAATGAAAAGCAGCACAGAAATATAATAAATCAAATCAAGTGGGGAAACCCTCCCTTCTCTCTGTCCTCTCCCCTCTCCTTCTGCCTGCTTCAGTCCCCTCGACAGCAAGGGACCAGGTGTTTTGTGCTTTGCTTTCTTCCCCCTGCACAGAGATTGTCAACTTTGCAGTCAGGCAAAATTTTTCACAGGCAAAATCAAGGGTGCATTCTGTGGTCACCCCCAAGGCCGCCCTACAGCAAATCTCATCCATCCACCAGAGTTTGCAAGATGATTGCTTGAGACACTGCATGGCAGAAGAAACCCATCCACTTATGTTCAAGGAGAGAGAAGCCTTTGTCTTTCTGTTTTATTGTAGAGATGCGGAGCAATTAAGCCACACAGAGCCTCCTCTTCTCCTGCACATGAGAGCGCTACCAGCAGCCAAAGGGAAAAATAATATCTCACAATCTTTTCAGACCTTCAGTTCAGCTGTCAACTGAGCCAAGTGGCTGGCAGCCATTGGCACTGCCAAGCATGTTCACAATTGACAGTGTATTACGCTGATGATGGGTCCAAGAAGCTACGGCTGCGTGGAAAGACAAAGGACCCAGCAAAATAACTGCTCCGTGGCTGTAATCTTGGGTACGTGTGCTTAGGATCCTGACAATACACCCCAAAATTTCCAAACCACACCCCTTTAATACTTCCTATTTTGGTTTTGGAGGCAATTTAGCTCTCTTCCTGCATAAGTAATGCTAGCTTTATTGTCGAGAGGGATCAGACGGTGCAGATTGAGAAAGGCAAGCCATGTAAACATAAGCACAGCTGTTCTGGGTCAGACTTCTGGGCCCACCCAGCCCAGTATCTCATTTGCAATAGTGATCAGGTCCAGAAATGTAACTACACAAGCGAGGTGAGAGGGTGCTTCATTCTATGTATCTAGCATGTGAAGGTGTTAGGGACAACACGTATAGGAGGGCTATATCCTGCACATAGCCACTGACCTTCTTTCTCTTTCCGGTGAATTTGTTCAAGGCTGAAAGGTGTGGCCCAGAGCTGGGGGGGTCAGAAGGTAGATTGGGATTCACTGGTAGATATCTGGGTGATTTGCATTTGAATGGCAAGGGAAATTCCCAACTGAAAGCTACAAAAAGCATCTCGCCTCACTAAATGAAATGAACAAAGTTTAGAACAGGGCCAGGAAAGACGGAGTTCAGTTCTGAAACTAAATACTGATTCTACTTCTGAGCACAAGCTCAGTAGGAATCATGCCAGAACCTTAATTTCAAGGATGTGTCCACTCCCCGAAGTCATTCTTTTACACCTGGTTTCACCTTTTGTTCAAAGAAGTTCTAGTCCTGAATGTCTGAAGGCTGCCTCCCGATGACCTAGAACATGACACAGCTTTCCGCTGCTAGTTGACTGCTGCCAGGAAGTCTCGATCTGACCAGTATCAGGTTTGAAAACTAGACTCACCAAATGTCCATGAAACCCAACCCCCTTGCTCTTCTCACACCAGACCATTCAAATATCAACCTAAGCTGATGGACCAAAGTGTGCCACAATCAGATAACAGTGCTCATCTACAACTTATGAGTAAACTGAAATTATTAGCTCCAGTGGCATGAGAGGCACTAATACTAAACATGGATTATATAGCACTTTAGGGAGTTCAGAGCACTTCACTTTACGTTAGGAACACAAGAATCTGCCTTTTATGGATTCAGACCATCGGTCCACCTAGTTCAGTCATCTACACCAGGGTTGAGGAACCACTAGCCCTCAGATGCTGTTGGACTACAACTCCCATCATGCCATCAACTCCCAGCTCCATGATGAGCACTTTGGTGTGATGTCCAAACTGACAAAACATAGTTATGAGCATCATTTTGCTAATAGTTTGGATTTTAAATTATTATTAGAGCAAACCATGGTTTGGTGTGCTGCTGGAAAGGAACCCACAGTTTCCCCAGCACCACATGGAAAGCATGTGGCCAAGGTGGTCCTTGAACAAAGGGTGATTTAAAGCCACCACAATGCAGAAACTCTACACCACTGCGAATACTTCAGTCTTTGAAAATCCTCTGCATAATATTAATTTCTACTAGTCCAGGAAATTTATCTTTATAAGGGTGGAAACCTCTCTTGTATAAAGACATGTTAATGGCATGGTGGCATTATCATCAAAGACTGCATGTTCAACAGCAAAATTGAGGAAACTGACTCAGCAGTTCCTTTAGAAGCAAAAAATAGCACAGCAGTCATGGAAGTGTATCATCCTCATGAGGAAAGCTGAGAAAGAGAGCAGAGACATTAATCAATTGCAGAATAATTATTTTGAGAAATGTTCTGAGAGCAGAGAGAGTGTAGAGAAAGAAGACGGGATAGCTCAACTCATGTAATCCGAATATTTAGAGGGGAAAGAGCTTATGGAGAACTGGGTGTTTAAAAGCTCACTCATTTCAATATGTCATTTTCTCCCTTCTTCCACTGAGAAATTCTGACACAAGGACTTTTGCAATCCACATTGTGCATACTAAGACTGTAGAGTTCAGCTAGAGGTTTATACCTTGGGCCTCCTTGAATGTCTAAATTTATTTCTAATGTGATGTACAGTGGAAATTAATTCGTTCTGCAAGTTTTTTCGCCTTGCAAATTTTTCGTCTTGCGAAGCAATGCACCCTGGGTATTAACGGTTTTAAGAAAAAGGAAACAAACTTGCAAGACGTTTTCGTCTTGCGAAGCAAGCCCATTGGGAAATTCGTCTTGCGAAGCAACTCAAAAAACCAAAAACTCTTTCGTCTTGCGAGTTTTTCGTCTTGCGAGGTACCACTGTAGTTCACACAGTGAAAAGCTCTACACGAAGGGGATACAATTTGCTAGACAAAAAACTAAACTCTGACTGGGACACCTGGATTCAAACCTGTGGTCAGCCATAGGTATCTGTGGCCTTGGGCAAAACACTCTATGTCAGCTGCCACATCTGAGCATGGGAAGAAGCAATGACCTTGCAAGATTACTCTGGAAAGAATTAAGGGGGTGGTGTTTTACAAGTGTGATGGCATGGTAATGATGATGATGCAAAATCAACAGCACAAAATTATTCCTAGGAAAGGGCACATCTCAAGTTTTGGGGTGTTTCTTTGCAATTATTTGAAACCTTTTTTTTTTAAAGTACTCTTAAGATACTGAGAGGAAGCCCCAGCTCAAAGGCATAGAAACACCACCGCCCAGAAAAATTCCTTGATCCCGGCACAAGTGACATTTCTAAGCACACTGAGAAGTGTCATTTTAACTACCAACCTAAGCACATATATGCACCTTTATAAATAATCACTATAGTTTAAACAGAAATACAGTATGTCTCAGCCCAGTGGGAAAGTCTGTGACCTGTGTGTTTGCTGAGTCTGCTGTCCAGACGTCAACTGTTTCTGGGATGGGAACCAGGGTGCAGGTCTTTCGAAGTTTACATTTCTTTTGACAATGGGACTAAAGCCGTTTCCCTCAAGGTTTTTTACAGAATCCTATTAGTTCACAGACTTCACCACTTGAAATGCATGCGACCATTACAAAGCTAAACTGATTAGAATCCAGCCCACTCTTCTGTCCTCAACTCATTCCATCAAAGAACTGCCAGACTCATAAACCAGGTGTGAAATAAAGCCAATTCACTCACCCCCTCGAGCTAACAGCATTGACAGTGCATTAATCCTGCTACATTAATCCGCATCATTCACGGAGAGAATATATGCTATACTTGGAGGTGCTTTCTGTGACCAAGATATGGAAATCTAGATGGTTCAAACAAATAGCAAAAAGCTTTTCACATCCGATGACCTGTGCACCCCATTGGCCGTGTTTGCATGTAACAGTAATCCAGATTCCACAAACAATGTGCTCCCAGCATGCTCTCACTTTGCTCCTCCCCTGGCATGTGTGGGGTAAACAAACCAGCAAACCTTGGCTTTCCATTACCTAAAAACTCACAATCATGGTTGAAGCCCTGGTTGCTTTGTTCGCTTGAAGATCGTGTCTTGCAAATGCTGCTTGCTGACAGTAAACCAGAAGATGTGGCATAGCATTACATGTGAACACAGGCTTTGCATCCCCAGTGTTTTGGGGGAATTCTGAAACGTGTACCAAATGCAGGGAAACCTGAGACTCTTTCAGGGGTCTTCCACGCAAGCAAGGTCATACTCAGATAGCAAATTCCCACCCCCCACTTCAGAAACACATGGAACACATTGCTCCAAACCATCTTCCAATAGACAACTCTCATCTAGGGACTTCCAACTCTGAACGTAACAAACAAACAAACAAACAAGCACGAGACCCAAGAATCCAACGTAAGTACCTGTGTGAGTCCTCTGGTGCGCTTTTAAGTGTGAGCTCTTTGTATAAACCTTCCGGCACCCATTAAACTGACAGCGATGAACCCTCTTCTTGTTTTCCGGCAAAGCATCTGCCCCCGTCCCTCCTTGCTCGCTATCACTAAGCGCACACTTTGTTGTGCTGGCCGGTGCTACCACACCGACTTTTATAGAGCTGAGGGCGGTCTTCTTTGCAACTAACTTCAGCGTAACTGTGCCATCCACCGCGGAGACAGTCTGTGAGGTTTTTACAAGATGGCGACTGAGCTCAGGGGAGGAGGGAGGCGTTAGTGAGGTCACTGCGTTGAGTTGGGCCTGGTTAACGGCAGTATAGCCCTCTGTGGAGGAGCTGGTAGGCTGCAAGCTGAGGCAAGTCTCGGACAAGAGTTTGTCCCGCGAGACGATAACGTCCATGTTGGAATTCTTGTCGCAAGGACTCATGTCTACAGGTAACAAGAGGGGGTCCGGCTGCTGGATGGTGTCTTCTGTGTCTTGAGCGGAGGCAGTGTGGAGGAAACAGTCCAAGTCATCACCAAAGCTCTCAGATATCTTCCTGGGCTCCGTCTGAAGGTAGCGTTCCAGCTCAAGGCATGTCTGCAGACAGAGAAGGAAGACGTCATTAGATCACCCAATCCAACAGTTGCCACTGCCTTGAAACAGAAGACAGAAACAGGGATAGGGAACCCATGGCCCTCCAGGTACCACTCGATTCCCATCATTGGCAAGGCCAAAGGGAATGATGGGAAGTGTAGCTCAGCAATATCTGGAGGGCCACAGCTGCCCCATCCCTTCCCTAATTGGCGGAAACATATGGATAGGCCAAAACAGTCATAAGAAAAGAAAGGAGAAATAAATTATCTGCTGTGCTATAGCTCAGTCGGTATAGCACAAGACTTTTCATTTCAGGGTGGGTTGGTTCAAAGACCCATGTTGGGTAAGAGATTCCTGCTTTGCAGAGAGTTGGACATGATGACCCTCAAGATCCCTTCCAATTCCACAGTTCTATGAATTTCCCTACAGAATAACAGCTACAAGTGCCACTTCTCCATTCTGGGAGGAAGATGGAGGACAGCAGAGGCCCTTTCCAGTTGCCTAGCAACCCCAGGAGCAACCACTTGTGAACCAACCCCCAAACGTTAGGAGGCTGCACCACAGTCAGTCAAATTCCTTCCCCTCCCCGATCCACCCAAAATGTTTGCTTAGCACACAAGCAGACTATTCGCAGGCTGCAGTTGCATCTTCTCTGGGGTCCTGGCACAAATACCTCTGTGCCAAACAGGGGAAGCTTTACTTTTTGTGGGGCGAAAGGCACAGGAAGGGCTCTGCAGTGCAAACCAGGTTGCTTTCGGCCCAGTGGCTCCTAGCTCCTTTCAGCAGGGCAAGAGGAACCAGCAGGGAAAGCTCCTTGAGGCTCTGCTCGGAACCGCTGGCTGTTGGTGTAAATGCCAGGCCACCGGGACAGAAAAGTGGGATATCGAAAGTGCTGTCCATTTATATAGGCCAGCCTTTTACATTTTAGCCTTCCCACGCAATGCTGAGTAGTCAAGGAAAAACACCCAGAGAATAGGAGTTGCTATAACATACAAACCAGTGTAAGGTCCACTCCCCCGCCCCCCCGGTAGAATTCAGTAAGTATTCTATGCAACTGGTGCACATTTAACGTGTGTGCATTCAGCTTTACATGCCTGGCAAACAAGCAAAACGAAAAGCGGGACTGAGCAGAGGAGAAAAAAAGTCTTTGGCAACCCCACCCTCCATTGCACTCAATACGGTTTGACTACACTTGATTTTGGCTTCAGGCGCTATCCCTGGAACGCTGCCTCTGTGTAAGTTGAGGGCTTACTGTATTAGGATGTTCCTTCTTTCTATCACAGGGCTGAAATATTTGCCTCTCTCTCTCTCTCTCTCTCTCTCTCTCTCTCTCTTTTCCTGGCGTCGGTTTACTCTCTGCTGCACAGAAAACTCTTAAGAGCACGTAATCCCTAGGTTAGCAAGTGTGGAGGCTATGTCTAACGCCAGTCATTTGAATTCTCCACTGCCTGGACATTAAAATTCTGGGTTTGGTCTCCTAACTTCCTGTGGAGAGGGCAAGGGGGGGAGCTGTCCCTTTAAGGCATTACTCCTCTTATGACAATCATAGTGGTCCTGACAGACTTCGAGCCTTGTCATTAATTTTCCATAAAGAACAGTTCTCCGCAAGCCCCCTTTGAGGCAAGGCCTGATGCTTCAGAAACCTATAATTATTCTTGTATCCCACCCCCTGTGGTCTTTGCACCTGTGTCAGTTCAAGATACCAGCTGGTCAAGCCTTGCCTTCTGCTTCTGAAACACAAAACCACCTCCTCAAGGCCATCTCCCTTAAAAAATAAAAAATGGGGTGGTGGTGAGGGGGAGAGAACTCAAAAGGTTGGACGGGTGGGGAGGGAAAAAGAACGGGACAGAGTGGAAAAGATACAGCTTTCAACAACAGGAACAAAACCCCAACACACTCCATGGCTAGACAAGGTTCTGATAAGGCTGGGTCTATTTTCAGGATACAGAAAGTATCCATTAAAAAAGAAGAAGTTTTTAAGAGGTTGCTTACATTTTAAAGCACAATGCTAATCAAGTGGAGGTGGGAACGAATGAAACAATTTGTTGTATTTTGATTGCTATGATTTCGAAGTTCATATATCAGTATTTTTCCCCAGGTGCTGCCTGTGGCTTGTCCACCGTTGGGGAGAAGCTGCTATTGGATTAGGCTGCACACTTACTAGTGACTGAAACCCGCTGAACACAGCAAGACAAAATTCTGGGTAAACCTGTGTGGGATTGTGTTGAAAGACTGTTGTGAAAGCAGCACAACCTACCTGCCACATTCCCACGGGTCATCTGCAAATTAATTATATGAAGCCAAATACGCATAGTTATCTTTAGCCTTCCAGTTCACAGAATTCTTCTGTCTTTAACACTTCGTCTGTGCCATTAGAGAAGAACTACAGATAAAATATCTCCAAAACAAAATGAGGAAGGGCCGTCCTCCTTTGAACCCCAATTCTCATCCGCCTGCTCTTTGCTACAAGTTGACGCTTCTTCATGCATTACAGAGATTCTTTCTTCACATGCAATTTTGCTGCTCCGGAAAACATCAAATACCTTACATAACCTTCTTCCTTCTCAGTCCGACACCACAAGTAAAAAAACACACACACAAAAACAAGATCTCCAGTTGCCAAGCTTATGTTATAAAACAAATTTGTTGGCATAACACCGCCACCCTGGCCCCCAAATGGGGCATGAGAAGGAGGTGCTGTTGTTTTATTATTTATCTGTTTGCAAAAATTACCGTCAACCTTACAAAAACCACCATGGTGGTGAACACCATAAAACAGTAAAAGTTGCGTCCATAAAACAAATTCAAAATACATTGCAAATTGGAGTATCAAATTACTGTATCAACATAGATGGATCACCTTGCAGTGAAAGCCTTGAGTAAACAGGTGAGCATAAATGCCAGGATGGAAGGTGCCTGGTCTGCTGTTTATTGGAAGCATATTCTCAAAGGCAGGTGCTACCACAGAAAAGACCCTGCTCTTAGTAGGCGTAAGGTGAACTTTGGGAGAAAACAGAACTACTAAGAGGGCCTCTTGCAAGGGCAGAAGTGACCACACAGGGGTATAAAAAAGTGTAAGGCCTCCCTGAAGGAATCCGGTCCCAAGTTGTTCAGAGTCCCAAATATGCTAATAGGTAAAGGTAAAGGGACCCTTGACAGTTAAGTCCAGTCGTGAACGACTCTGGGGTTGCACGCTCATCTATTGGCCGAGGGAGCCGGAGTTTGACCACAGACAGCTTCCGGGTCATGTGGCTAGAATGACTAAGCAGCGCACGGAAACGCTGTTTCCCTTCCCGCTGTAGTGGTACCTATTTATCTACTTGCACTTTGGTGTGCTTTTGAACTGCTAGGTGGAAGACCTTAAACCTGACGCACCATCTTACCCAGACCCTGTGGGACTCATGCATCTTTTTGGCTTGGTGATTTAATTTAACACACTGCTATTATTTTCTGAGGTGTCTGTAAAATGACTGTATTTTGCTTTATTCCTGGTGATTGCTACTCATTATTTGGTGTTTACAGTGCTTCATGCTATTATTAGTATTAAAAAAATCTCACACACACACACACACACCAGTGGCGTAGCGTGGGGGGTGCAGGGGGGCCGGCCGCACCGGGCGCAACATCTGGGGGTTAGGGTTAGGGGGCGCAAATCCACGGGTTAGGGGGCGCAAATTACTTGCCTTGCCCCGGGTGCTGACAACCCACGCTATGCCACTGACACACACACACACACACGATCCACCAGCATACTGGCAGCCAGTGAAGCACTAGAAACTTTCTATTCTGCTGTAGAAACTTTCATTGCACAAAACATTCAGAAATGCATTAAGACTCATCTGTCCAATTCTACTCGTACCCACTTGGCTTTTTCTGTTGCATTTCACTGCGCTGTTCAAGAGGCCCACCTTTTGGGGTGTGCTAGTTAGCAACGTGGGGTGATTATTCCCCCCCCCCCCAGAAAACATTACTTGTAAAACGTGCTTTATCTGTTTCTTCGTGGGAAATTTTATTTCATAAATGCATTAGTCACAATGAATGCATGCCAACTGCAACTATAACATTAGACAAGCTTCAACATTCTAGCTCTGCTTGCTAAATACATGTAAACCGAACACAGCAAATTAAAGCACTCTTGGGCCCCAGAAAGTTTTCCAATGCAAAGTATCCTAATTTGTATAGGAAAATTTTCCAAATCCCATTTTCCTAGGAAACTTGCTAGTGTTACGGGCCATATTTCCTCCATAACCACCAAAGCTATAAGCCTGTTATGAGTAGGGAAGCTGGTGATATTCTCAGGAAATGTATATTCCGTGCTAGATACTAGAACCAACATAGCAGTGCTCAGAAAACAGAGAAGTCCTGGTGATGGAATACAAGGATACGTTTTGCCTAACAGATATTCACTGTGTCTGGAATGGGCTCGAAAGCGCTAATGTATGCCAGTGATCTGCACAAAGTAACCTGGAATGGCACAAAGTTTTCTGTCAATTTTCTTGCAGATCTCTATTACACCAATTTCTGCAATCTACCATATTTTTCGCTCTATAAGGCGCACCAGACCACAAGATGCACCTAGTTTTTGGAGGAGGAAAACAAGAAGAAAAATATTCTGAATCTCAGAAGCCCGAACAGCAAGAGGGATTGCTGCGCAGTGAAAGCAGCAATCCCTCTTGCTGTTCTGGCTTCTGTGATAGCTGCGCAGCCTGCATTCGCTCCATAAGACGCACATACATTTCCCCTTACTTTTTAGGAGGGAAAAAGTGAGTCTTATAGAGCAAAAAATACGGTACTTGGAATTGTTGGCAGTAGCAACACTAAAGATAGTTAAGAGATTAGCCATATTTTTAAAGAAGGTTTTCCGGCTCAGTGCTTCAAAACAAAAGCCTTACTTAAAAATACAGTAGTACCTTGGGTCACAGACACTTCAGGTTACAGACTCCGCTAACCCAGAAATAGTACCTCAGGTTAAGAACTTTGCTTCAGGATGAGAATAGAAATTGTGCGGCGGCGGCGCAATGGGAGGCCCCATTAGCTAAAGTGGTACCTCAGGTTAAGAACAGGTACTATTTCCACTGTACACTAAATCCAACTTGAGCCTTGGCAAATACAGTAGTACCTCGGGTTAAGAACTTAATTCGTTCTGGAGGTCCATTCTTAACCTGAAACTGTTCTTAACCTGAGGTACCACTTTAGCTAACAGGGCCTCCCGCTGCCGCCATGTGATTTCTGTTCTCATCCTGAAGCAAAGTTCTTAACCTGAAGCACTATTTCTGGGTTAGCAGAGTCTGTAACCTGAAGCGTCTGTAACCTGAAGCGTCTGTAACCTGAGGTACCACTGTATCACTGGTGCATCATACCAAAGACCCGTTAAATGGTGGGGAAGGAACACCTACAGCCTCTAGTAAAAAAACAAAATCCAAACCATAGCTCCACTTTACACTAGCAAGCAGCAAGCTAAAAGAGGAGACAGATTTGTACTGTGAAGATTGATACCGAACAAAAGACACCTAAAGATAAATGACGTGGCACAGCTGCTACAAGATAAAGAGAAGTTGATAGATGTTATTCGTTGCCAGAGTCACTGCATGGCGTGATGGACAGGGTTTGAAGAAGAATGTGGTTCCTTAAAGAGAAATGAGAAGTCGGCGCCTGATTGTTCCAGCTTGCGGGGGGTGGGTAGAGATCCTATCTCTCTGTGGGAACTACCATTCTGGGGCATAGGTGAGAACCCTCGCCCAATGCCCCCTCTTCCCAGAAGTTAAAGCTCAGTGTGCTGTGGGTTAAACCACAGAGCCTAGGGCTTGCTGATCAGAAGGTCTGCGGTTCAAATCCCCACGACGGGGTGAGCTCCTGTTTCTCGGTCCCTGCTCCTGCCAACCTAGCAGTTCGAAAGCACGTCAAAGTGCAAGTAGATAAATAGGTACCGCTCCGGCAGGAAGGTAAATGGCGTTTCCGTGCGCTGCTCTGGTTCACCAGAAGCGGCTTAGTCATGCTGGCCACATGACCCGGAAGCTGTACGCCGGCTCCCTCGGCCAATAAAGCGAGATGAGCGCCACAACCCCAGAGTCGGCCACAACTGGACCTAATGGTCAGGGGTCCCTTTACCTTTACCTTGTCTTTGAGGAAGATCCTTACCAACCTTAGCTTCTTCTGCCTCCACCCCCCCCCCCGCCTGTATGTAGACCAGGTCTTCTGAGGCTCAGATCCTGAGATGGCTGGGGTGGAACCTCACAGAGCAGGGGGTGGAGTGTGATCGACAGTGGTGAAGTCTAAGACAGGGTTGGGGAACTGGTGCTTTCCCCAAGGTGTTGAACTTCAGTGCCCCAGCCAGACTGGCAATGGGCAGGGTTGATGTGATTTGACATTCCATGGACTCAGCCTGCTTAATCTGCACTGGGCTTTTCTTTGCAAGGGTTGCCCCTTTAGGTGTTAAAGAAATGTGTTGCTGTTTTTACTTCTGCATAACTCAAGGTTCATCTGAGCATTCTTACGCTTCCTCTCTCGTTTCCCAGCAGCCCCATTCAGTATTGCCAATCATTTTTATCTCCAGTCAAGCACCTGAGTTTTCTATTACAAGGGGAGGGGAGGAAGATTCATGGTTAAGAGCAGCAGGAGGAGCTTTTCTTGGCCTCATGCAAAGAAGCAAAGAAGCAACACACTGGCCTTTTGGGGGGTGGGATGTCAGTTTCACATCAGGCCTCAAACTGCTGCTTAAAACCAGCTGCAATAAAAGCACTCTCTTAAATCTTTCCAAACCGAAGGAAGAAACACAGGTAGTCTAGACACATATAAGCAGCTGTAAACTTAGGCCTGGCTTGAAGAGTACCATTTATAGGGATCCACAAGCACTAGCTGCTCCTTGTAAGTCTATTAGTATGATACACATGATGTCTGGAAACAGATGCTGGTCACATCCACCCATTCCACATCCATCCATTTTTGCAGCATGCTTAGCACATCTTGGGTACACACCTAGCAAGGAATTTAGTACAGTAGTACCTCGGGATGCGAATGGGATCCGTTCTGGAGCCCCGTTCGCATCCTGAAGCGAACGCAACCCGCGTCTGCGCATGCACGGGTCACGTTTCGCCGCTTCTGTGCATGTGTGTGACATCATTTTGACTGTCAGTGCATGAGCACGCGGTAAAACCCAGAAGTAATGCACTCCGTTACTTCTGGGTCGCTGCGGAGCACAACCCGGAAATACTTAACTTGAAGCACATTTATCCCGAGGTATGACTGTATTGCACTAAAACAAACGTTATAGTTGAGCAAGGATTTCTGCTTGTCTAACAGAACAACCTCTCCTCCCCTCCCCCTGCATGTTTAGGGGTACTCTCTTTTTCCTCCTCATATTGAAATACTGCCCCTCAATGAGGCCAAACTTAGATTCACAAAATGTTTAGGGGTATGCGTCCCCCTGAGTCCCCCCAGAAAAGAAAGCAAGGAGGGTGGCAAGTCCCATTCCACTAGCGGGAGACCTTAGTTGGAACTACTTCATGGAATCTGGCCCCTAATGTTTTTAGCAAGCTGTTTAGGGAATTTTTTACTGTTCGATGTTTTATCGTGTTTTTAATATTCTGTTGGGAGCCGTCCAGAGTGGCTGGGGAAACCCAGCCAGGTGGGCGGGTATAAATAATAAATATTATTATTATTAAATTATTATAGCTACAGAAATTTAAATGGTGCAAACCAATCGTGCGTGTTTTATATCCCATTTTCAAGCAGTTATCGGTGCTCTTCGCTGAATGGGAGGTGGCCTTCAAGTGAAATGCACAAGGGCAAGATGTTTAAAGGAAAGCCAGACAGCCATGTGCTTCATGTGACTGTCACACCAATCACTGCAAAAATCCCGGGTGATAACTTTCAATTGCAGCTTTTAGGAAGCCAATGAGAGATTTGCCTTACCCTTGTGGATGTTGAAGGCAGAGACCACATGAGCACTAAGAAGCATAATACAAAGCCCTAGGAATCAGTGCTGCAATATTATCACTTCTATTGCAATATCTGCTGTTTTTATTAATGCCCCAGGCACCAGGCAGGCAATTAGAAAAGAACCTCAGCTTTCATTTTTTTTTTAAAAAAGTTACATTCTAGCTCTTGAGGTTACAAGAGAATGTCTGAAAAACACGATTCCCTAAGGTTTGGGAGTATGGAAGCAATTAAAAAGAGCATTGAATTCCTTTAAGAAGCATGTATGACACACACATATCCCTAAATTGGGAATGTTTCAGGGAAAACTGAAATATCAAAACTTCAAAAGACAAAGAGACTATGCAGACAGGAAGAAGGTGAGATGAAAACACAAGTTAGCGAACGAGATCAAGGAAACTAAGCAATGTTTTTCTGTGGCCAAATGTGATTCCTTAGGAAGGTAACAGATAGTTTAAACTATTAGTGATTGCTAATTCAAATTCTTCTTCCCATCATGCGCATTCTCCAATTATGTCCACAGTGATACAGTAAAGTGCTAAACTCTTAGCAGAAGTACAAAGTTAAAAAAACCTCTAAGCAGAAATCTAAAAGGCTGAATTTAGAGTATATGGCTCTGTTAAAATGATTGCTTACTTTCGCATCAGCATCCTGAAAACTGTGAAATTATACATGACTGTGCTTTGGCCACACTAAATATCTCAGTAAAGTGACAAAGAAAATTGGGGGGCGGGGAGGAGAAGAACCCAATTTACGCGGCTGGATCCTTGTTCATGACGGCACCTGTTGAAATCCTGTTATGCAGATTTGGCCTTGTAAAAGTGGGTGACCTGTTTGCTCATGCTTTATGATGTGCAATAGAGTGTACACACAGGAAACACATTTGTGATTTGCAAAGGGCAAAAGTGCCCCAGATCTGTTATGTGAAATGCCCACGTTATACTGTAGACACAGTTTCCAATGTCAACCCTTTTTGGATGCTGCATAAGAAAGAATCAAACTTTCTACAGGGAAAACTTGATTCATCAGTTGGTTGGGTGAGAAATCCTCAGTTCATTTCATGAGAAATTCCCAACCATTTCCCATGAAATTCCTACATACTGCAGAGGATGACCAATGTACTGTATGCTCTACAGCTGCACACCCCATTCAAATGGCATGCCTGAACCTCAAAGTCATGTGTTAGGGGCAAGATGGGGCAGGGATGCCTTAAGGCAGAGCTTAATAATAATAATAATAATAATTTATTATTTATACCCCACCCATCTGGCTGAGTCTCCCCAGCCACTCTGGGCGGCTCCCAATCAAATGTTAAAAACAGTACAGCATAAAATATTAAAAACTTCCCTGAACAGGGTTGCCTTCAGATGTCTTTTAAAGATAGGATAGCTGCTTATTTCCTTGACATCTGAAGGGAGGGTGTTCCACAGGGTGGGCGCCACTACCGAGAAGGCCCTCTGTCTGGTTCCCTGTAACCTCACTTCTCACAATGAGGGAACCACCAGAAGGCCCTCAGCGCTGGATCTCAGTGTCCGGGCTGAACAATGGGGGTGGAGACGCTCCTTCAGGTATACAGGACCGAGGCCGTTTAGGGCTTTAAAGGTCAGCACCAACACTTTGAATTGTGCTCGGAAACGTACTGGGAGCCAATGCAGATCTCTCAGGACCGGTGTTATGTGGTCCCAGCGGCCACTCCCAGTCACCAGTCTAGCTGCTGCATTCTGGATTAATTGCAGTTTCCGGGTCACCTTCAAAGGTAGAGTGCATTGCAGTAGTCCAAGCAGGAGATAACTAGAGCATGCACCACTCTGGTGAGACAGTCTGTTGGGAGGTAGGGTCTCAGCCTGCGTACCAGGTGGAGCTGGTAGACAGCTGCCCTGGACACAGAATTAACCTGCGCCTCCATGGACAGCTGTGAGTCCAAAATGACTCCCAGGCTGCGCACCTGGTCCTTCAGGGGCACAGTTACCCCATTCAGGACCAGGGAGTCCTCCACACCTGCCTGCCCCCTGTCCCCCAAAAACAGTACTTCAGTCTTGTCAGGATTCAACCTCAATCTGTTAGCCGCCATCCATCCTCCAACTGCCTCCAGGCACTCATGTTGATGACACACTATTTAGACATGCATCATTTTGCGATGCAGTAATTCAGTTTTACTAGCAAACCGGAGGTTAAACTAACCCTTTTCCAGCCCCGGGAGGAGTGGAGGGAGCGTTTGCACGACACACCTACACACTGCAGCCGACACACTAACATGTCGCGACACGGTCTGGAAAGCTCTGCCCTAAGGGCACAGCTCCTGGCACACAGCCCGCAATTGGCCCTGATCTAGGGGTACCCATGTGTCAGTGTGGCCATCTGCAGGGGGAGAGAGGGAAAGGGAGAGACTGACCGACAGGCAGCCCAAACCATTGGTACCTGGATGCCAACGTAACTGGGTATTCTGGTTGCATGGAAGCTTCTGTAAAAGCAGCTGTTTGTGAACAGGTATGAAAGGGGCAACAGAGGAGTACTGAGGAGCAGGGCTGTGCTCCTAGCCCACACTGCCAGGATCGGCCCTCCCTCTAGATTTCCTTATGCTAGCAAGGTCTTCTGCAAAGAAAAAAAAACATTCCCGGTACTAGCATAGCAGCCCCTTCACACAATTTCCCCAGACTTGGGTTCCCATATGTTATTCAACTACATCTCCCATCATCACTGGCCAAGCAAGCCGGGGATATTTGGCGTCCCAGTGTTGGGGAAAACTGCATTGGATTCACCACATTCCAATCAAATGTGTCTGTGCATTTCACTAGAACTGTGCCAATTACAGCACATTCTTCCATTGCATGTATTCATTCTTAACATTACTAAGGAACAAAAGAAAAGTATCTATATTATACAGTCGCTCCCGTTGCTCGGACCCTGCTCCTGCCAACCTAGCAGTTCAAAAGCACGTCAAAGTGCAAGTAGATAAATAGGTACCACTCCGGCAGGAAGATAAACAGTGTTTCTGTGTGCTGCTCTGGTTCGCCAGAAGTGGCTTAGTCATGCTGGCCACATGACCTGGAAGCTGTACGCCGGCTCCCTCGGCCAGTAAAGCGAGATGAGCACCGCAACCCCAGAGTCGGCCACGACTGGACCTAGTGGTCAGGGGTCCCTTTACCTTTACCTAACCTTGGAAATTGAATGGAATCCGTTCTGGAAGTCCATTTGACTTCCCAAAAGTTTGAAAACTGAAGTGCGGCTTCTGAATGGCTGCAGGAAGTTCCTGCAGCCAAGTGGAAGCCATGGAAACCCCGTCGGATGTTCGGCTTCCAAAAGAACGTTCAAAAACTGGAACACTCACTTCCGGGTTTCGATCATTCGGGAGCCAAAACGTTTCGAGAACTAGGCTGTTCGTCTTCCAAGGTACGACTGTATATGAATGGAGCTGTGAGGCTGTTTTCTTTCACATTCAGGCAGATGAGCACCTTGGATAGCTGCAAAATGTGTACTCTAAATTCACTCAATGTGTCTTTTGAGGAACTGGCATGTGCCAATACTTCAGTCATAGCCAGCCATGTTAACCTTGTCAGGACAGGGAAAGGAAACCTGTTTCAGATCCCCAACATCAGTAGGAAGATTCAGAAGCTGCTGGTGCTCAGAATCAACCCAGATTTCCTGCTTTTCAGTCCTTTCCCATTTCTCAAGACCTCTCTCATGCCCCACCTCTGCAGACTTCAAAATACCACAATAAAGGCTCGATACAACATCATTTTTGATCCTTCCAGTGTCAAGCCCAGATGATCCTGCAACAAGGAACGGTGGAGGACCAAGTCAAGAGTTTCCACCATTCTCAGTCTACAGTTCCTACCTACTGGACTCTACAAGTAGTAAAGCAAATACAAGAAACAATTCCATGGAGAGATCTGATGGTATTCCCACTGAGTTAACCAGTGGGGAGGAACGAATGAACCTAGAATGAACAGAGAATGATTTGAATATATATCTGAATTAAAAAGCATCATAACAACCTATTAAAAAAGATAAACACTCAGATGCCCACCCAAATTAGAGTCTGAATGCATAAAATAAATGCTCTCTTTCCCCCTTTCTCCATGCCCTGTCTCTGCTTTTTATTTCCAGAGCTAATAGTTTGACTAAGGAAAACACTTAGGCCAATGAATAACAGCATGAACATTTGCTCTTATGAGAAATGCCACAGAGTCATTAATTATTGAGGTAGATAACACGGCGCCTCCATTTGCAATGTCTCAGAGAGCATCTTCCATACAGGCATTGACAAAATCTGCTTTAATCTACCAATGAAGTCTAAAAGGGAACCAGCAGGGCCTTTTCAGGTTTGAAGCCTCAATATTATTTTAGGTATCTCAAGCATGATGAAAATTACGTTAATTTCAAGGTGTCTCCCATGGCTTTTGTTGGCGCCCTCTGCTTAAACCAGGCTTGTAAAATTATTTGCCTGGGGACACCTGAGATAAGGAAGAATCGGCTCAAAGCAGCTGCGCAGGAAAGCTTTATAAACATGCCCTCTCTCTTAGGCCACAAAACAAGCGTCTGTGTAGGAGAAGATCAGCTAGTTGCATGTGTGTTTTAATTTCAGAGGAGTCCAGCTGCAGCTGAATGTCTGAACTGGCCCTTGAAGGGGGCAGGACAACCATTGTGAAAATTGCCTCAATATATATATATATTCATGATGGCTACTGCTTCTCACGGTCCACGCAGAATGCATCTTAACTGCCAGGTCAACCGTTTCAGCAAGGGCTTGGCAATACTGAAATTAAAGCCCTTTGTTTTTAGTTTGTTCTGTTCCATACTCAAAACTTTAAAAAGCCACCAAAAACGCTGGTCCTGTCCCTGACTGAAGAAAGCTGTCAATAGGCAGACAGTCATATGAACAAGTTTTATCCACAATTTTGTTATTAGCGCAACTTCTCAGGTAGAGTAATCTGCCAAGCAAGGTCATGACCAGCAGCTTTTAAAATAAAATACCTTGAACATTTTCTCTCACACCATTCTGCTACTGTTGTTCTGCTCACCTTAACAAGAAGCCTCTCCTGTTCCCGTAAGGGCATGTTTATCCACATTCCTGCAGCAGAAAGCACTCACTAACTGCCTCCTTGCTTCTCAAGGGCACGGAATCAGATCTTGTTATAATCACGTGTTAACCTTGATGCTTGACTAAATTCCAGTTCGGAAGTGTAGAGAAAGCACGTGGTACAGTCCTCACAGAACCGCTCCATTTCAGAATGCGGCTGGGAGAACTGTACCATCCATGCACTTTTTCCGAATGTTTGGAGGAGCTTTAAAGGAATTCAAAGCAGGAAGTTCTCAGAGAAAGCACGCACAGAGGAGCAAAACTGGACATCTGAATTCTTATAAAAGGACTGCGCATTTTAACCCAACATCCTTTGTTTTAAAGGTAAATGGAAAATGCATTTTAAAACTGCACAAGCATTTAAACGAAAGAGAACTACACCTACTGCCTGAAAGCCTAGCTGAAATCAATACTGTATTATAGAGAAAAGGAGGGAAACCACTTTATAAGCTTTGCTGAGCCTGAGAGGTAGAGAAAAAAGTGCATCTCTCTCTACCTCCACCCCACCCCCTACCGCTAAGAATTTGCCTGAGGGGTTGGGGGTTAGAAATAATTGTCTCTACAGAAACTGTTTCATCAGAGACATTTTCCCTGACACACTGGAAAGTTAATATGAAAGAAACCCAAGGATGAACAAATAAGAAAGCACGAGTCAGAGACTAGGAAAAACTCCAAACAGCCAATATCTGCAAGTTGAAGCTTAGTTAATATAGAGGGTCACTTAAAATGGTGACACTTTATGAGCAGCATGAGAAATGCAGAAATATCCAAAGGGAGAAGAATCCTGCCAGAAAAAACACATATCCTGCTGGGGTTGGGGAGAAAGAATGATAAGAAAGGAAGAAATCTGTATCTGTTGCCCTGGTCAGTCTTTAGAAATTAAAAACCATGTAATGAAAGTGTTAATAGCTTGGACAATTTGTACCCACCACCTGGCATACTCAAGGTTATTTCAAGGTGGCTTATTCAGAATATTTCTTCTGCCGCAACAATCCCTGTTTACATAAACAGACACTCCCACAGTAACGTCCTCTCCCGATTCACTCAGGCTGATCCCCACTTAACAGGAAACAGTAACCATTTTATCATTTAAAGCCAAGTGGTGACCATCAGAAGAGCAAAGATTAAGCCTAAGAATCCTGAACACATATTCAAAAACTCATTTCCCATTGTTAAAAATGAAGTAGGCACTCAGTGGACCTCTCTGGGGAGGGCATTCCATTGGCTGGGTGCCGCCACTGAGAAGGCCCCATCCCTGGCGTGGATAATGGGGGCACCTGCAGATCCCTTATGAAGAGCTTAACATATGGGTAGCCAGGGATGCGGGTGGCGCTGTGGTCTAAACCACCAAGCCTCTTGGACTTGCTAATCAGAAGGTCAGCGGTTCGAATCCCTACAACAGGGTGAGCTCCGGTTACTCTGTCCTAGCTCCTGCCAACCTATCAATTCAAAAGCACGGCAGTGCAAGTAGATAAATAGGTACTGCTGCAGTGGGAAGGTAAACAATGTTTCCATGTGCTGTGGCTTCTGTCACAGTGCACCAGATGTGGTTTAGTTATGCTGGCTTGGAAAAGCTGTCTGTGGACAAATGCCAGCTCCCTTGGCCTGAAAGCGGAGATGAGCGCTGCACCCCATAGTCGCCGTTGGCTGGACTTAAGCGTCCAGGGGTTCTATGGGTAGCCACATATGGAGAAAGGGGCACTTCAGGCATGCCAAAGCCATAAAGGGCATTAAAGTCAAAGCAAGGTGGTTTAAAAGGCACTTTCTCAAAACCCAATTGGTGCAACACTACTGTGTTATGATCATAACACCCAGTCCTGGTTATTAATCCAGCTGCTGTATTCTGAACTGTTGTTGTTTAGTCGTTTAGTCGTGTCCGACTCTTCGTGACCCCCTGGACCAGAGCATGCCAGGCACTCCTGTCTTCCACTGCCTCCCGCAGTTTGGTCAAACTCATTCTGGTAGCTTCGAGAACACTGTCCAACCATCTCGTCTAAGCTACTGATTGCCTGCCTGCCTTTTTTATTCCCCCGCTGAAACCTAAGTAGCAATGAGACTACGACTTCGCTCTCAGTAAGATTTTGCCTACAATTTAAATATTGACTCATACTGGGGGATTAGAGACTAAAGCAGATACACTTTCTCAATACAGCCTATAGTAAACAAGACGAGATAGTTGCACCCCCCCTTTTTTTAAAATTAAACAGTCTCCTGCATCTTGCCTGCTATCACACAGTATCTTGTGTGATTTTGCTGTTCAGCAACTTTCTCTGGTGCCTTTATGCAGCTTCTTGCCCCATCCCATTTTCATAGCAGGTGCTTCCAAACTGTTTAGTCAGAAGCAACCCACCCCCCTCAAAAAAACAACAACAAACCAATAACCACCCAGATTTACGAGAAAGGTCCACTGAAGTCTGAGAAGCTGTGTCAGTTTATGGCATTTTGAGCATCTGGTCCCATAAAAGCCCATAAAATCAAACACTGAAGTTTCAACAGCTGAATCAAAGCTGCTCACCAGAGGGTGTCTCATTACTAGCTCTGCCACACACTATTAGTGCAAGACCATAAAGCAAGGCTACCTCTCTCCAGCCAACCTCCCACCTCATAAACGTTTCCTTAATTATTAGAAATACACGTTTAAAGGCTTAGGAAAACGGTGCAGATAAACACCAGTTGAAAGGAAGCATGTGCATGCCATCAGGCCCATGGTGCCGAAGTACAGCAATCTCTAACGGTAGATGCGTTCCCCAGAGGGGGAGAAACATCTACTGCTGGTCCAGGGCAATTAGATTCCAGGAAATGAAGCTAGACTGTACAAGGCCACAGGGAAGGAGAAGAGCATCCATAGTAACCGTAACAGGCAAGAGGTTGCACAACTCTGTTTCTTCACCTCGCCGCCAATATATGCTCTGCTTGTCAAGCGCCCCCTGCAAATGTACTTCTGAATAGCTGGTGGAAGGTTGAACAAGTCCTGAAAAAATCTTTTCCTTCAAGTACAGAAGCAAAGATAATAAATAAATAAATAAAAATGGAAAGAAATCTAGAATGCATGTGTGTTGAGTATGTGACAATCAGTCTGCGGCTAGAATTCCAGCTCAGCCTGGTTAGAGTAGATCATTGCTTCAACAGACCAAAATATGCAACTTTTGCTCAAACACTGATTTCTGGCATCTTCTCTGACATGAACTTATGACTAAGCATTTTTAACGGCAGATACTTTTAACATGAAATCTCAGCTACAATTGATGTAGCATGCATGACCAGAAAATAAGTAGTAAAAAAGTACTATTGATTAAGTAACACGTACAAAGAGAAAGAGAGTTATAGTGTAACCCTAATTTAGAAATTGGGGGCAAACTCTTTTGATACATAAAATAACTTAAAGAATCAAGTACTGTACTGAAGATGTGAATTATAAACAGGATTGCTTGTGATCACCTAAAATGACTGCAGATTTAGGCTACAACAGCCCTATAACCACTGGCCTAGGAGTACCCAATGAACTCAGAACTTATTTCTGAGTTGACGTAAAAGATGGAGCTGGAAATATTTACTGCCTCCAGATCTTCGTTGGCAATATGCCCACAGTTGCTGAAACCATCAACCGATAGAAAGTTGTTTAGTCCAAATGACTTTGCAGCATCTAACGAGCCAAACATTCATTGTTTAAGCAAAAGTTATTTGTTATTGCACAATATGAAATGATGAAAATACAAACATCCGATTTAGATTTAGATTTGTTACGTATGGAAAGGAAGACAAAAGAAGATGATTAAGTTGCTCTGCTACTTAATCAGCAGTCCTCAAAATCTTGCCTTGGGTATCAATGGATTATAAAAAGAAAAAACCCATTGCATTCTTTATAGGCTCTATTAAGGCTCTATTTTGATTGCTTAGAGTAGTGGTTTTCAACCAGTGTGCCGTGGCACCCTGGGGTGCCTTGAATGATGCTCAGGGGTGCCGCTGGCGACACTGACCTCTGTCCCTCTTCCTTCTGATCTCTTGCATCTCTGCTTCCCAAAGGCTTGCACAGCTGTTTGTTGCAGCAGCCCTGGCTACAAGCTCCCCAGGGGAATGGTGCCTCTGGGGCTGGGCAGGGGGTGCTTCCCAGACCTCTGTGGGGCAGTGTGAAGAGGCACCTCTCTTTGGGGCAGGTGGGGAGCAGCTCAGAGAGCAGGGGCAGCAGCAGCTGCCTGGAGGACTCCCAAGGAGAGGGGAGAAGAGAGGAGGCCGAGGGAAAACTCCACCAGGGAGGGTGTTCAGAAAAGGGTGAGGGGCTGCCAGCTCTGCAGGCAAGGGGTGATATATCTGGGCTTCTGAGCCCCACAGGGGTGCTGCAGAAAGAACGTAGTTGGTCAAGGGAGCCGTAGACCCAAAAAGGCTGGAAACCTCTGGCTTAGAGAGAGGCTTATTCATAACTGCTAATTGCCAGTCATATGGAAAGAGCAAGGCAAAACTTACACATACGTTGCAGCAAAGCCAGATTGTGATTCTCTATTGGAAAAGAGGCTGTGGGTTTTAATAAAGTTCCTTTTCGTATGAATAGACTATGAGCTCCAATTTAAGGGTGCCATTTCAGGCGAGTTTTCCAGTGTGGGTTCTCTGACAAGCTTCCAGAGAGCCCTCCTTGTGGCAAGCCTTTTCGCTTGGAAGGAGAATGCTATTTCAGGTATGGAAGGAAGGATAAAAATACCCCACGAGTTTCTGTGCGGCTGCGCTCAGGTTGCTGAGCAGGCAGGAAAATGAATGGAGGAAATAAGATAAAGGGATTATAATGAAATACAGTCTGCATTTCTGGATTACAGGGAACTAAACAGAAATGACAATGTTGTGTCTTTTAAAGGTTTATATGATGTTTGCAAGCTATGTTGTAATGTAGGTCCCTGAGTTTGCATGGAATTATACATTTGAACATGGAGTTACAGTAGAGCAGTATAGTTTATGAAATGTTTAAAAGGATTTCCTTTTTATTTTATTAATGTCTGGTTCAGTGCCCTTCCACACACATAGTTTCAAGTAGCCTAAGAATCATAATCAGAACAAGCCCTACCATTAGGCAGTTGAGACAGTGTTGCCTCGGGCATCAGATGTTAAGGCATCTCTGTACCCTGGCTTCTGACACCTGAGGTGCCTTTTTTTTAGGACCCACCCTTTTTCTGAAATTTTAAAAGTTGTTTTAATACTGTGTCTTAATGGTTGTAAGCTGCCCTGGGACCGGAGGGGTGTAGGGTGGCTAATAATAATAATAATAGGCATATTTTTATGGCCTTTACCTCTAGGCTGAAGGACAGCACCGTTCAGATTTTCTGTCTTCAGCAAAAAGACAATCTCCAGACACCCTAATGAGTGACAGCCCCATCTTATGCTGAGAATTATACAAATATATTTAAAATAAAAATTTAAAAAATGCTGCGCTCCCTGTAGCATTCACTGGATTCAGGGTTCCCTTACACCAACTCTACTAATTATATTGCTATCCCTTTTAACCAGCCTCCAAAACCTCCCAAACTTGAAGCCTGGGGTCTTTCCCTACTTGCAGCAAATTTGAAATGTGCAGAGACGGAGGACCAAAATCCCCTCGTCTGACTGGCCAGGCGTCTTCACTGTAGTAAGCTCGACAGAATACTGCAGTCAAACTTCTAAAGACAATTATTCACACTGCGTTTCACATCCAGCTTGGATATCCCTTTCTGGTCATTAGCAGCTGGCTGGTGTTATAGTTATTTACAATCCCCTTAGGCTCTCCGCTCCTCCCGCCAGATATTAAATGGAAATCAGTGTGGATTAGGGAAGGGGTGTTGTTAAGTCATGTGAGCAGCTCATGTGCTTTCAGCACTCTCTCAGTTTATATATCCCCATTAAGTGCTGCTTATTTAGCAGTTGGAGTTAGCAATGGCCTGACCGCTGATCGTCACGTCTGACAGGTAGCTCCCGCAGAGAGGTCATTTCTCGTACAGAGCAATGTCTAGAGGGAATTCCTGAAGAACTGGACCTAGACCTAGACCTGAGGAACCAAACCAACCTGGTGCCCTGCAGATGTTTGGGACTACAACAGATGGACATGCTGTCTGAGGCCTCTGAGAGAGTGGTAGTCCAAAATATTTGAAGGCCACCAGGTTGACAGAGCTGCTTTAGATGGTTCCAGATGGTCAGAGCATAAAGAATCAAGTTTGTTGCATCCGTTCTAATAGTTTTTCTATAGATAACAATGCCTTGCGGTGTTTTTTAAGGCTCAGTAATGCCATTCCTTAGGGGTGTGGGTGGCGCTGTGGGTTAAACCACAGAGCCTAGGACTTGCTGATCAGAAGGTTGGCGGTTCGAATCCCCGCAACGGGGTGAGCTCCCGTTGCTCGGTCCCTGCTCCTGCCAACCTAGCAGTTCGAAAGCACGCAGTGCAAGTAGATAAATAGGTACTGCTCCGGCGGGAAGGTAAACAGCGTTTCCGTGCGCTGCTCTGGTTCGCCAGAAGCAGCTTAGTCATGCTGGCCACATGACCTGGAAGCTGTACGCCGGCTCCCCCAGCCAATAAAGCGAAATGAGCGCCGCAACCCCACATTCGGCTACGACTGGACCTAATGGTCAGGGGTCCCTTTACCTTTAATGCCATTCCTACAGTTTATGTGCAAGGTTTTTTTTTTAATGTTTAATATTGTATTGTGTTTTTAATATTCGGTTGAGAGCCTCCCAGAGTAGCTGGGAAACCCAGCCAGATGGGTGCGGTATTATTAATTATTATTATTATTAATAATAATGATAATAATTAGTGACAAGGGCCACATTCATACATTTAAAAGCACTAGGACCCCATTTTTAACTGCCATGGCTTTCCCCAAATAATTCTGGGAGCTATAGTTTGCTAAGGGTGTTTAGAGCTGTTAGTAGACCCCTATTCCCTGCACAAAGCTACAATTCCCAGAGTTCCCTGGGAGAAGGGATTTGCTGTTAAACTACTCTGACAATTCCAATTCTGTGAGGGAAAGAGGGGTCTCCTAAGAACTCACAGCACGCTTAACAAACCACAGCTCCCAGAATTATTTGGGGGAAGTCACAACTGCTTAAAGGGGCATCACAGCGCTCTAAAATGTATGGTGAGGTTGTGGCCAAGAACATCTTTTGGGTGTGGAATACTTCTATCGTGCAAGACTTAAAGTTGGAGTTATCTCCTTTATAAATCAAACATGCATTCAAATCAAACATTACAGTCATTCCTCGTGTTGCGTTTGCTTCATGATATGTTTCTTCGGGCTGTGTCCCGCGGTGACCCGGAAGTACTGGAAAGGTTTACTTCCGGGTTTCGCCACTCGCGCATGCACAGACGCTTAAAATGAAATCACGCGCATGCACAGAAGCGGTGAATCGCGACCTGCGCAGACGTGGGTTGCGTTCCTTTCAGGTTGTGAACGGGCCTCCGGAACGGATCCTGTTTGCAACCAGAAGTACCACTGTATTCCAAAGATGGTCTTGCTGCAACTAGGTTGCGAACTCAAGAAAGAGGAAATGGAAAAAAATGAAATGTATCGCCCCCAAAAAACAAAACAAAAAACCTTCCCTGAATTTTGTGGTGCAGAAATAAATATACTATGCAACAGACAATTATAGATTAAATTCAAGTTGGAAGTGACGCCCCGAGGGTCATCTAGTTCAACCCCATGCAATGCAGCGATGCTTGTGTGCGTGAGAGAGAATTCACAAATATAGACAGAACTGGGGCATGGTGAATTTAAGACTGAAAAAATGACAGAGAAACGGAAGTTAACACTTTTGTCCATTCCCAATTCAAGAGCAAAGCAAAGCAGAGACATCACCTTGCCAACAAAGGTCTGTATAGTTAAAGCTATGGTTTTCCCAGTATGTATGGAAGTGAGAGCTGGACCATAAAGAAGGCTGATTGCTGAAGAATTTATGCTTTTGAATTATGGTGCTGGAGGAGACTCGTGAGAGTCCCATGGACTGCAAGAAGAACAAACCTCTCCATTCTGAAGGAAATCAGCCCTAAGTGCTCACTGGAAGGACGGATCCTGAAGCTGAGGCTCCAATACTTTGGCCACCTCATGAGAAGAGAAGACTCCCTGGAAAAGACCCTGATGTTGGGAAAGATGGAGGGCACAAGGAGAAGTGGACGACAGAGGGTGAGATGGTTGGACAGTGTTCTCGAAGCTACGAACATGAGTTTGACCAATCTGTGGGAGGCAGTGGAAGACAGGAGTGCCTGGCGTGCTCTGGTCCATGGGGTCACGAAGAGTCAGACACGACTAAACGACTAAATAACAAATTCAACAGCAATGAAAAAAGCAGAACCTTAGATAATATAATAATACTGAAGGCAATGGAAACTGATACCACACTATACTAGGCAAAATGGCCATCGATAATAGCACTATAAATTAGGTCCTCCTCTTTCCTTTCCCTGCAATACTATACTTATATTTGTGCACCTCATTGCAGAGCAAAGATCTTGACAAGCTGGCAAACCTCCAGGAAAGATCAACAGAAATTGCTGAGGTAAAGAAAACAGCTATTTATAGGCAAAAATAAATTAAAAAAACACAAGTGTGTTCAATATTCATCCTGTGGCAATGCCTAGAGACCCAGCCACAGATCAGAACTTGACCATGTTAGATGTTGTCAGAAGCCCGACTGATTAGCCAAACTTAATTTCTCCCCAAGTTGCTCCTCAAACTCAGATACAATAAGACAAATATCTAGAAAAGTGAAGAAGTGTGCAATAGATATACACAAGTTACCTAACCAAACAGGAACAGCCAGGGGGGCATAGAAGTTAGAATATCAGACTAACAAGAGAGGTTCAAATCCCCACTCCGCCACAAAGTTCACTGGGTGATCTTGCTAGTTTTATACCTAAACCTATACAGCAGGGCTGTTGTGAGTATCCATGGGGTGGGAGGAGCCGATCACCTTGAATTCCTCGGAGGAAGAGCAGGACAAAAATATAAATAAATATATACAACCTTGGGCTATCCTATCCCCAATCATTAAGTGCATTTACTTATTTACTTCAAAGGGGGGAAGGGGTTGGTTATAGTCAGTATTAATTCTTCCGTTTTGAAAAATTACATAGACCACATGATTTTGTTAATTCCGTTTCAGCATGGCTGCTGCTGGTGATTAATGAACCCCATTTGGATCTCAGTCTAGATGATGTTGCAGCTTTTTACAGTTGTTGAGATGGAGAAGAAAGAAGAGAAACAAGTGCCGTATTTTTCGCTCTATAAGATGCACCAGACCAAAAGACGCACCTAGTTTTTGGAGGAGGAAAACAAGAAAAAAAATATTCTGAATCTCAGAAGCCAGAACAGCAAGAGGGATCACTGCGCAGCGAAAGCAGCAATCCCTCTTGCTGTTCTGGCTTCTGGGATAGCTGTGCAGCCTGCATTCGCTCCATAAGACGCACACACATTCCCCCTTACTTTTTAGGAGGGAAAAAGTGAGTCTTATAGAGCAAAAAATATGGTACTTTATTTGAGGCTGCATCTTTCCATTTCTCATCCCCACTCATTTCATCCTGTTCCCAGAGTTCACTTATTATTATTATTATTATTATTATTATTATTATTATTAATTAACTCCTACTATTCAGACAATACATTGGGCCAATGTACACATTTTTAATAGTTAAGCATAACAAGGACAGAAACCCTGCTACAAGGGACTTGCGAGAGAGGAAGAGCCATCACAGAAAAGGAGGCAAAAGAAGGAAAAACAAACAATTACCAATGTGACAATTATATGTACTTAGGTGTAAGTTATGCCATTATCTGCGGCCCACAGACAATGGGAGCTTTTCAGCCTGGGCTTTGTGCCCGTCACAGTTACCGGTCTTTAAAAAGCAACGGGTTAGTCCTTTTTCACCAAAACCTCACTTTTATAGTGGGGAAGGAGAGCTGAAAAAAATCCACACCTGTTAACCACCCCTATGGCTTCAGAAGGTACATAAGCAGAAGAGTCTAAAAAGAATGGGACACAAGCTGACCAAACTTTTGATATATATTTTGCTCTAGCAGGTTTAGTTTGGTCAGAACTGAGTATACACCTTCAGGTAAAGGGACCCCTGACCATTAGGTCCAGTCGTGGCCGAGTCTGGGGTTGAGGCGCTCATCTCGCTTTATTGGCCAAGGGATCCGGCGTGCAGCTTCCGGGTCATGTGGCCAGCATGACTAAGCCGCTTCTGGTGAACCAGAGCAGCACACAGAAACACCGTTTACCTTCCTGCTGGAGCGGTACCTATTTATCTACTTGCACTTTTGTGCTTTCGAACTGCTAGGTGGGCAGGAGCAGGGACCGAGCAATGGGAGCTCATCCCATCGCAGGGATTCGAACCACCGACCTTCTGATCGGCAAGTCCTAGGCTCTGTGGTTTAACCCACAGCGCCACCCGCGTCCCATACACTAAATACATTACTTTTGGTGAATGAGCCGCCTTAGCCAGTAGAGGACTGTGAAAATTTGTGTCCCCGGTTTTTCAGACTCGTCTACCCAGGTACCATCTGAAGCCAAAGGGGTGCATTGGTTGCCAGGTATAAAATATACAGTGGTACCTCAGGTTACATATGCTTCAGGTTACATACGCTTCTGGTTACAGACTCCGCTAACCCAGAAATAGTGCTTCAGGTTAAGAACTTTGCTTCAGGATGAGAACAGAAATCGTGCTCCGGCGGCGCGGCGGCAGCAGAAAGTCCCATTAGCTAAAGTGGTACCTCAGGTTAAGAACAGTTTCAGGTTAAGAACGGACCTCTGGAACGAATTAAGTACTTAACCCGAGGCACCACTGTATTGGTTTTCTACACACACACACACACACACACACACACACACACCACTATTAGTGTTCCTGCTATAAGCAAACAAGTTTCAAGTCCTCCTTTTAAGGACAGATTAGCAGTGGACAAGAGGGTCTTTTCACAAAGACCCGGTGCAACATAGTAGGAAAAACCCCAATCCCTAATAGCCAAGAGGACTAACCAGCATTTTTTTAAATCTCGTGCCAAGGAACGCTTTAGAATACTCCAGTGAAGGAGTACCAGCACCACTAACCTGCGGTATTCCGCTAATAACACCCCCCCCCAGCTGATCTTGAAATCAGAGTTTCAGGTTCATCAATGCAATAGATTCCACCCAGTCTGTTTAATGCTCAGAAATCCAATCATTGCCCTTTTAACAAGACAAATGTTGCCATAGATGTTTTCATACTATGAAGAGATATAGCATGAACCAACATTCGAGTTTTCCAATCCCTGATGAACTACCAAAACGTTCGGAAACCAAACTGCAGCTTCTGATTGGCTGCAGGAACTTCCTGCAACCAATCAGAAGTTGCAGAAGCCCCATCAGACATTCGGGTTCCAAAGAACGTTTGCAAACCGGAACACTCACTTCCGGTTTGCGACTTTCAGGAGCAAAAACATCCGAGTACCAAGGCGTTTCGGATCCAAGGTACGACTTTATTTACCACTCTTGCTAAATATTCTGATGCTTGTCAGGATAGGCGCGTTTCAAAGCTCTCCTGCTATGCACCATCACGTTTTTAAAAGGTCACATTCTTAGGGCACCATCCTGAGCTCAGAAATGCATTCTTCACGACAGGAGCACTTATCTCAGCCAGTTTGGGCCAACTTCACGAAACTCTTATACACAAAAAGAGCCTTCCTTGTCTTCTTGAGCATGGGATACTTATGCAAGAATCCCAGCCATCTTTAATAAAAGCAGAACACCCATATTTACACAGATTTCAAAGTGAAAGACTGAGAAACTAACCGGGTATTAAAGAGCGGTTTTACAATGGTCTGGTTCAAAACTGAAGGCGGTGGATTCATGTTTTATTATCTTCTTTGGAAAAAAGCAGCGTTGCCTGCGTAACTAGGCAGATTTATGGCCTGGATGCATTCAAGAGAGAATATAGATTAGCCGGCAAAGTTCTGAGTAAACGATCTTGCAAATCAAGGTGGAGGTCAGCGAAAGAGGAACTTGTTCTGTGTCACCTTGAAGTTATGTAAAGATAATTTCTATGTCTGAGGCCGCTGGTAGCTTTCCAAGATTATTCCGTTCATGGACTTTATAGCTGGTGGGCAGGCAGTGTTCATCAATTCTCAGTTTTAAGGTTCCCCAGCTCAAGGCAGCCAACTCAGGCAGCATAAACCCAAGAGATGGTGCCCCCCCCATGGGTGCTCCTCCCACCAGATATGGGAGGCAGTGGCAGCGGAAGGGCAGCACCCCTCGATTTAAGAAATAAAAAACTGCCTGGAATCTCTCCAAATGTAACCAAGGCAAAGCCAAAACTGATTTAAGTTACTTTTTTTTAAATTCATCTTTATTGATTTAAAATATCATCTTACATGTATATTACAGACAGTTACATAAAAATTAAACACAAAAATATAATAGGAAAAAGATAAAGAAAATAAAAATAAAAAGCAATAAAGAGTTAACAGTAAGAAATGAATATTGGTTATAACATCCTATCTTTTCTAATAAAGTCTTCTGAAAGAAACTTCCGATCGTTCTCATTGTACTTTTTCTATTGTCTTAATTTTATCGCACAGTTTGTTTTATAACTTTTCCTGTATATTCATCTAGTATATTTATTCCATTTGTTTATTATACAGTGGTACCTCGGGTTAAGTACTTAATTCATTCCGGAGGTCCATTCTTAACCTGAAACTGCTCTTAACCTGAAGCACCACTTTAGCTAATGGGGCCTCCCGCTGCCGCCGCGCCGCCGGAGCACAATTTCTGTTCTCATCCTGAAGCAAAGTTCTTAACCTGAAGCACTATTTCTGGGTTAGCGGTGTCTGTAATCTGAAGCGTATGTAACCTGAAGCGTATGTAACCTGAGGTACCACTGTATACAAGTATAATTCAGTTCTGCTAGGATAATATATTCTTTGAATAGTCTCCATTCTCTGAATCTTTTTTGATTTGGGGCTCCTGTGACTTTTCCGGTCAGCTTCGCTAATTGAAAGTACTCTAGCATGAGTGATTGCCAATCTATTATTGTAGGTGTTGTTTCACATTTCCAACTTCTGGCTCTCAGTATTCTTGCAGCCGTAATTGAATACATAAGCAATGATTTAAGTTACTGGTGGTTTTAATAAAAGCCTAAGAAGGCCAGCTACAGCAAATGTGCAAAAGTGCCTCATAACGTCACATGCCGGCAAGCGATAGGAAGACATGGGCTTGGACTCCCTGATCTTCACTATTAGCCTCTTCCTTGTCAAGATAATGTCTTTGAAGGCCACTAAGGAGAAGCTGAAGGTTACTGTGTTGACAGTCCTCCACCACCTTCCCTGCCATGCACAATTTGCAAAGAAAAAGTAAAGTGTGTTGTAACTTCGAGACTCCTCCTGCCCTCAGTTGACACAAGGGCTCCGAGGTACAAATTCAGAAGGGAGCATTGGCATTCTACATCCAGGTCCAGTTAGTAGGCATCCTTACTTTTCCCAGATCCATTTTATATCTATTTATGTAAAGTAAGAGGTAGGAGGGAAACAGAAGCAGCTCATGTCTTTCCAATACCGTCTTACACCTTAGCTGCTGAAAAGCCACTTGCCATGCGAGAGCAGCTGAAAAATCAATGGCACATGGTCACTGTGCCATGCCTCTATATGCAAGTGAACATGTAATGCTGGGGACTTGTGCAAATGCCCCTTAAAAATGCTGATATACAGAGTTTTGGGGTGACCATCATATGCTCAGGTGATGTGTAAATTGAGTCTCAAATAAAGAAGCCACAATCAAGGCTTTCTTTAAAGAACCAAGGTGCCTACATATCCTTCTCAACCCACACCTTACAAACACACACAAACACACATACACACCAAAAACAATTAAATTATCAGTTGGCTTTCAAGTGTCTGTTCTTCCAAGTCACAATGTATTGCACCCGTATCTTGCTCTCTCCTCCCCATCTCTCTCTCTCTCTCTCTCTCATATTATATATGATAAGATAAAGGTAAACGGACCCCAACCATTAGGTCCAGTCGTGGATGACTCTGGGGTTGCGGCGCTCATCTTGCTTTATTGGCCGAGGGAGCCGGCGTACAGCTTCCGGGTCATGTGGCCAGCATGACTAAGCTGCTTCTGGCGAACCAGAGCAATATGATAAGATAGTAAGCATTTTATTTTGCTTGCGTTCAAACAACAGAACAAAACCTAAAACATCAAGATTATCTGCAAACAGGAACATCTAGCAGCAACAAATATTTTAGCAAGGAGGCCTGAAACATCATATCTACCATCACAGAGTCAACACAGTAGTCACAAAGCTGTCTCTGATAAGTAGGGAATTATGGATGAGAAATATTTCTATTCTGACTATTAACTGGCATGGCCCAACTCCCTGTAAAAAGCAACATTTACTATGGCACCTTAGAGACTAACAGCCTGATCCTTTGTGCATTTCCTTGCACACCTCGTTGAATTCAAGGATACCCGGGTCCCACCTGCACCATGCAGGTAAAGGATGTTAGTCTTATGCCCCTTTAGCAGTCATTGCTTCCTCCAAAGAACCATGGAATCCATAGTTTGTAAGGGATTCGGAAAGTCGTTAGAACATTAATAAACTACAGTTCCCTGCAGTGTTTGAAACCCCCATTGTTCTAGGCGCATTTTGCAGTGGGGAATTTGGGCCTCATCAATAGGAGTATAGCATCTAGATCAAGGGAAGTAATAGTGCCACTGTATTCTGCTCTGGTCAGACCTCACCTGGAGTACTGTGTCCAGTTCTGGGCACCACAGTTCAAGAAGGACACTGACAAACTGGAACGTGTCCAGAGGAGGGCAACCACAATGGTCAAAGGCCTGGAAACGATGCCTTATGAGGAACGGCTAAGGGAGCTGGGCATGTTTAGCCTGGAGAAGAGGAGGTTAAGGGGTGATATGATAGCCATGTTCAAATATATAAAAGGATGTCACATAGAGGAGGGAGAAAGGTTGTTTTCTGCTGCTCCAGAGAAGCGGACACGGAGCAATGGATCCAAACTACAAGAAAGAAGATTCCACCTAAACATTAGGAAGAATTTCCTGACAGTAAGAGCTGTTCGACAGTGGGATTTGCTGCCAAGGAGTGTGGTGGAGTCTCCTTCTTTGGAGGTCTTTAAGCAGAGGCTTGACAACCATATGTCAGGAGTGCTCTGATGGTGTTTCCTGCTTGGCAGGGGGTTGGACTCGATGGCCCTTGTGGTCTCTTCCAACTCTATGATTCTATGATTCTATGAATTTTATGAGCGCGAGCAGCTTCTGAGCTCTGGGTGCAGTACTGTACCTAAGATTTCAGTTTAAAACTGCAGAATGGAAGGAAAGGAAGACCCTTTTCTGCCTCCCCACTTCCAGTTACTCTCTGAAGACTAGATAAGAGACCCTTTTAAGAATATTAGGGGGGTGGGCAGGGGAAGGACTAGGTAAAGGTAAAGGGACTCCTGACCATTAGGTCCAGTCGTGACAGACTCTGGGGCTGCGGCGCTCATCTCACTTTATTGGCCAAGGGAGCCGGCGTACAGCTTCCAGGTCATGTGGCCAGCATGACTAAGCCGCTTCTGGCGAACCAGAGCAGCGCACGGAAACGCCGTTTACCTTCCCGCTGGAGCAGTACCTATTTATCTACTTGCACTTTGATGTGCTTTCAAACTGCTAGGTGGGCAGGAGCAGGGACCAAGCAATGGGAGCTCACCCCGTCGAGGGGATTCGAACCGCCGACCTTCTGATCGGCAAGCCCTAGGCTCTGTGGTTTAACCCACAGTGCCACCCGCGTCCCTTTTAGGGGCAGGACTAGACCATATGAAAAATGAACATAATATTTTAGCTGCAGTTCATTCATTTTCAGCTTTGTATTCTTTGTTATATAAAAAAAGTGCGCCGAGACATTATGTTGTTGCGCCCATAACCTCTGTTTAAGGTGCCATTTAGCTCCTAGCTTTCATATCTCAGTTTCTAACACTGGTTCCCTGGGTTCTTGGGGGGAATACATGACTGTTAAAAGTGGTATAAGAGTGCTTTAAACATACAGGGCTGGATTCAACCAACCCGGGGTGCTAGGAGAAACCAGCAGACGGACTCCCGCTAGGCTAAGGCAACAGGGCTTTCCCGCTACTCTCCTCCCCCAGCACATCCTTTGCGCCTTTCCCAAATCTGCTCTGGAGGAGATTTTGGCAAAGATGTGTAACTTGCTGTTGAAATGGAATACTCAGGATGAAACGGTGAAATCTGCTATGATTAAATGGGCACAAGATGTTGGACATAACATTATGTTCGCTGACTGGGAACAGTTATGGACCACAGGTATGAAGTTTACGGCATGTAATGCCCTAAGAGAGAATATTATGAAAATGATATACAGGTGGTACATGACCCCAGTCAAGCTTGCAAAAATTTATCATTTGCCCGATAATAAATGTTGGAAATGTAAAGAAACTGAAGGTACATTCTTTCACCTTTGGTGGACGTGCCCAAGGATTAAGGCTTTCTGGGAAATGATATATAATGAACTGAAAAAGGTATTTAAATATACCTTCTTGAAGAAACCAGAGGCGTTTCTCCTAGGCATAGTCGGTCAATTGGTGCTAAAGAAGGATAGAACCTTTTTTATGTATGCCACAACAGCAGCAAGAATACTCATTGCAAAGTATTGGAAGACACAAGATTTACCCACTCTGGAAGAATGGCAGATGAAGCTGATGGACTATATGGAACTGGCAGAAATGACTGGCAGAATCCGAGACCAGGGAGAAGAGTCGGTGGAAGAAGATTGGAAGAAGTTCAAAGATTATCTACAGAAATATTGTAAAATTAATGAATGTTAGAACGATGTTGGATAGAAATTAAGTGGTTTCTAGCTGTAATGCTTTAAGGGAATATGAAAAATGGGTTGTTAAGAGGTAAAAATCTAACGTTATTATTTTAAGACCAAAGATTAGGATAAATAAAGAGGGTAAGGATTTGCTGAACCAACAAACTGAACTGGAATACAAAAAAGGGAGGTATGAGGAGGTCCGGGAAACAAGCTAAGGAAAAATAAGCAATGGAAAATTTGAGTGTTTTTAATTATTTTTATTTTGTACTTTTTTTTTCTTTTTAATTTTTTATTGTAATATTTAAAAAAAATCCTAATAAATATCTTATAAAAAAACAAAAAACAAATCTGCTCTGGAGGCTCAAGAGAACCCCCAACGAGGGGTGGGGAAAGGGGAGATTGTTCCATCAGGAAAGCAGAAGGTTGCACTGGTGCGATGCTGAATTGGCGTGGATGTGGCCTTCCTTTCAAACAAGCATACATCAACCACAGATCACACCTATAAACAGTCCTTTTGGTGACCACCTGTGAGAATAAAGACAAGCTGTCGACCAGGCAAGATTTGCACACCTACGCACACAAAATTACCAACTGCTTTTTCCATTTTAGTTGACAATGACAAACGAGCAAGCCAACCAAAATGTCTCCATGGTTAATCTAATGGGGGGGGGCAGACAATCATGTGAACATCCCAGAAACCTCATGTCAGGGGTTGGCAACCTAAGGTCCATGGGCAAAAGCAGCCCACTGAGGCCGTTTAACCAGTCCACGAACCACCCCTGAACCGAGTTGCCCACTTGGCGAGTCCCCGTGCGCTGCGCTAAACCGGTACAGCCGGGACTCTCCAGAAATCGCTTCTGCACATGCCCAGACGCCGGAAATCGCTTCTGCACAGGCGAGATTTTCGGGGTCTGGGCATGCGCGGAAGCGATTTCCGGCGCTGCGGACATGCGCAAACTCAATTTCCAGCGTCGCACTGCGGCGGTCCAGCCTACAGAGGATCTCTGTGGGAGTGATCCGGCCCATGCCTGGTAAGCCTTGCCAACCGCTGCCTTATGTTCTCCAGTAAGCAGAGCCCAGTGAATATCAGACATCCAGTCTCCCACCCTTGTACAGCGAGAGCAGCCACTGCCGCCAGCCCCTGGAGACTTGACGTCTTTCCGTTTCCTCATTCTCGTCACACAACATGGAGACTCCGGCAGAAGAGGCTGGAACAGAGCCTTGAACCCACTCCCGGCTGTCTTTCAGAGCCCTAGCAAGGACACTGGAGTGGAACAGCCTTGCCCAGATAGTAATCCTGAAAGAAACAGTAATAACGCACGAGTCTGCAAGTGCACACAGCATCCATAATTATTTAATGTTCAAATGCAGCGTTTTTTTAAAAAAAAGGACCAAAAAAGCCTGACGGCAGGTTTTCATTGCCATTCCAATCTGCTCAGTAACGTGCAAAATTTGTCCTAGGTGGCACTAGTCCAGGCTTCCATTAGACAGTTACCACCACTTTTCTAGCAGCTATATGTCAAAGACAAAACAATATTTGAAAGATGCTGGGGGGTTTTTTTTGCATCAAATGCTCCTTTGCACTCTCCCCTTCTTGCTTCTCTGTGCCAACGAGTTCGATTTAGCAGCTCTTAGCGACTGGAATCTTTTCAGGGCAATGTAAATTTTCCAGAGCAACTCCGAGATTAAATGGCTACACACACACACACACACACACAGAGAGAGAGAGAGAGAGAGAGAGAGAGAGAGAGACAGCACAAAAGACACATGACTAGCCGTGAGCCTTTTGAGGAAAAAGCTGGTTTTGAAACAAGGCAAGAAAATAGCCACAGTGGTTGCCATGGTTAGGACTAGCAGATATTCCCTAAATCCAATCCACACCTCATTGAAGTCAATGACTAAACTCTCATTGATTTTAATGGCTCTGAACTGGACGTCATGTTTGCAAAATTTGCCCCTGGTTGCAGTTTCCATGCCGAAACTGCCGAAAAAGTACCGGTATCTCGACTTCAGTGAGACCACACACATAGGCAGACCTCATAGTGCAGGGGTCAGCAAACATTTTCAGCAGCAGGCGGTTCCACTGTCCCTCAAACCTTGTGGGGGGCCAGACTATATTGGGCGGGGGGAATGAACAAATTCCTATGCCCCACAAATAACCCAGAGATGCATTTTAAATAAAAGCACACCTTCTACTCATGTAAAAACACGCCGATTCCCAGATCGTCCGTGGGCAAGATTTAGAAGGTGATTGGGCCGGATCTGGCCCCCGGGCCTTAGTTTGCCTACCCATGCCATAGTGCAACCATCCGCAATATATTGGACCTATAGAAGCACATCTAATGAACTAAAACATTCAAGATTTGCTTGACAATTATGTTATACTCAAAAAAACCAAACCACACAAATGAAACCCTTTTTAAAAACTACACGTAAGAACAACTTGTGGGGGTAACTCTGATTGCAACATTATCTCTCAGGTCTTGCAGTCCTTTTAATGTTTATTAAAAAAAACACCTTTTGAAATCTTACTAGGAATTACGATTCAAAGCCCTGTCTGAATGAAGATCTTGGATTTGTGGGTCTTTAGGAGAGCACATCATGTCTGCAGAGTGTGGGGGGGTTTAGAGTGCCAGAGATTCTGCACTTTGGGAATTTCCTTTCCTTTCAAAAATATTTTATGTAAGACAAAAACAAACTCCTACATTCCTCAGGTATTGCGGGGAATGCTTTAAAAAAAAGGTTAGCAAACGTTTCAAAATTCACATCATGGAGGTTTTTCCACTTTTGTTTCTTTTTCTCTGGAATAATTAAGGATGTCCTTGAGTCACAGATTTTAAAGAGCAGAGCTGATAAAATGGAATGTTTAAGGATCCTAGTGCTCCCCCCCCCCCGTAAGCTGCCCGTCTACAAAGAGTCACAAAGCCCATCGTTTGTTTCTTGAGTTAAAGAAAGATTTGCGACACACAAAAGCAAAATACAAGTCAACAGAAGCACCACAGTTAGCTCAGCTAACAGTAAAGAAGCATGAGAAAACAGAACCACAACCAAGTTCATCATGGGCTGAAAACACCTGAGAAATAAAATGGGGTTTGCTTCATACCAACAAGGTAGAAAAGTGGGTATAGCCAGGGCACCACCACCGAGAAGGCCTTCACTTCCAGTTCCAGATGGCACCCAGAATACGGCCATCCAAGAAGCCGAGCTGGTAAGCAATCCTTCAGGCAGCCCGCGTCCAATGTATTGAAAAGCAAAGCACAGGGCCAGCCCACACCTGAGACAAGGTGAGGCAGCCACCTTGGGCTGGGGAAGCCCTAGAGGAGGAGGCGCACCACCTCTGCCACCGGCACAGCGCACAAGATCTCACACGAATTTGGCAAGTTCTCGTACGATTTTGCCAGAACCTATGGTCACTGCCTTGTTTATGGTCCAGCTGGACCATAATGAGCTGGACCATAATGAGCTGGACCATAAAGAAGGCTGATCGCCGAAGAATTGATGCTTTTGAATTATGGTGCTGGAGGAGACTCTTGAGAGTCCCATGGACTGCAAGAAGATCAAACCTCTCCATTCTGAAGGAAAACAGCACTGAGTGCTCACTGGAAGGACAGATCCTGAAGCTGTGGCTCCAATACTTTGGCCACCGCATGAGAAGAGAAGACTCCCTGGAAAAGACCCTGATGTTGGGAAAGATGGAGGGCACAAGGAGAAGGGGACGACAGAGGATGAGATGATTGGATAGTGTTCTCGAAGCTACCAGCATGAGTTTGACCAAACTGCGGGAGGCAGCGGAAGACAGGAGTGCCTGGCGTGCTCTGGTCCATGGGGTCACAAAGAGTCGGACACGACTAAACGACAACAATGGTTACTTCCACAGCTTTGCGGGTGCTGCAGCGCAACCCAGTGACCAGGTGGGACCCGTGGGCATCTCCAAGCCATGAGCTTGATCCTACAGACACAGCTGCACCAAGAGCACGTTAGCAAGCTCATCCTACTATCAAGTGTTTCACCAGCTCTCGCTGTCATCCGGTGAAGGCCGAAGTTCCAAACTAAGGGACAGCTCCTTATGCAGGCAGAAAACCTTCAACATGTCCAATGTTGCTAGTTTTCCTACCACCCAAAGAAGCTGTACAGTCGTGCCTTGGATCCCAAACGCCTTGTGTCTCGAACGTTTTGTCTCCCAAATGCCACAAACCCGGAAGTGAGTGTTCCGGTTTGCAAATGTTCTTTGGAAGCCGAATGTCCAACGCAGCTTCCGATTGCCTGCAGGAAGCTCCTGCAGCCAATCAGAAGCCGCGCCTTGGCTGTCAAATGTTTTAAGAAGTCTGAATCCATTCAACAACCAAGATACGACTGTGCTTCGTTATCATTTTGTGCCCAGTAGGCGCAGCGCATTCTACAGTTGAAGAAACATTTGCAACTTGAGTCTAAGACTTCTCATACCATTTGTTCTGAGGAGGGGTTCAGTCTGACACCGGCTTTTAATGGGCAGCTGTAGCCTTGGAATGAGACTGCCTTTTCCCATCCTCTTTTCTAATACAGCGGTACCTCAAGTTACATACGTTTCAGGTTGCAGACTCCACTAACCCAGAAATAGTACCTTGGGTTAAGAACTTTGCTTCAAGATGAGAACAGAAATCGTGCTCCGGTGGCACAGCAGAAGCAGGAGGCCCCATTAGCTAAAGTGGTGCTTCAGGTTAAGAACGGACCTCCAGAACGAATTAAGTTCTTAACCCGAGGTACCACTGTACTAGTTAGCTCCCAGACTTCTGGGATTTGACATGGGGGGAAGCTTCCAGACGAGAAGGAGAGCTTGGGGTCTCAGGCCTCCAGATTTAGAAGCAACCTGTTTCTCCTACAACACGAATCTTCATCTGGTTTCATGGAGTGACCTGCACCTTCGCTTGGCCATAGGGAACACAACTGGCAGTGGCACAGCACAAAACACAGCCCAAAAAACTCAGAAGGTAACAAAAGGTTTGAGTAAGCCAGGGATTTCCTGCTGCCTCTGCAGGGATGCATTATGTGTCGGAGCAACACTAGAACTCATGCACACCCAACCAAGCTGAATGTTGGAAAATTCAGGAGGGATAAAAGAAAGTCCTCCTTCACGCAGGACAGCAGAGTCAAACTATGGAACTCGTTCCCTGTGGAAGCAGTGGTGGACACCAACTTGGATGGCTTTAGAAGAGGATCAGATAGATTCATGGTGGAGGAGAGGGTGATCAACAGTGTTAGAAGCTGTCCAATGGTGCCAAATAGTATGGGAAACAGCCCTACTAGAAAAAAATACTGTATTTTTTGCTCCATAAGACGCACTTTCTTCTTCCTAAAAAGTAAGGGGAAATGTCTGTGTGTCTTATGGAGTGAATGCGTGGTCCCTGGTGCCAAATTGCCCAGGGGCGAAAAGCAGATCATGCTTTTTTTAAAAAAGAGGGAAGGGGGTGTTGAAACAAAGCCGCTGATTGGCAAGTGATCGGGAGATAAGGCTGCTGGTAAAGGAGGCTGCCGGGGGAGGTAAAGACAGCGAACTTGCAAGGAGAGGAGACAGGAATACTAAAACAAGCAATGAGGGGAGAAATTAGAAGAAAAGGAGGAACAAAAAACTGCTCCAGCTAAGGAAAGACGCTAAGGCAAACAAGAGGGAAGGGAGTGTTGAAAGGAAGCAGCTGATCAGCAAGCAATTGGGAGAGAGATAAGGGACACGATAAAGGAGGCTGCCTGGGAGCGGGGAGATAAAAGCACATGGATCCTCAGCATTTTTGCATTGGGTCACCCCAAATTCACCATCAGATCACATAGCATGTCCATGGCTACAGCCTGCACCAAAAAAATCACGCACCCACTGTTTCCTGGGGCTGCAATGGTGCAAAAATGTGGTTACAAAGAATGGATCCACATGGATCCTCAGGATTTTTGCATTGGGCTACCCCAAATTCACTGTCAGATCACATGTCTGTGGCCACAGCATGAACCACAAAAATCATACATCCACTGTTCAGAATATTTTTTTTCTTGTTTTCCTCCTCTAAAAACTAGTTGCGTCTTATGGTCAGGTGCGTCCTATGGGGCGAAAAATACGGTAAGCAATAAACTGAAACTGACACGGGGACAAATAGAAGAAGATGTCTTCACCCCGGTATGGCTCCCCTTTATCACATACACATCCCAGCAAGACAGTGACAAAAATCCATCAACAGCATACAAATCAATATGGCTAACCTGATCCAAAACACCCACCCACCCCACTCACACATGAAAACAAAGATCACCACAGCCAATCACAAACAAACAACTGCACCCTAGGCCAACCCCAACCTCTCTCACCACCAAAGGAACACAAGTGAACAGCAGAGAACCTGCACGAGCAACGCCGACACCAAACCTTACCTATATTAAGTATAACAGAAACATCGTCACCCGACCCCCCATCTCCCCCCCTTCCCCTTCTTCTTCCTAATGTCTCAACAATTGAAACTGATCTGTAAAAAATGTTACTTGGAGGGGGGGGAGAGAGAGAGAGAGAGACATTGCACACACTTTTGTAAACGAAGAAAATCTTTAATAAAAATACAATAATAATATAAAAAACAGTGTTAGAAACTGGGATAGAAAAGCCGAATGATTTCTGGGACCTGGGTTGAGGGCGCCAAAACAGAATGCCTAGTCGCCACAGGGGTGTGGGGGTGTCAGCAACAATTTTTTATTTTCCTTTGATGAATTAATACGCAATTCACACAAGTGAGACATTGTTAATATCACATTTTTAGCAGAAATTGTGAATACATGCTTAATTTGTTGTTTACAATAAAAATACTGGTACCATACTTTCAAAACCATACTTTCTACTCTTTATTGTTAAACTCCTTAACGTATTGTTTATCCTTAAAAATATACTTCGAGGCTTCAAAGCACACACATTTCAGTAATCCTTGAGTGTCAGCCAGGTGCAAAAAATGGCACCCAGACTTTAAGAGGTGCTCGCGAATGGAGAATCTTTAGGCGCAAAGCGCACCTGGCACCCTGCTAATTTTGAAGGCTGGCTATCAACGTTCACTAGCTGCAATGGCTACGCTCTACCTTCCACAGCTGGAGGCAACAACGCTGCTGAGTACCAGTTGCTGGAAACCACAGGCGAGGAGAGGGCGCTTGTCCTCAGGTTCTGGTCGCTGGTTTCGCACAGACATCTGTTCAGCCACTGTGAGGACAGGATGCTGGAGTTGAAGGGCTAATCCAGCAGACTGTTCTTATGTTCTTATCTGTGAAGGTGTTACTTTGTGTTTTGAGCCTTATTATAAAGCTAAAGGTAAAGGGACCCCTGACCATTAGGTCCAGTTGTGAACGACTCTGGGGTTGCGGTGCTCATCTCGCTTTATTGGCCGAGGGAGCCAGCGTACAGCTTCCGGGTCATGTGGCCAGCATGACTAAGCCGCTTCTGGCGAACCAGAGCAGCGCACGGAAACGCCGTTTACCTTCCTGCCAGAGCGGTACCTATTTATCTACTTGCACTTTGACGTGCTTTCGAACTGCTAGGTTGGCAGGAGCAGGGACCGAGCAACGGGAGCTCACCCAATTGTGGGGATTCGAACTGCCGACCTTCTGATCGGCAAGTCCTAGGCTCAGTGGTTTAACCCACAGCGCCACCCGCGTCCCTGAGCCTTATTATACCTGTGTTCAAAACTAGCCAGGTGCCAGGCATCTCCACCCTCTAGAGGTGCATGCCTGGGGATCACTGGATCTTGACTGTTTTCACATGCTAGCAACACATCCTGCAGAATTCTATCAGATATATTTCATCTGCACAATCCGAATGAATTTCAGGAACCCCAATGCTTTTTCTGTGCAGCCTGATCAGAAGCAGTGAACAAAGTTATAATCGACTGTCTTCAAGTTACCCCATCCCACTGTCCTGCCCACAGTTGCTGAGAATATCCCTACATTAGGAATGTTTCATGTCACCATTAAGAAAAAGAGGTCGGAATGGGCCAATATATATGTGGACCGTCCCCGGATCAAGTGACTTTTCTTCTTTAAGTTCTCAAAGTTCTTAACCTAGCTCAAGGTTGTCATGCGAACTATCCAGATGCTGAACTGATAATCAATCACAGCCTGTCCGTCATTTGAAAAACAAGGCTTTAGAGCCGCCTGGCCACAAAACGACAACTAGACATTCCGTTTTTGTGACTGTAACCTTGGTAACCCTTTGGTGCCTGGTTTATATATCCGAGTTTCAAATACTGATTACACTATGTGGGAATGAAGACACGTCACGTCCTAGAACCCTGGAGAATCCACAGCCCAGTGGAAACTGTGGATTGTGAAGACAGAGCAAGAATCCCATGCCAATCACTTACACATCCCTGCAATCTGTTCTGTACTGCTTGGGAAGATAAGGGACTGAGCACGAGGACTTGCCAATGCAGGCAAACTTGCTTCTGCCATCGCCACCAGCCCTAGGAATTGGCATGCATTTAACCGCTTGCTATACCTCATTAACCACCTTGGCCCAACGCCCCTCCATTTCTGCCACTTTTAGCTACTGAGGTTAAATCAATTCCACCTACTTGTTTACACTCAGCAAACGCAAACCAAGCAGTCATGTACAATTTGCGAGGCAGAGAAGGAGCAAGACAGGAGAAGATCCCACCACCTCCATCTGAGAGATCCTCTCCCACTCCAGGTAAAAGCCTTTTTTTGCAATGCCTGCAGTTTGCAGTGGGAGCTGTCCCACAAGTTCAGGAAAGGCAAGCCCAGAAAGGTGGCATGGGGAACATAATCACGATGAACAAGAAAAGCAGTCCCTGCCTATGCTGTAGTCATAATTAAACGTATTTAAAATGTGACACTCAGGTAAAGCGAACGGCACAAAATGTGCTATAACTGTACAATAATTCCCACATTCTGCCACAGCTCAGAATTATTGCTCTGGAGGAAAAAAGGGAGGAATCACACTTTCAACAGTGACAAAAAACGTTGAGGTTTGAATACAGGAAGAACGTGATTTTCTAGCGGCAGAAACTTTGCCTCAAGGGAAGATGCATGAAATCCTGACAAAAGCTGAACAACAAAGAAATCCCTGTATGCCTGGAAACACCAATATAGGATGTTTTGCTAGAGGCCATGCTGACATTTGTTGTGCAAGTCCAATATCCTACCCGTTGAATTTTTTTATTTAAGTTAAAACACATTAGCTCATCATTCTTATTAAAAAACCAGGAACAAAGAAACATAACAAACAGGGAATATATGGCAGGTTTTTTTGCATTTCAAATTAATCAGGAGTATTATCATAATCAAATGGATAACCCACCCTTCACCAGCAAGCCCCAGAGCAGGGTACAAATTAAAGGTCAGAAATTAAAAGCAATTAACACAAATCACAGTCTGGGGGAATAGGGTGGGCCCCAGGTGTGCCTGAGCAGACTCACCTGGGTGGCAACTTTGTAAGTACAGCACCAACACTGAGGAGGCTCTGTCCTGAGCACGACACCACAGACTTAGTGTTTTTCATAGAACTCCCAATATCCATTGACCAGAGCAAGATGCAAAATATTGCCTGCACCCCCTGAAGAGTGTTCAAAATTAGCCAGGTGGCCAGGCACATTTTGCACCTGACTATGAGCCACTTGAACTATGGTGCTGGAGGAGACTCTTGAGAGTCCCATGGACTGCAAGAAGATCAAACCTCTCCATTCTGAAGGAAATCAGCCCTGAGTGCTCACTGGAAGGACAGATCCTGAAGATGAGACTCCAATACTTTGGCCACCTCATGAGAAGAGAAGACTCCCTGGAAAAGACCTTGATGTTGGGAAAGGAGAAGGGGACGACAGAGGACGAGATGGTTGGATAGTGTTCTCGAAGCTACCAGCATGAGTTTGACCAAACTGCGGGAGGCAGTGGAAGACAGGAGTGCCTGGCGTGCTCTGGACCATGGGGTCACGAAGAGTCGGACATGGCTAAATGACTAAACAACAACAACAAGCCACTTGCAACCAAGAGAAGATGCCTGGGCGCCAGGAAGGTGCCTGACGTCTCCACCATCTGAAGCGGCGTGCCTGGGGATCATTGGATCTAGACTGTTTTCACACACCAATACCACATCCTGTAGAATTCAATCAATTATATATAATCTGCACAATCAGAACGAATTTCAGAAACCAAAATGCTTTTTCTGTGCAGCCTGAGCAGGAGCAGTGAACAACGTTAATGGTCAATTGTTGGAGCTTGCCATCACTTTGCCCACCCCACTGCCCTGCCCACAGTTGTGAAGGATATCCCTACATTAAGAAAAGGTCAGAATAGGCCAGTGTATAAGTAGACTGCCCCTGGATCAAGTGACTTTTCTTCTCAAAGCTCTTCACTTAGCTCAAGGTTGTCATCTGAACTAGCCAGACATTCAACTGATAATCAATCACAGCCAGTCTGTCATCTGAAAAATAAGACTTTAGAGCTGTCTGGCCCCAAAATGGCACCTTGTTGTTGTTTAGCCGCTTAGTTGTGTCCAACTCTTTTTGACTCCATGGATCAGGGCACAACAGGCATTCCTGTCTTCCACTGCCTCCCGCAGTTTGGCCAAACTCATGTTAGTAACTATGAAAACACTGTCCAACCATCTCGTCCTCTGTCGTCCCCTTCTCCTTATGCCCTCAATCTTTCCCATCATCAGGGTCTTTTCCAGGGAATCTTCTCTTCTCATGAGATGGCCAAAGTATTGGAGCCTCAGTTTCAGGATCTGTCCTTCCAGTGAGCACTCAGGGCTGATTTCCTTAAGAATGGATCGTTTTGATCTTGCAGTCCATGGGACTCTCAAGAGTCTCCTCCAGCACCATAATTCAAAAGCATCAATTCTTCGGCGATCAGCCTTCTTTATGGTCCAGCTCTCAGTTCCATACAACTAGACAATGGCAACTAGACATTCCATTTTGGCCACGTACACCTTGGTTTAAAGAGCCATTTGGTGCCTAGCTTATATATCTGAGTTTCTAACACTGCCCCTGAGCTGACAATCTACTTTGTCCAATAAACATATACAAATACAAATCCATAGTTTAGTTACTTCAAATTTACAGTTCGAACACAAATCCTGAAACAGGCGAGCAGACCTGCAGAGAGACCTAGTCAAAGGCAACCAACTAATATTCATATTTCACTGGAGAGGACCACAGGGTCAAGTAAGTAATCCCCATGGACTATGTGGAATTGGCGGAAATGACTGGCAGAATCCGAGACCAGGGAGAAGAGTCGGTGGAAGAAGATTGGGAAAAAATTAAAGATTATCTACAGAAATACTGTAAAATTAATGAATGTTAGAAAAATGTTGGAATGAAGTTATATGGCTTTAGTAGAAATGTTATAAGGAATTAAGTATAAATAGATTAATAGAGTATTAAAGGGAAAATAAGGTTAGAATGTGTTAAGATAATTATAGGATAGAAAACAGAGGAAGATGGAAAGGAATTGCTGAAACAATTAACAGAAGTGGAACACGAAAAGGGAGGTGTGAGGAGGTCGTGGAAACAAGTGAACGAAAGATAAGATAATGAAATGGTTTTGTTTTTGTTTTATTAGTTTTATGTGTTAGTGTTTTGTAGTGTTTTTGTATTGTATTGCATTGTCTTCTTTTTTATGCTTTTTTTGTAGTGTTGTGTTTAAATTGTTGGAAAATTAATAAATATTATATATATATATAAAAAGTAAGTAATCCCCACAAGGCCAGCATTGCTTTCTTTTTCCTTTCTTGCAATTTTACTTGGCACTGTTAAATCATTGGGAGGCAGAAACCCTTACTGATCTACTGCAAACAACCAAGAGATCTACCAGTACATCCTGACCTACCTTTCACCCAGCTCTGATCTACAAGATCTAATAAGATTTCTAAAAAGATTGAATGGTGCACAACAAGCCCCCTCCTGTGGATCCCACAGTTCAAGCAGGCTCACATGGAAGATTCTCCCACAGGTCTTTTAGCAAATGTATTTCAGCAATCCATAGCGCCATTAGTATATGGAGTTGCCTCCTTTGTGCCCTCATGGTGGCCTGGAGACTTGTAACGCAGAGAAACCATAATTTGTAACCAGGGTTTCTGCAGCCAAAACACGTCAAAGACAAATCACCTTAAACCCTTTTACTTTACATCCTGCATTGTGTGCAAGTGTGACAGGAAGTGTTTTAGCTTATTCAACAGCCTTTTCCAATCCTCCGTAGCTCACAGGTGGCTGCTTGTTCTTGGAAGTCAACTCTTCCTGCAAGCTATTCTCGCGGGGCATGATGTACAATAAGCACTTAGAAATGTGTTTTGCTGTGACTGGAACCAAGATGAAATAGCAATATTAAAGGAGATGAGTTTCGTTTATGGAGTGGCCAAGTATGCCATTATTCTAGAACAATGGGGAATGGCATGAAGGAAGGAATGTTCCGCCCTGTGATTTATTCCTTTCCAGTAGCAGCGGAAAATTTTCGACCGGCCAGCAAAATGGCCCCGTCTGCCAAATATAAGTCAGCTTAATGGCTAACAGAGTTGTGCTAGATTAGTCCTGCCATTGTAATACTTCCATAGCCCCAGACGACCTCGCAGCCTCTCCCATCACTTTACAGCAACATCTCAAGAGGGGGAAATACGAGCTGCCCTAAAATTATGACTGCTACTCCCAAACGGCCAATAGGACTGACAGGAAAAAAAACCTTTGCACCTTAACTCAGAAGCAAATCCCACTGTGCTCAATAAGGCTTGTGCTCAAGGAAGTGTGCTTAGAACCTGCAGCCTGCATGAAAAAGCATATTTTGAGATTTCTTGTTTCAAAGGGTAAGGTTAGCCTTCTGACGGTAAGGTAGAACAGAGGCGCTTTCTTGACCTCTCTCTCTCCCTTCCCCTAAGTGAGTGTGTATTGCCAAAGAGAGTGTGTTAATATGGCCCAGTGTGTGTAGATAGGATGATCCTCGCGTTGTTTTTGGTTAACACAGAGAACCTACTAAGCAGACCATTTTAAACAAAAAACCACCAATGCAATCCAGCATGACGTTTTCTCAAGCAAGCCTCACTGAACTCAGGGAGAGCTCTGCAAAAATACCACGTGCTGTGTGAATGAAGTCAGCGCTTAGCTAACTTGACATACACCTAGTTATTTGGGAAGTGTGTGTGTGCATAAAAACAGAAACAATGAGGAGACAAAAAAATGTTCTCTAAAATGAAGGTCCATCCATGGGCTAGGAAACCTTTGGTCCTCCAGGAGCCACTGGGCTGCATCCCTCATCACTCCTGAATACTCTCCAGGGTGACTGTAGTACAGTAAGATCTGAAAGAGACACAGGTCCAACCATTCCTGGCCTATCACATACAAATCAAAACTAGGTCTGGCCAATGCAAAGGGTCTCTCCTCCCTTCCAACAAACATTTTTTTACTTAACAGGCCTTCCATCACAATGTCTGAAAAATCATCTGCCTTAAGAGCAGCAACAACCTGGAATTAGCTTGGTCCATTCATACTGTACCTCATTCCTCATGCTGGAGGTCCAGTGGTTTTGAAGAGACCCAAGGAAAGATCATGCCACCTCAAGCCAGCCCAATGTGCTTCTCAACACAGAGACTTTTCACACATCCAGAAACTATCACTTACACACCTGTATTGCTAACTGTGCACATCCTGATGTTGCCTATAATGTGCACATTGTATCCACATTTTTCTGTTTTTGACCACTTGCACATCTCACAGGGGATCAGTGCTTGACTGCGAGTCATCATGCCATGTAGAATAACGCACATAACTATGGCTGCAGCAAGTTGCAAGATACACCGCAAATACCTGTATTATGCAAGGCATGTAGCTGCCCATTTGCACATGGTGCAAAATTGTTGCTAAGTGTCCACTGAAACCACATAATTGTGCATTAAACTTACCCTCCAACCCCAGGAGGAAAGCAAACAGACAAACCTGCAGTTGCACACCAGTACTGCCAAAATTCTGTGCCAAGAGAAGCTGAATTTGGAATTCAGTAACCTGTGTAAAATATGCAGGCAGCAAATGGGCATATATTGGGATTGTTTTGCATGATTTATTCTGTTCCTGCTCAGCCTGGTGAGGGACCAGAAGCAACACAGAGCACTGATGCCCCATCGTATGAACCTGGCTCAGTGACAGGACACACACTTTGAATGTGAAAAGGTTCCAGGATCAATCCCTGGCCTCACCAGCTGGAAAGGCTCTCAGATAGCAGGGACAGGGAAAGACCTTAGAGGTGCTGCCCATTGGAGTAAGCATGACCAACTGCAACTCACCAAAGTGTCAAGGAGCAGAGAAACAGTACGTTCCCATGTGTAGCGTGCAGGTTATATCTGGTTATCCTTAGCATGCCTGAAAGGTGGGGGGGTGGGGAAGGCTGCTGGGCGAAAGCCATCTCTTGTGTTTGTGAAATTCCATGATTACAAGAGATCCTCTTCCCACCTTTTCAGAACATACCAAACATAACAGTGCAGAACAGGAAGAACGGTATTGTTTTAAACATCCAAAAGAGGAGATATGATAGCCATCTTCAAGTATCTAAAGGGCTGACATATGGAAGATGAAGCAAGCTTGTTTTCTCCTGCTCTGGAGGGTAGAACCCCAACCAATGGCTTCAAGTTGCAAGGCATGTAAAAGGTAAAGGACCCCTGACCATTAGGTCCAGTCATGGCCGACTCTGGGGTTGCGGCGCTCAACTCGCTTTATTGTCCGAGGGAGCCGGCGTGCAGCTTCTGGGTCATGTGGCCAGCATAACTAAGCCGCTTCTGGCGAACCAGAGCAGTGCACGGAAACGCCGTTTACCTTCCCGCCGGAGTGGTACCTATTTATCTACTTGCACTTTGATGTGCTTTCCAACTGCTAGGTTGGCAGGAGCAGGGACTGAGCAACGGGAGCTCACCCCGTCGCGGGGATTCGAACCGCCGACCTTCTGATCGGCAAGTCCTAGGCTCTGTGGTTTAACCCACAGCGCCACCCGCGCAAGGCATGAGGTTCCAACTAAACATCAGGAAGGACTTTCTGACAGTAAAACAGTGGAAGGGACTCCCTTAAAAGGTGGTGGATTCTCCTTCATTGGAGGTTTTTAAGCAGAGGGCTGAATGGCCATCTGCCATGGCTGATTTAATGGAGTTTCTTGCACTGCAGGGGGTTGGACTAGAGGACCCTCAGGGTCCCTTCCAATCTTATGATTCTGTGAGCAAGGATCCTAAACACCGATAAGTGTCTGTAGACATAGGACACACACGTGTCATTAAAATTAAAGTCGAGGGGCTTGCTAGTGGGAGATGAGCTGATCATGAAACAGATAGCAGATCATTGATATAACCAATGCAACCAATTTTCAGGTGTTGTGCTGTGAGTCTCACCCACATCACGGAGCTATTAAAGATCTGCGCTGAGACCAGGAGTTGGAGCAAATAAGGAATTTAAATGAACAAATTGTAAGCTGCACCCAACATATTATTCCACATCACAGGCAACAATCTCACACCCCAGCCAAAATTTCACACACGCTCTTTTATAAACATTCCAAGCTTACTTTCTGAACCCACCCACCAATTTTAAAAAGCATGATCAAGGCATGTGTTGAACCCAACAGAACACCCAGCCACAGGATAGCTGCAGATAACAAGCTGTTTCCTGTCCGTGAAATATTCTTCTACGTAGGTTCAATCAAGATCTTAGAAGTCTATATTTAATTTCATTCAAGAGATAACATTTGATCCAAGTATCCTGTCCAACACAGCCATTTGCTCTTTGCCCCACTCCTGTTTCTGTTGCAATGAGATGCTTCAGTCTTGCACAAGAATTTGACAATCTGCCTTGGGAACATCTGCACGAACAAAGATGCTGGCTCTTTTCAACAAATTTAATCTGAGAACAGACAGACTAAGGTGGCGGGGGAGGGGGGGCGAGAGAATATGACCTGCTCAGAGCAACCAAGAGGAGAGACTTGAGAACTATTGGGCTTGGGTCTAGAATCTAGATTGTGGGCTTCCCAGAGGTCTCTGACCAGGCTGCTGTGAAAACAGGACTAGACGGGCCTTTCTTCCTGAACCAGCAAAGCTCTTCTATTTAAACGTACGTCTTCCCAGCCAAAGTCAGAGGGGCTACTCTAATCTCTTACCGCTGGCTCCTTGAGCATTTGGAAACGGCCGAAATGATCCTTCCGACAACAAAACCCCCAAATTTGCTCACTCTGCAAGGGCTAAGAATTCACATTTTTCATTCCGCTCCATAGGGAGTTGTGCTCTGCCGAATCCTACTGAAATAAAGCCATCAGTCCAATCTATGTTTCACCTTTTGCTATCAGGTATGCACCAACAGCCCCTGCCAAAGTAATTTGGCTTAAAACCAGCGTGCAACGGACATCAATTCTCTTCCACCGAAAGGAGTCTGCCTGCTCCACATTTAACAAGTTATTCAGAAATTGCCTCATTGTAACTTTCCATGCAACTACTGTACATTCTCAGAAGCAGAGACCTAAGAACTTCCTCTTCCTTCAGCTACAGGGAACGGCCGTGTGTGTGTGTGTGTGTGTGTGTGTGTGTGTGTGTCAGAAAGGAGGATGGGTGACAGCCAGTGATTATTTAGCAACTGTCTTGGGTTATTGCTGCAGACACAGTACCATAGGGGTTTTAGGTTATGACACTTGACAGCTACACTACATGCAACTTTTTTCTGTTCTGTATACACAAAGTTGCTGCAAAGCAGTAGGCAGGCAAGCAGAGAGACAGAAGAAAGATACAGTTCTCCACAGCTGTCAATCACAACCAAATGTCTACTGGAGCACAGAAAGCTGCACCCCTAAGCATATTTTATTGAATGCAACTTACACAGATGTAAGTATTTTGAAGTCCCATGGATTTCAATGGGAGAGATTTAAGCAAGTTCTCAACCTCACCTTTGCCAAGTGTGTGCCTTTAGTATTTACACAGTGCTTTTCCTGGGTAGTCTAGAAGCAATTTCATGCACACTCTCTCAGTAATCCTTACAACATCTCTGTAATTGGACTTCATGTTTCCATGTCCATGTCGCAGGCAGAAGCTGTGGCTTGCCTAAGAACTGCCTATTTATTAGCTGGATGATGGATCAGATGGGCATCTGGCCTGATCCATGCTCTTCTTTTGATTTTAAGACCTTAAGGTTCAAACCAGAGTCTTCCCTCGTTCTATTACGTGCTGAAGGTTGAAGATTTCATTTTAGCAAGAAGCTTCGTACAGCTGAATAAAAAACCACAGCCCTTCAATAACAGAACTGTAACCTTCCACCATTTAGGAACTCCAAGATGGAAGAAGTGGACCAAACCAAGAATGGTGGGGGATTTTTTTGAAAGAGTTGTGCTTTGGGAATCCATGTCTGGAATCAATTGCAAAAATCACTTGAACTGCAATCCTAGACCCATATACCTGGGAGTCCATAGGGCTCACTTCTGAATAGAGTGGTAGAGGACGAATGCTGTGATTCTAATCCCTGGAGGACCACCCCCAAATGCTGCTGAGATCTGGCCATGCTGAGGACAGCAGGAAGGGAAAAGGAATCAGAGACGCGCCCCCACCTGCTTCTCTCCTTCGCCCCCTCTGCCACCTCCCACCAAGGTAGTTTTATTGAATGTTGGGGTTTTCTACTGCATTGTTAGCTGCCCTGGGCAACCCACTGGGAGAAAGGGTGGGCCAGAAGCACAGAGATATAAAATGAATAAGGGTTGTCCTAGAATAAATTTCAGTAAAACTGAAAGCAACTGTGGCAATTTTGCTGCACTCCAACCCCCCAAAACCCAGTTTTCATAAGCGTATGAGGATTCCACGGCGGCGCTCCCTTTAAAAACAAAGCTATAATTATCTTTTTCAAACTGTTTATTTATCTTTTACTGGTATTATACAGAACAATAACATTCAAGATCTCCACCCACCAACCCCCCACACACAGAAGAACAGATTCATACAAGTCACCCTACTAAGAGATGTTAGCTAAGAGTCCATAATTTGCAGTGAGTTGCTGATGGCCGATAGCCCTGCTCTGTAAAAAAATCTTAGGAACTTGTTTGTCGTGATTTTTGTGGACGCATGTCTGGAAATCGTGGTGCCTGCGGGAAAGCGAGAAAGCAAAGCACGTGCCTAGACAAGAATGGGTCCATTTGGTGATCTCAGGCTGTGGACATGCTTGTCTGATGTCTCCCTCTTCTTTAGATGATAATGCTCACTTACTACAAAATGTGACAAGAAGCCTGACCTGCTGCATTGGAGAGGGGTGCCCCCTGCCCAGGCTGCTGAATGGGCCACTGGACATCTGCCACCCCACCCCCCAAATCCTGCCACCATGGCACCAATGTCTACAAATTATTTCTGTGCAGCTGAATCACTGTACCCATCCTATCACCCTGTACCCATCCTATTTTTTATTTTTAGTGCCTTTGGCTGCAATCCAGTACCCACTTACCTGGGAGAACACCTCACTGAATTCAATGCAACTTACTTCTAAGTAGACGTGCCTGGGACTACATGTTCAATGGCATGAAATGTGGTGTCCTGAATTCAAATCTCTCTTCAGCTTTACTGAGGCTTTAGAGGAGCCACTATTCTCTAACTTGCCTCCGTCCCAAGACACACCATATTGTGCACTGGCCCTGCCTCTCGGGTTCTTTTTCTTTCCGTGACGTTTAATGAGATAATGTACATGGGGCACTTGGAAAACTCAAAAGAATACTCTACAGCGCGATGAGCTCGTGTAAGAAACAAAAATGGTTTGATTGAAAGGTTCGTGTGACTATGAAACAAAGATGCACTAAAGGATGTAGGTCAAACACCTGAGTTCTCAAAATACAGAGAACAAGCCATGATCCTTTAAATGTAGCATTTGGCGACGTGTGGCATAAAACAAGTCAGCTTCCTTTCAGTGAGCTAGGACAACCTCACAAAGTGTAGCATACAGTATCTGCCTGAGGCATGCTGGCTATGTCAACAGATTATCTCGCATTGAACTGTCTAGACTGTTATTAATATGCAACTGATTCAACAGCAAGGGCACTGCTGTTTGAAGCAAACTGGAAGAACTGTTAAGTGGGGCATTATTCGCCTCTCCAACTGAATCAGTCCCTTAAAGGAGAAACATGGAGAAAACCAGATGTGACTCATCAATGACTATGCCTAGCAAGCAGGCAAACAAAAGGCTGCTCTTCCTTTAAGAATAAAGCAGACCTGAACTGTCCCCCGTTGCCTGCCAGTGTTGTATTTTGCCAGGAAACCTTTCCCGAAAGAAAGCAGGAACTCAAGGCTGAGAAACCCCTACAATAATGCCGGTCAACTATCAAAGCGGTTAACAATTCCACGGCAATAATATCCAACAATAGATGCAGACAGCTAGAGCACGTGTGCAGTCTCCTTAAACACACACAAAACACACCTTTAAAAGTACATTGTAGAATCATGCTAATCAATATCATTTGGACAACTGGAAGATAAAATCCGGCACCTCATTATCTCACTCACCCTACAGCTGTCATGGGGGGGGGGGAGTGCAGTATGCAAGTTACATTTGCAGCCACATGCTTCTTCAACTACATCTATCTCCTAAACTACACAGGCCAGGCTCCCCCCCCCCCAAATGAAGACACAGTAGTTTGTACAATGGCTAAATAATCTTAGACTTGTAACCAAACCCAGCAGGGTAACTCATAGCAGCACGACTTTAGGTCATATTTTGCCCTAATGAAAAAACCCCTTCCAGCTGTATCGAAGGATCCCAGCTGATGCATTTGGTTTCTAGTCATTTCCTCTTCCCATCTTTGTACATATTTAGGCTAATCAGAGATTTCACACCCAGTCCGCTATCTCTCTCTGGATTCCCCATCTCTCCACCGTATTGTCAATCAGTTCGGTTTAACCTCATTACCCAATTTCCATCTCTGGTCGTATTTCTAAACCCCTTTGCTGTCTAAACTCTCTTCTGCGTGTGCTTGAACTGTCATTGTTCTAAGAGAAAACAAGCTTTCTTTTTTAATGGAAGCGAAGTAACACAAAGGATTTTCTTTTCTAAAAAATTATTGCAGTGTGTGCCTTGGCTTCTGCAATCAAGTCTCTCCAATAAAGGAACTGACTTGCCCTGACACACCAATTACCTTGCAAAAAATCTGAAAAATCTATTCAGCTTCCACCAGCTGTTAGTTGTTAACACTGGTTGAAAGCAATCCCCCCTCCCCGTTTTATTTTAAAGGGAACAGCAATGAAAGGAGGAGCAACTTTTTTATTTTGGAAAAATTAGCACAACCACAATGTAATATGAAAAAACACACTCGAAAGAACAACTTCCACCAGACCTCAAGTGCTCCCTGATTACTATATGATCTAGGATTTAATGCAAGCAGCTTTCAACAGGACTGCATGGCTATTGATAACATTTATGACAGTGTTGATTATTTTTTAAAGGGGGGGGGGGGAGACGACAAGATCACAGAAAACGAGAAACAAAATCAGAAAAGCCGCTCTGATTCACCAGCGCTTGCATTTAAGAGATTTCACGGGAGTAACGTAAATGCTTCACCTGCTGCCAGTTCTCCTCCAAGGACGGCAAAGCCGAGAAGTAACCGGTGTCGTGGACAAGCTGCAGTTCCTGGAATATACTATAACTAGCCAAAACATCCATGTTGCTGTTGCTGCGGCTTCTGCTGCTGCTGCTGCTTCTGCTGAAAACAACAAACCCCGAGCCTTTCCTTTTAGGTTTGTGTTTGCAATTTTGCGGTGGGCTTTTAGTTCTGTTCATTAAAAAGGGAAAGGGGGAAGAGAAGGAGGAGGAGGAGGAGGAGAAGGGGGGGGTGTAAGAAGGACCGTTAAGAGCAATCAATCCAGCTGTCCTTGTCCTCTGTTTTGCTTTTGTTTGCTATATATATGCATATGCTGTTTGTAGTCACACTTTCAGGGACGGACCCAAAGCAGGAACAGGAGCGGAGGAAAGCGGGGGGAGGAAGGAGCCCCATCAACGACCCAGAGAGAGAGAGAGAGAGAGAGAAGGGATAAATGCTCCCGAACGTGTACAGTGCAAGCCGTCAGCCAGGCAGCCAGAGAGGAGGAGGAGGAGGAGGAGGGGGACACATTTCTTCTCCACTTGTAGTAAAAAAGCAATTGCCTTCCGGGGCTCTGTTGCTGACTCCAGCTCTTGCACCGGCGGGGAAGGGGGGTGGGGATGCAAACTCACTGACACGAGACTGCCATCTATTTCTGCATTGCTGCTCGCTGCTGAATGCAATCTTTGCTCTTTATTTTTGGGAGGTTGCATTTTCCGCCTTGCGCGCGCGTGCGCGCTCCTGGAGCCAGGCGCGCTCCCATACTTTCCTCTCTCCCTCCCTCCCTCCCTCCTCTCCCTCCTCCCTGCGCGCAGCCGTGGGATCTTCAGAGGAAACTGTCCATTAAGGCAGCGCGTGACCATGTAAGGCAAGAGGGAGGCGGGCCGCCAGGGCCGCTCATGAAGTCACTGGCGCCCAATGGGGGCCCGGAGCGAGGCGGCGGAGGCGGGGCCGGGCACGGAAGAGCCGCGGCGATTGGGCCGAGGGCTGGATCCGACGTCCGCCTTATAAGGCAGTGTAAGGGGAGCTATTTTTAGAGGGCTATATAAAGGAGCCGGAGCGGCTGGTGCGCGGCGGAGTTTGCAGGAGAGAGCAAGCGCGAGCGCGCCCGGGAAGCCGCGCGCGGACCTCGGGCTCCGGCCCGTTTGCAAAGGGGCTCCCGTGGTCAGAGGGTCTTTGCACTGCAGCAGTAGCAGCAGCCAGAAAGCATTTTTTTAAAAAAAAATATTTTGCATGGCCAAGCGGGAAAAAAATCCGATCCACAACGGGAATAAATGAGAAAGCAGGAATTTTCCGGTTTTTCAACGAGATATTGGCGCACAAGTTCAGATCTACTTCCCATTTCCCACTTTAAAAAAAAGAGAAGCCAGAACCCCATGGGGGGGTGGGGAGATCGAGGAAAGCGTATTTATCCCGGGGGTTGGTGCTGTTCTGTGAACGCCGTTCGGGAAAGTTTCCGGGCGCTTTATTGCACTTGCTGCAAAATGCGTGCATGGACTGGCGATTTAAAAGCGCGCGCGCACACACACACAAAAACACGCTTTAAGTGTCTGCCGTCCTGTATACGCGCAATTGGGAGTGAGACCCGTTGAACTCCATGGGGACTGGCTTCCGAGTAAGCATGCACAGGATCAGGCCCCCGCAACGTCTGCAGACCTTGCAAGCGCTAGCAGAAGTTTGGGCGTTCGTGGCACTTCCAAGTCCCTGGCATCCTGTCGCGGAGTTACTCCTGGGTATAGCCTCCTCTGCCCTCTGTTCCAAGTCTATCTGCCACTGAAAACAAAGTCAGAAATGTTCTGTTGTGACATGTGGCAGTCGGGGAGCCAGATACTGGACTAGAGAGAAGAAAGCAGAAGATTAAAATCTGTGACAACACTGGGTGAAGATAACCCCTTAAGGGTATCTGAAAGCACTGGGGACTTATGCCAGAGCACATCCACTTGCATATTTTGTTGCCTACCAAGTTCTTCGCGCAAAGCAGTTTAAGTGAGCATGTCAGGCTGAGTTTTTCCATAAATGGTTCGCTTAGGCCACATCTTCCCCAAGCTTTTCAAAGTGGTGGTAAAGGTGGTTTCACTTGGACGAAATGACAGAGCTAAGGATTTGCAATGTGATTTTGTTGAGTGGCAAACGGACAAGTATGCCCTCCTTTCTGTCCGTTTTTGAGGCTTGGCAGTAGCTCAACTCTCCAGCCAGGGCTGGTCAGAATCCAGATGTGTGGGTTTCCTCATCCCCTCTGCCTTTTCTGAGGATGGGAGAGAGGGGCTGTCACTTGCTGTAGATGCCACATAGTGTACAGTGTTTTGTAACAGTAGCCCTGCCCTTTCCTGTGTATATTATAAACAGCAGCCATGCAGAGAAGGAAAATTGCACATCCTAGTTGTAATAGCTGCATGCTGTCTTTGCTGCACCCAGCGGAGGGTTTAAGCTTCTCAGTTTGGATGGGGCAAGGGAGGGTGAACCACGGTGAGGTTGCAAGAATGGGAGCAGGGCTGGTTGAGGCTGTTAGTGGGAGTTGTAGTCCCAAATATCTAGAGAGCACCAGATATCTGGCTAAGTGCTGGGATATTCAGTGGATAAGAAGTTCCATTAAGCAGGCATTTCATGACTTGGGATAGGATCATTTTGAATGTCAACAAGCAAGGAAAGAGTAGTATTGAGTTGTCCCTACAGCACTGGGAAGGAAGGAAGGAAGGAAGAGCAGATGTCTGCATTTAATAAGACATGCTGTCTAAAATCTATATCTTATTAAATAAACAAGACATAACCTCCTGGTCAAAGTAGGGTTTGCATACAAACAGATTGGCTTGGAATACTGTCTTCTTATCTAGAATAATGGGGGCACACAGTCCAGAATTTTGGCTGGATGTTTTGAAAAATCTCCCCTATTTCAGCCCATTCCAGAGCTGAGCAAAAATTTCTCAAGACATTTTTTCTGAGAAACAGAGATTTATCTCGTTCTGATTTTACCTAGAAATATTGTGAATGCATTTCCTCCCCCTCCAAATATGCCCCAGCATTTTTATTTTAACGCTCGTGTTGGCAAGCATTCTTTCCTCCACCATCCTTGACCCAAGATGATGCTAGATCCACTGTGGAAGATGCACAATGGCCAGGCAACAGCAGAAAGGATGAAATCTTTGGGGGGATGAAATTATGGTGCTGAACACCCCTGGGGCGATTTACACTAGCCTTTGCGGAGCCAGTGTGCTCAGCCAGAGTGGACAGGTTACACTCACATATATTTGGTTCAGCCAGGGTTCAGACTTTGCACCTGCTGAGCCAGAGATCAGCTGGCTGAGCTGGAGATCAGATGCACTCTCAGCTGCTGATCTTACTGTGCTAGCACCTTGTCACCTGCACGGACGTCTAGTATATTTCCAGGCCCAACTGCTTTGTTAACATGAGCAACTTTGACCTGTGGAGCAGAGCAGCAGCAAAAGCTTCCCGAATACAGTATTGCTGCTGATTATTAGGAGTGGGGAGGCGGGGGCTGTGCAGATGTACTGGTGGACCCAATCCAGCATTCCCACACATGCGTTCACACAGCCCTGACCTTGCCGTCACATCCCACTGTTGGCGTCCGTCTGTCTTGAGAGACAACGGAGTGTGCATCTAGGGCTGAAGTCAAACCGTTGTGTTAGCACCAAAGTTACCTTCCCTTGGACAAGCCTGGGCAGTGTGTATGTAGGTCCTGGGCTGCCCAGGCAAAACAATGCTCTCAGCCTCTCTGATGTGGTCCAAAGGAACGCAGAGCAATACGTTTGGAACCAGCTTGGCTGCAGGAGTTGCCAGAAGGAGGCATGTAAGACGCCATCCAACCGCCGTACGGACTCCACTCCAGGTATGTGAAGGATTTACTGATTAGCGCTTTCTTTCCCCAAAGATGTCCCACAAGGCAGTGGAGGTTTAGGGTCAAGAGTTTTCCTTCTCATAGGTGGGCTACCTTCCTAAGTTGACGAGCACTGTCTGCCCCTCACTTCCCTCTAAGCAGTAGCAATGAATACCCAATGCCTATTTTCTTGGTCTTTTTGCTGTCAGGCAAAGACCTTTCATTTTCCAGGATTTTTCAGTCTGAAAATCTTTGGTGATTTTCAGATTTTTGTACCGATGTCGTTCTCTGTTGCTGGTTTCACTCTGGTTTTGTTTTGTTGTGGGTGTTATTTTGCTTTACATTTTGTGCTTATGTTTATTTTTAAGGGGAAGCAAACAAGGGAGAGGGACAGAACCGTTTTCCCTACAAGAGCTACTATTGAATTTGAAAATAATTTGCATAAGATAGCTAATTTTAGCAGATGTATCTATGCCGGTTATGCCGCTGAATTCTTTAAAAGGTGAGCTTTCAATTCCTGCACTACACCAATGCAGACTAAGCAGCGTAAACATGTAACTTCATGGCTAGGTCTTCACATCAACTCGCTATGGAAGTTCTGTTCACTTCTCATAAAATGGCACAAATTAGATCTTCACAGAAGCACCCCACATTAATTTTATCATTCTGTGAAACCTTTGCTTCAGAATACTGAAGGGTTTGCCAGATAATTCCTTGTTCAGAATACTGTTAAGGTTTGCCAGATAATTCCTTGTTGCCCGATCCTAAATGCATCTATTTTGAAGTCCCACTGATTTAATTGGGTCCGTATCAGTGCTATTTTTCTAGAAAAAGAGGTGCTGAAACTCATCATCTCCCTCGTTCTCTTAGAATGGCTATGGCACCCACCTGAGAGGTGCCGGTACTGAGTTCTTGCAAGTTCCCCTTGGGGGGGAAAGCCCTGCTGAGTATGCAGCGATTAACAGAGGTTCATCCATACTTTAACAAATTCCATCATGAAGATTCCACAAGAGCTCTGGGCAATTTGTTTTCATTGACCAATTTTTATTTTTGCACTTGGTGAATCTCTCCAGCATAAAGGAGTTCCATATACATAGAGCAGCTACTAAGAAAAAGAAAAGCCTTTCTCAAATGACCTCATGGCTAAAGAGAGGGCCTTTTTGGTGGTGGTACTCATTTTCTTCTTGGGTAAGACATCTGCAGAATGTTGAAGGATGCCAAAAGAGCTTCAGAAATGTCATTGGATGTTTTCACAGGTCCCTAATTATAACCATCTACTTTCTTAAGTACAGGTAAAAAGGTAAAGGTAATGTACTCAAGGATGGTTAAGTCCAGTCAAAGGCAACTACGGAGTGTGGCGCTCATCTCGCTTTTCAGGCCAAGGGAGCCAGCATTTGTCCACAGACAGCTTTCTGGGTCATGTGGCCAACATAACTAAACCATTTCTGGCACAACGGGACACCGTGATGGAAGCCAGAGCACATGGAAACACCGTTTACCTTCCTGCCGTAGCAGTACCTATTTATCTACATGCACTGGT